TTCCATACGTCCCCCATCCGTCGCATAGTGATGTACGACGATTAGGGGTTCAAGGACTCATCTTCTTCTACTTGGTGAATTTCTAATCCTGCGCGATGCCATCTCTCGATTGTCGTATCCCCTTTTTCAGAGTCGTCTTTTTGCGTGATTGTTGGCGTCTCCTCCTGAGTTAAGTATTAGAACTCGCTGTCTAGTGCCATCTTGTGAGTGTGGTTCTCGCTTCCGGCGCGACTCCCCGAGTCCCGGTGAGTTTCTGATACTCCTTTCTGTTACCATCTGTGATGTGTGTGAGTGTGTGTGTGTGTGTGTCTTTTTTTTTCTACTCCACCCCATTCGGACACTCGCCGGTATCCGCCGTTAGGTATTGCTTCGGTGAGGCCGGGGTTAGTTGAGCATTTCTGCTACTTCTGTTAGTCGTTGTTTTCCATACATCCCCCATCCGTCGCATAGTGATATGCGACGATGAGGGGTTCAGGGACTCATCTACTTTCTGCTTGGTGAACCTCCGATCCTGCACGATGCCATCGTCGATTGTCGTATCCCCTTTTTCAGAGCCGTCTACTGCGTGGATACACATTGCTAGCATCTCCTCCTGAGTTGGACATCTTTTTTTTAAAACTCGCTGTCTAGTGCCATCTTGTGAGTGTGGTTCTCGCTTCAGCAGCCGATGGCAAGCCCATCCCTTTGCACTGTCGGCTACATCTTGTGAGTGTGGTTCTCGCTTCCGGCGCTACCCTATGAGTCTCTGTGAGTTTTTGGTACTCCTCCGTTTCTGTTGTCGTCTTGTGAGTGTGGTTCTCGCTTCTGACTTCATCATGGGAGTGTTGTGCTCCATCTATTGCCAGCCTTGTGAGTCCTCGCCTCAGGCTCCTACTTATGGTTATCCTATCGCTTCCAGCTTGCACAGTGAAATATTATAATATTTTTTTTTATTTATAGGTAATTCTCATTTTCGGGTTATGTGGTGCTCTCAGGTGTGATGAAATCGTTAAATTGAAACCAGCGTTGGTCCGAGGCAAACTCTACGCTCGCACTCTACGGCGAAAAGTACCGGTGGCGCCTGACGTCAGAGTTCCGAAACTCACGTCTGGCGAACCTTCTTTACAATGCACGAAAATAATTGATATGATTATGTTGTAAGATGGACCCTTTTATGTTAAAAATGTTTAATTATGCATAATCACATCAAGAAATTTTAAAATTATTTTCGTGCATTGTAAAGAAGGTTCGCCAGACGTGAGTTTCGGAACTCTGACGTCAGGCGCCACCGGTACTTTTTTGGTGGATTGAAACTGACAGATATTCAGGACTTAAAGACTAGATATTTAGTATCCGTTCAAGAAACAAAAAATTATTATAATTCTAGAACAATCAGTGCATCTCGGCAATTTCTGATAGGACAACTTTATTATCATAAAGTCAAGGAATATTTATCAATTAGATCAAATAATATCGGTGATAGATTGTTCATACGCTATTCGGGAGGAAAATGTATGCGCCAGTTTATTGGTATCAATACAATATACAAAATACCTCGGGCGATAGCAGCACATTTAAAACTGCCCAATCTGAAAAGGTATATTGAACTAGAGATTATTTATATTAACTTTCTACATTATTATTTTTTACTTAATTTTTCAATTTCTAACTATTTTCTAGGTATACTGGACATTGCTATCGCAGAACAGGAGCATCGCTTCTTGCTGAGTCGAGAGCCGATTTTCTTAAAATCAAACAGCTAGGAGCATGGGTTTCCGACGAAGTTTGCCAGGGCTACATCGAAAATTCAATCGCAAATAGGCAGAAAATTTTTAATGGCGTGACACAATGGCGCAATCACATGGACGCTCAGTCATCGACCAGTAGTGGAATTTACGCAAAAAATACCACTAGAAGATCCTATTCAGTATCCTCAACAGCAGCAACTAACCAACAGCAACAAAAATCGACAATAAGTAGTGCACCAAAGAACAACAGCAGCAGGCTAGATTTTGTGGAAAATGTAAATAATTGTCAAGACACGTCTGAATCATTTAATTTAATTGATGATGACTTTTCTTATCCATTGACGCAAGATGATCTAGATAATAATAAAAATTCTAATTTAAAAAAATTAGAAGTTCACGAACAAACATTACGACTGCAAAAAATAAGCCGATTCAGCAATGTCAATCTGGCACAATCATAAAATCGAGTGTTGGACATTTTTTGACAAAACCTCCAGTTATAGTTGGAGTCATAAAAAAAAATTGCCAACCTTCTACTTCGAATTCAAGAAAAAATAATTTAAAAATAATTTCGGTAGAAAATAAAGAAAATCACGATGCAAACACCACTAATAATTTTAAAAACTCATGCGTCAAATATGAAAATTGTAATTTTTATGGCACTGTTGTAAATAACTATTATTATTGTACTGAAAATTGTCATGGAAAATAAATTTCTTCGTTTTTTGAAAAATATATATAAANCCCCCCCCCCCCATATCGTGCAGAATTTTTTGAGACCATCTTAGCTCTCGCTGCATGAACCTCTCGAAAAATACACTTAAAACGAAGAGTTTCGCAGCTCCCGAATCCAATTTAATAAAAAAATGACTTAAAGGCAGCGAATTAAAGAAAAGAGTAAAATGAAGGAAAATTCGTGAAAAAATTGCGTAAGATACTCCCGGGGGTATAACCAGAGCAAAATTTGGACTCCTGACACATATACTCGGGTTCTTTAACATATTTTTTATCCCTTCGAATTGGTACAAAAAATTAGGATCGATTTGCGCTAAATGCAGTAAAAAGACGGAGAATTGTGAAAAAGGGTAAAAAAACACAACATTCTCGCTGGTTAGAGTGGAAATACTCAATGGGCAAGTATCAGCTTTCGCTTACTTTCATTTTATGTCAAAAAAATAGCTTTGTACACTATTACAAAGCAATTTTCAAAAACATGTGTTTTTCGCTACACTCTAATGTATGTGTGTGTATGTACACTATAAGGCGTTTAATTCTGCAGCAGCTCAAAATATGATACACTGTATTCACTTTTAGAGCTGTTGCAAAATTAAACGGCTAATAGTGTGCGTATGATTGTACGCAGCAAAATCTCAAGAACGAGACGGTGAATCATGTTGAATTAAATTGTATTTATTGTCAATTGCACCAAAGAAGCCAGAAGAGCTAATGTAGCCATATTCCGCGGAAAACTTTTTTTACGATTTTTAGTTTTTTTTCGAGAAATTTCAAGAAAAAAATTCCTTAAAAATTCAATATTGCTAAGTTCTAATTCTTATTTATTTAAAAAAATTTTTGAAAAATTGGTAAATGCCTCACATATGGGATTGGGGAATTTATAAAAACAAACTTTTTAATATCTGTGTGGGAGGGGAAATCAGCTGAAATTGTAGGAGTAGTAAAGTTATGAAAAATTGTTAGATACTTAATATAGAAGATTGGAACAACATTCAGAATTTTAAGGGAAATGGAAATTTTATTAAAGATTGTCTCATGTCCTAGTTTATAAAAGGGGAACTTTTTGGTTTATTTGTGATTTTTTCTTATGAAAATTGAATATTTTGGAAAATCTGATATTACCATCGGAAAGCTGAGGAAATTTCCGGTCGAAAGTATAATTTCATTCATTTTTCGAGTCTAATTAAGAGCGAATTTCGATTGTAGCGAGCCGTGCAACGCTATAAACCTCAAGACCGCTCTGAAAACAGACAAAGGAGAACAAAGCAGTCAAAATTCGCTTGTATAGGATTGTAATTCGGCTCAAAAAATAAATGAAGATATGCTTTCGATAGGAAATTTTTTTAGCTTTACGATGGTAATATTAGATTTTCCAAAATATTCAATTTTCATAAGAAAAAATCACAAATAGACCAAAAAGTTCCCCTTTTCCGCATTAAATTTTTCAACATATTTAGCCCTCGATGTTTGATGGCGATTTTCGCGGTGAAAATTTGATATTTCAGAAAATCTAATAATACCATCGAAAAGCTGAGGAAATTTCCTATCGAATGCAGTAGTCAGTTACTTTTTTTAGATGAGTTTTGATACTTTTTTTAACGACTTGGAAATAAGTCGTATTTGCGTGAAAAGATGACTTTTCGGCGTCTAAAACACAAAAGTGACAAATAAAAAATTAACTATTTTCAAATTTCATGTTCACATGTTTTTTCTCACTTCTGGGACCCTAAGAACAATTTGCGGGGGTCCAGGCCGCTGGGCACGCATAAAAAAATTTCACCTCTTTTTGTTAACGAAACGAAATTTTATTTTGGGTTTTGACCATACATGGGCTAAGCCATAGTTAGCGTGATGGTCAAAAAAATTTTTTTTCTCAAATTATGTGCTTTTGAAGAGTACATTGAAAAGTGAAAATCCCTGAAAGTTCATATTAAACGTAGAAAATCAGAATTGCAATCAGAATATCAGCAGAAAAAGAAAATTCAACTTCAGGACCCTGAAAATCCAATAGGGTTGGACCTAGAGGGCTGAAACTTTCAGGATTTTCACTTTTCAATGCACTCTTCAAAAGTACATGATTTGAGAAAAAAATTATTTTTGACCATCACGCTAACTATGGCTTAGCCCATATAAATAATCAAAAGCAACACCCCGGGTGCACCTTAAAGAAACAAAAAACCCGCCTGCAAATAAAAAAGATCCATAAAATTCTATAAAAAATAAACACAATCTCATTAATATCCTACTACACCTTTCATTATATAATTTTTTTTCTTTCTCTTTATCTTTTAATCACTCCTAATAAGATCTCTCTCTCCTCTCTTTATCACATACAAATCACAACACCATCTACAGTTGCAATGGAAACAAGGACAACAAATAACTACTCGCTATCACCTGCAAGAGCAGTGTGATAAACCTAAATAATCACGCGGGCACTCCAAAAACCCCACACTGGACGAAGTTACTATTATAATATAAATACATAAACCGGGGCTCAAAAATCTTAAAACTTAAAACTTGATTACAATGACCTACCTCAGCGTCATCAAATTTCTCGATAATGCGCTGGTAAAGATCGGTCATCTTTTGAACGATGGCGCAATCCTCGTGCAGCCTGAGTTTCTGTAAGCCGATGTCTCTGACTGTCTTGGGCAGCTCGAATCCGAGCCGCTCGAGCAGCTCAGCTTCGTGAATGACCTCGAATATTTCGACGTCGAAATTAACTGCAAGTTTAATCTGGTTTTCCAAGAGCAGCGCGCCACGCAATATGTCGGCATTTTTCTTCATATGCATTTGAAATTTGTCTTGCGTTATAGTCGACGCGATGCTGGAAGTTCGACTCTTGGACATCCTCGTATCGAATCTCGTGGATTGGCTCCTAAAAGTGAAGGTGGTTCTTCCACTGGTAGCAATGGATTTAATATCATCCGTGGTGGAGGCAGGGGCGGCGAAACTGCTCTTATCGCCCCTCGAGAATATCGTCCCGGTGACCGAGCGCATGTCGCCACTGCCGGATTTTGACATCACGTTGATCTTCAATGTTTTTGATGGCGCCTTCATGACCTCGGCTGAAAATAAGAGATCTCAGCTTAATCTCAGGTTAAATGTACCGACCAACTCGCGCGAATTCTTACACATTTTTTTCTCCATTGGTTTGAGGGCAAGGATGTTACGGCGCATCGAAACAGATATTCTTTTCTGAGCTTTTTTCAAAAATTCTTCGAATTTTCGCTCCTCGAAGTCCTTCATGCGTTTGCCCAGAATCACGTAATGCTCGAAAGCTATGTGGCGAAGTTCGCTCTCTTCGAGCTCCTTGACTTGCTGAAAAACTAAGGCAGGACTCTTCATTCGATGGAACAATTGACGCTCCCAGTATATGGATCCCGACACCAGTGGATGCTCGCTCAGTATCGGAGGGTGACGCTTATCTACGAAAACGGGAATTTATGTAGCAGTGTGCGAAAATCAATGCTCACGTCTCACTTTTTTCAAAAATGTTCTCAATCTCGTCGATCTCTTTGCTGAACTGCTTCATGATCAGATCGAACTTCATAATGAGCCGCTCTTGCACGGCCTCTCTCGTCTTGATGTTTCTGAATTTCATGAGAACCATGAGGGCCTCCTCGGCCCTGATGAGAGCGCCGAAAATCTCGTCGACGAACATCTTCGCCTCGTTCTCGAGTCTCTCGGCCTCGCCACGAAACCAGGACATGGTCGCGTCCCAACTGTCGTGGTTGTACTCGTTGTAAGCCTCGTTTTCCGCGTTCTTTATGGGCCCGAGCAGATTATCGACTCGCTCGGCTATGTTGTCGACTCGGGCCGGATCGTCGACGATGGACTTGAGCTCCTCGCCGAATATATTGTGGAAGTCGCGCATCACTCCGGCGACCTCGTTGAGATTGGCCGAGACCCGAGCGAGGTAGTCCGTGTCTTTGAAGAGCCTCACTTGATCGAATTCCCAGCGTTTGCCCTTGCCGGATGACTCGATGCTCTGGCGAGTTGCGAGGTACGACTTTTTCCAAAGGGTCAGCATATTGTGCACAGACTCGGTCTTTTCCAAAATTTTGCGCGTCGGTAGCCTGCTCGTGCAAATTTTCACATTAAATGAGGGTCGCTATTCTCGCCACACTCACACAAAACCGATAGGAGGACTTACTCGAAAAGTTGTCTAATTCCCATGTTTCTGCGGACATTTTGCACCAATTGCCAGGATATCTTTTCGATGAGCGAAACCATCTGCTCCTCGCTCGAATAATAGTTCGATAAAATCCAGATCATGCGCAAGTGCTCCCAAAGAGGCGGTATGGTACTCTCTATTCCGGCGAAGGTCTCGGCAGTCTCGATCACCTTAAAGTGCCTCAAGACCGTACCGAGAAATTTGTTATTTTCCTTGGCACCGGCGTAGAGATCGTTGATCTCGCGCTTGTAATGATCGAAGCCCGCGCCTATGGCCGAATTGGCCAGATCCAAAATGTTCGTGACTCGCTGCACGGGGCCGCTCTTGAGCTGATGCACGAGCTGAGACAAGCCGATCTCCCGATCCTGCCAGTAGTCGTACTCGGCCATCGGGTCGCGGCCCATCAATGTTTTGGCCGTGTACCGATCTATGACCGTTTGAATGTGCTTTTCCCACGACATCACCGTCTCTTCGAGCAACCGAACAAATTTTGCGTCTCTCGACAGATCGAGGTCCTTCTTGTTGCGGCTGACGCCCGCAAAAACGTCTACGGCCGATAGGAGATTCTCGTCTTGAGAGTCCCAAGATCTGGAAAAAAGGCTCGTTCGTTTAATCGTATCTACGCTTTGTTTTACATACCTGTCCATTGAAACGATGAGTGAGTCGAGGTCGCGTTGCAAATTGCTCTTTGACAAATTCAGCTCCTCGGCTTGGATTAGGTCGATCGCAGCATCGTATCCGTTCTCCTTTATCACTTTTTGAGCTTGATCTTTGCCGAGCGACTGCATCTTCAATATCTCCCTAAAAACCTTTTCCAGCATCGACTTCAGACTTTCGAGAGTGTCGGGTTGCAGCGAGCCAAGGAGCAGGTGCGACGGCATCTCATCGAAAGCATCGTCCAGCGAGTTGAACGTCGGTATGGCGGATTCGCTCGAGCGCACCATGAAAATAAGCCTCTGCTTGATTAATTCTTCGTCGGACGTATCGAGCTCGCCAAAAACACAATGAAGTACGGGAATCAGCACTTCGCGATCGACTACTTTCTGTATAAATTAAATAAGATCAAAATAATGCACACCAACTGTAGCGATAAAAACTTACTCTGGTGAGTATGTAATTTTCTTCTTTACCAGGAGGAGGCACGAAATCGACATCCTCCACTAAAATTCGATATTAAAAAATCAAAAATGCCATATTAAAAAATTTTTTAAATTACACGACCAACGTTGCCTTACACTCTTTGTGTTCAATGGAAATAACTTCATCTTTCTCATCCTCGTTCTCAATTTCTTCCTCGTTAGCATCGGCATCGATGTGGCTTTCTTCGTCTTCGATTCGTAACGCTGTTGTTTCTTCGGCATTTTCTTCCTCGGGGGCTTGATCGATCGAGGAATCAGTGCGATCGAGTTTAGCTTTGCTATTTTTACGTGACGGTTTATTCGATTTAGTTTTTTTAGCACCTTTGCCTTTTGTCTTTCGTTTATCTATACACATGAAAAGTAATAAAAATTTCAAATTCAAAGTACAACCAAGTTGAAAAAACTACAGTGCAGTAACAAATCGATGGGTGCAGCAAAAATTCAATAAAATGTTTACCATCGTCGCCACTTTTAACTAATCTTTGCGACTTAACGTGGGCAGCGAAAGCTCCCATGGCTGATATTTTTGAACGACCTATCGATGCACAGTTTTCGATAGATAAGAATTTCTAATGATTTCAATTTTATTGCCCTAAAATCAAGAATTAAACTTTTTACTTGTCAACTACTGTACCTTCTTCCCATACAGAAACTTCCTCTTGTATAATTTCAGCTCTCTGAGATTTGTAAAAATAAACAACTTTTTTTTCGAGTTCTGCATTCTCGTAAGTATCAGTATTTAAGAACTGCAATAGTTTTTCTTCATTTGCATGATTATTACTCTGTAATGGAAAAGATTCGGTGTTTTCAATTTTGCTTGCAACTTTTTATTAAAAAATATGATGGCTTTACGTTCAAAAGGTCGTTGAAAAGATTATAATCATCAGTAAGTTCAAGTAGCTTCAATATTGTTTCTCTGATCCAAAGAACACTGTAAAGACAATGATGTTGAATAAAAAGACAGAATTTACTATAAAATTCACTTTTATTCAAATAATATTGAAGATATTATTATAAGACTACAAAAATCAAAATCTTAACTAAAGGCTTAAAAAATAACTATAAAATAATACCGATAATCCATGGCCGGCGATGAAGTGCTGGGTTTAATGGCTATTTTACTTTTGGATTGAGAATTCCTGGCGGCATTATTTTCTGACATTGTAACTGTCTACTTTACACTGAAAAGTTGATCGATTAACACACCATAGCCGAGAGCATGGCGCACACCACCACGCACGTTTCTATGGTTGCAAACGACTCTTCCTTCTCTCTCTCTCTCTCTCTTTTTCTCTCAATATATTTTCTTTTCACGCGCAATATTGCAAGCTCGACTGTTTACGTCATGGTACGGTATTCATTCAAATAGGTTATATACCTATAAACATAAACATACAGTAAAAATTGACTCTCAACGACCCATGCTCTATGAGTGTATTTATATAGCTACTACACATACATTAGCCTTTCAGATCTCTATGCATATATAAACTTAAAATTGAGAAGATACATTTGAGAAAATTGACTACGATAAGAAATATCTGGGACGATTACACGAGTAAAAAATATATTGCTATACAAATTAATTAATGATCTATTAAAAAATATCGGCAGATATTCCAGTCAAAATCTTATAAATTAAAGGAGCTTAAAAGTAAAAAAGTATTGTACAGATTCGATAAATTAAGCGCTATGAATTATTTTGTTTCGGACGCATCTTCTTCGCTGTAATCAAAACGATGAGAGTCTTCGTTATAGTCCTTGGCGTCATTGTAAGTCGCCTTGTCGTTAGCATCGGTTACGTTTATAACAAGGCCGGATGGCGGCTTGAGGTATTGATCAGAGGGCTGTGTGTCTTCAACGAGGCCCTTCTTAACCGCTTCCAGATACTCTTGTTTACCTCTTTCGCTGCCAATCTCGAAGCCCAAGGCAGGTATGAATTCGGTCTCGAAGGTAGCTTTCGCCGGAGATTCCGTCGAGTTACTTTTCAACGTCGACTCGGCATTGGAATAGCGCAACGAGTTGATGCGCTCCGGCGAGTAGGAACTTGGCGTCACTGGACTGTCGTCGTCGTCGTCGTCTTCGTCGAGGTCGACGTTCATGTGCTCTTGAATGAGTTCCAATTTTTTACGATACGAGCGCGACTTCATGATTCTGTAGAGGTTGAAGTCGGGCTCTGGGATGTCTTGGTAGGCGCGGTGCAACATCATCGATGGTTTTTGCGGGGCCGCGGTGTCGTAGTAGTTGAATTGAGCCTGCGATACCGGTGGCGGGGCCTCGAAATTTTGGTACTGCGGATCGTTGAGTCCGTAGCTCGGGGGTTGCGCATACGAGTCCGTCTCGGAAGCATCGCGTCCGAAGGCCTCGTAATTGTAAATCGGAGCCTCAAAGTCCGATTCTCTGAGCGGCATGTTCCGATCGTCGAAATAATTTTGTCTGCTGTCCTGATACCTGTAGCGCTGCTTCGCATTTTGTTTGGCACTCGGAGTTCTCGGCACGGAGGCATCGCCATTCGCTACTTGGCTCATGGCGTAGAGAACGTTCGACGGTTTATCTTGCAATCCTGCGTTGATTTCGTAAGGATTCGTTTGTTCGATAGGGAGGAGAGGTGCCTCGGTTACTTCCCTGAATTTGTTCACCTTGCGATTTCTCGACGGAGAAACGCGAGAACCATACTTTTCATAATTATTCCTCTCTTCGTAGTAATTCGGAACTTCTCTTTGCTGATATTCTACGTTTTGCTGGTAGTCGACGTTTTGATAATTATCCGAATTGGGTCGTACGTTCGAGCGGACTTGCTGAGGTCGTCTCCTGCGAAACTCAACGGATCTCTGTGGCTCGACTTTTGCAGGTTCTTCCAGGTACTGCTGTGGCAGCTGCCTGTTGGGTTGATACTCCGCTCGATCGTCTTCTCTGTTCTCGTAATCTCTCGCTGGCTCCCTGTTGTAGTTCGATGCGAATCTCGGTTGTTCGCCACGAGTTCGGTACTTTTGGCCGGAGTAGTTGCTCTGGTAGTTTCGAACGGGTCCTCGCCTGCTGTTGAAGTTCTGATTGGCTTTCTGATAAGCAACGGCGGCATCTTCCTCCTCGTAATCATTATTAGCGGCGTAATACTGCTGAGGAGCTTGCGTGGTCGTCGTGCTGCTGCTTACCGGTCGACGACCCCTGTAATTTACGCGTCCCCTACTCGGCGCCTTCCTGTTGTAAATCGATTCGGAAGCTCTGGAGCTTGGAGTGGTTCTGGTAAACAAGTAGGATCGTTGGGTTGTCACAGCGGGGCTTTCGGCTTCGGTCTGCTTGGGTTTGACGGCTTCGCTTTCGGATGAGTCAACGGGTTGCTCGATTCTTTGACTTATGAATTTGCTCAGCGACTGACTGTCCAACGGAGTCTGAATTTCCAGCTGCTTTTCCGTATCGTTCAATGTCAGTGTGACAGCGAGCGGAGCGTTGCTTTCCACGTGAGAGTCGGCAACTTGTTCGCTGGCGTTTGTGGCCTTGTTTTCGTTTGCCAGTGGCGATTCCGTGGAACCTACCTCGGCAGGTAAAGTAGTTTTAAATTCTTGAACGTTGATACGAAAACTGGAGTTTTCGTCCGTGCTCGGAATTTCCGTTGCACCCGTGAAATAATCATCGTTGTCGGGGAACGTATAGGACGTAGTCGTTTCTACCGATCGCTCGTCCAAGTTCGGCAGGGTCGTGGCTTCGGTCTCGTACTGGGCAGTGGTGGTCTCTGCGGCTGGAGTTTCCGTTGCATAAATCAAATTTTCACCCGTGCTCGACTTAGCCGCTTCTTGATCGGCTTCTAGTGTCGTAGGAACTGCGGTTGTCGTTTCGAGTTCCAACTTTTGCTCGACTTCTTCAACTTTCCGTTCGGTTCCTGAGCTAACCAAGCCAATGCTCTCTTTACCTATCATATCTTCCTTGTATTCATTCGATTTAGTAGTGGGAACATTTTCTTCGTATTTTTCCGTTGAATAGCTCAAGGGTAGATTTTGTACCGTGGATTCGGTCGGATTTTTATACGACTCAGCCGATGAAGTCTTGTAGTAAGAGGGGGTGGTCGTGTAGTATCTTGTCGTTTTCGGCGTCGTGTACTTAGATCCTCGGACTCTATATCTGGCATTCTGGGCACTGACTTTCGGTTTGCTTCTAAGTTCCGTATCTTCGTCTATCGTCTTAATTCTAATGACCGGCGAATCGGTCATAGGTACAATCACGGGCTCGTTCGACCTTAGCGAGCCTCTCGTTTGGTACTTATTTTCATAATTCAAGTTGTTTTCTTGCCTGCTTACGATGGAGATGACTTTATTGTGTTCTCGATCTTGATCTTGATAATCACTGTCTTGATGATTACTCAGAGTTTGGTGAACTTTCTGACGATCTTCGAGTTCCGAGTCGTAATCTTGAAACAGTTTGAAATAATGTTTCTTGGTTTCGGAGCAGGGCACCTTGGTCCACCAATCGCAAGTGAGCAAACGTTGACTGAACAGCGAACCGATTGGGCACAAGAACGACGAAGTATGGCCTGAATCACAGACGTGGAATACTTGGCAGCCAGCTTCTTCGTCGGCGTAATAACCTGTAACAATTTTCAATTACACGTTAGATAATCGACAGCAGATTTGTCATTTTATCTCTGACTAGTATCATTTCTTTAGTACACATATTTCGTGCAAGAATCAAAGCTTGAATCTATTTGGGCTAAACAAAAAAAAAAACATTTACCACAAACTCTTCAATTCGATAGACGTTACATAAAAAAAAAGGGTAAAAAATAAGAATTTTGCGCAATGTTTGTAATCAGCATTAATCAATAAAGAAAAATAACAGCTGTGAGTCGTTTTTACGATCTCGGTTGGTCGTGAATTATAGCTTTTTACGGCCATGTACGCATCAACAACAGAATAAATTTTACACTCTTGACGCGTTGATACATATTATTACGAGCAGACTCGAAAAATATTTTTAAGACAATTTTTTTCATCTCGCAGGAGCTCGCGTCGCGGAAAATCTTGAATGCACATTACAAAGTGCCCTTTGATGATTTATATTTCCATTCGTTAAGCATCTGCCAGCGTACGAGAAGAAATACGGGTGCGATTTTTTTTTTTTTTTTTCATCAAAACGAGACGCAAAGTTTAAAATTGAAATTACAGAACATGTGCTGGGCTTTTGCAAGCATCAGTTTGAGAATAACGAGGTACTTGGCTCGCGCAGGCTAGAATCTTGCGCGGCCCTTTTCATACAGGTAGCGAGTCGGTACGCGGTCAGCGGCTATAATTATTTTCCCCTCGAAGCGCGGATTTATCCTTTTTTTTTTGTGCGACATGCGTACACGCGCGAAGAAATAATAAAATCTCAGTGAAACAATATGATCGCGCTCTATTGTCTCGTAAAAGGATGAAAAAAGGAAGAGTTTCGGAGGCGCGCATCATCCAAGCCATGCGCGCGGCTTTCATTACAAAGAATTTCAAGATCGTAAAAATGCAGCGCGTTACATCTCGCTCTTGTGCGTACGTGCGCGCTTGTATATATATATATATAGACACTGGGCCGCATTGCTGCGCATTGCTGCATTGATGCACTGCTGCCGAGTGCCCTATTATTTTCTTCGGACTTTTTTAGAGCAGTTCTGCGTATAATGACGTATAAATCAAGCCCCGGCCGTTGCGAAACGTAACTCGTTCGCGATATAAATAACGAAAAAAAAAGAAGAAGAAGATGTTGTGCAAATTTTCCAAAGTCCATCCATATAGATAAGGACTCGGGGGCTCGATGGGAGAGAGAGGAGAAAGAAATGGATTAAATAAGGCAGCGACGATATGTACGACTCACCTCGGTCTTTGCCGGAGCAGCTGAACGAAGTTCTCGGTAATCTCTTGTAGGCGGGATAATCTACGCCGGGTTCACCGGGTACGTTGTTCCTGAGACCTTGGAGCTCTGCAAATAGGCGCATGCATGCATGCCATTATAATATACACTTGCATGAATGCACCGAGCGGCACAATAAGAACGAGGCGAACTTACCCGCTTCCTCCATCTCCAGGTTGTCGCGATACTGGCCTTTGTAATCATTGTAAAAGCCGTCTTTCACTGGCTCGTAGTGTTTTCTGCGTTACAATCAAATCGATGAATATTTTATCATCAACGACTCGCTCTATGCGTTCGCGCATTTTTATGTATGTGGTACAAACCTGCCGCGAGTTCCATCGATGCTTCGTCTGGCCAATACCTTTTTCGTTCGATCGAAGCTGTCGTCGTCCTCCTCCTCGTTGTGTTGCCGACGAGCTAGGATAAGCTCGCAGCTCCAGCACAGCAGGACTACGAGAACTGAAAGAGAGAAAGAGAGAAAAAATCACGTTATCCTCAGTTTGTTTTGCTTTCGAAGAAGAGAGCAGCGTCTGCGCTCGTGATTTTGAAGGCTCGTTACACGTCCGCGTCGACGTTTTATGTTCTCGCTCAAAGAAACACGCCACGGGACGCGCGTAGGCCTATGCGGCTGCACGACATTGCGTCATCGCACGCAGGAATAATCAAATGCTCAAATTTATGAAGTCTCGAACATTTTAACAAACGAATCCGAGAGTCGTTTTTGATCTTCTGGACTTACAACGCATACTTGTATGTATAATATGCTCGCAACGCATTTGCGATCGAATTGCAGTCATTACGCCGTACACGTGCATCGTCCCTGCGCTCGATGGATAATTGAATGTTGCCAACGAATTCCGATATTTTTTGCCCTTTTATTTGACCAAGTAAGTCCATGACGTCGTTTTCATCGAATAACCCTGCATCTATACGTATCGCTTACAGAAGGTACAGATCGCGTGCGCAGCTCGGAACGATGTGCGCGCTCGCATCTTCTTCTTTCTTTTTTTACGCTCGACATGTCACATGCTCTCGCAGGACCACCCAGTAATTTCAATTGGGTTTCTTGTAATAGTGATATGGTTTATTACAAGTGCGTGGCCAGGCTCTCTATACCTTGTAGCGTAAAATAGGCGCATAACTCGCGCATATACGCATTACTTGCGCAATCTCGGAAGTACGATATTAACGTCGCGCTCGCGGGATTTGATGCTTTCGTCGTCGAGGACGTTAGTTTTGCTCTAATTTTGTCACGGATCAGCGTGTCTATATGAAATGCAGCTCTGCATTTTATTATATGCTTTTCGAGGATTTTATTAAGCCACGATTAGAGTGCAAACGTGATTTATGTAAGTCGTCGCGGGAGCAATGGACCCGCGGCACGGACGCGCGCAACGAGCATTTTACGATGATACTTGCTGCTGCACACATTGTTTATTATCATGTGAAGCATAAATTTCGCGAAAAAGCATTTTTTGCTCTGGGCAACGACTAGTTGCCCACCGCTTCGAGTGATATAATTTAAAATATTTGAAAGTAACGCAACGTTAAGCGCACGAATGCAACATCATTTTGACTCGTAAACACGAGTGCAATATTTTTTTTTTTCATCAACTAATTTTACTTGGCTACCAAGAATTCGTCGATTCCGATTTCATTGTTCAGTACCAGCACTGGTCAATCATCTCCAGAAAAACCGCGATGATTCCGACTACGAGGCTTCTTTCACTCCGTGTACACACACACATACGAACGTATGTGTATTTTCAAAGGTCAATAACTTACGTCTGTCGAGTTAACTCATTGCTATTTGCCTCAGAATTGTAGTAAATCAAAGAATAATATATTTTAAAAGTTAATAAGAAAAAACTTTCACGGCGGCTTCAGCGCGCGCAGCCAAGTCGACAGAGTAGAGGTCGTGGCCAAGAGCGCTATCGAAAACATTTTACGATTCAACATTTTTTTATTTAAAATAAATATTTTTCTAAAATTAAACAGTGCAGTTTTTTATTTATTATTTTTTTTTTTTACACTTCTGTGAAAATTGAATGGTTTTGTTGTACTCATGAATGTATTGGAAATCGAGTGAAAACTGTAAATATCGGTAAACTATATTGAGCAGATCGGTAGTAAAAGATACATACGTGTTACACTTATTTTATGAAATTGACAGGGTATACACGAACTTTATCGTCGATTTTTGTCAAAACTGCAGAAAACTCTCACGAAGACAATAAAAATGATGAGTTTGAAGCGATTGACATAAACAGCAGTTTCATTTACCGAGCAAGGAGTAAAAGGTGGGAAAGTTTTTAATGGTGACATATAGTGCGTATCATATACTTAAATACTAAAGTTACACACGAAATTTTCTATATATAAACACAATGAAGATGGGGACCGAGCGAAAGCTTTGCTATCCTATCAGGTGTTATATATTTTGCGGCTTTTTAAAAGCTATGCTCGCAAAGTGTCGACGCAATGATTCATAATAACTATATTATACACTTCGAACAGACAACGAAACGGAAATTAATATATTTTTTATATAGTACAACAGCTCGTGATTTCATCTGTATAATACTGAATTTTTCACGTTCAAATTGAAATGAAAATTGATGAATCGAAGAATTTGGAAAAATAAAACAATTCTTAATTGGAGCAGAAAGAAAAATTGCGTTCGCAAAAAATATGCCAAGACAAGAATGATCAACATTTAATTTACAAAAAACAATTTTGATTTATTTTTCTCTTCTGGGGAATAAACTTTTATTGAATTATTATTATTTATCGTTGCTTCGTTAAATGCAAATATTTCGGGTCATTTTGAACGAATTCAAGTAATTTTGTACTTACATATGGCTTTGCACTGCATTATCACTAACTTAATTTGAAAACACTTTTATTAGAAAAAAAATTGTCTTCAACAACTAATGCAGCTACAACAGCACTAAAAGCGCACGAGAGCAAGCATCGATCGCGTGCAATGTTCTGTTCATCACTGAGTGTAAACAGGTGAGGCCTAGGGGCTCATATCTTGGTTGGTCCCCGACCCCCACCTCGCGGGCACCGATCTTACAATTGGGCCCGATAGCAGTGGATGATGCTGTTTCTGTTTTTTTTTTTTGCCGTGGGGACAGATTTTAAAAAATCGGTGAGTCAGTTGAGTAATGATGCGATGATTCGTCCTCTATTGCAAAGTTGATAGACGGCTCGTAAAAATTATATTTTATTGAGATTAATAAAGCGAGACTTTTTTATTTTAAATTTTTCTTATCGCTGCTTGTAAAAAAAAAACTATAATAAAACAATTCGAACGAGTCCAGCCTACATACAATAGTGCGTATAACACAAGTAATTTGCCGGGTAAATAGTCAAAGATAGGCGATTTTCTAATATTCCGTTTGCTGCCGCGTCCATTGATGATATCAGTAATGGAAATAAAGTTTAGATTCATGAATGAGCGATTCGGTCAAAAATTTCGACTGATTCACCAGGCGTCACTTGAATGATTTGCATAGAAAATAGAGAGGTATAAATAATCAAATTCGATATACTTAAGTGCGTGTGTATCCGCGCTATCGACTAGATCATTCGACAAACTAAACTCGAGCGTGAAAAAAGTTGTTTGTTTTTAATAAAAGACCGAGAGGATGAGTAACTAATTTTTCATAAGTTATACAACAACAAACAGACTGCAATCGGATAAATATAAATCCGAAAAATTCTCAGTGATATCAGTCACGCAGGTGCGTGTATGGAAAAAAAGTATACGCAAAGTATAGACGCGCGCGCGCAAAAATCATCCACGTCGTATTATGGCTCACGTTTCAATGTAAAGGACTCTTGGAAGAATCTCGCATAGGTATAATCGCTGAGAAAAAAAAGCAATTGTCAATTTTGGGCACGCAATCGAACAAATACGAAAATTACATAAGGATGACGCGCGTGTAAAATAATTAGAAAGTCTCACCTATAGTCGAGCACCGGCAAAAGAATTTCGGTGAATGACTTTTGACTTTTGCCGCCCGCGCTCGAGCGCGCGCGATCCTCCACGAATTCTCAATGAGGATCTCGCGGGCGCGCGTAAATAGGGTAAACCGTTGGAAGTCGTTGTTTCTTCTGCACGCTCACTGCCTAATACGCAGTAGGGTTCAATTATGCTAACAAGCGATTAATTGCTTCTCTTTCTATTGCTAAATAATGCCCATCCGTTTGCGTAAGTTCAATGACACCTTGGCAAGGCGAATTTCTTTGTCTATGTGTAAGTGTAACTCGAGAGAAAAAAAGAGTAGCATAACAGACCTATTCCGTTATTTTCTTCATCTTTTTCTCCTTTTTTTTTCTGCGTCAAATTTTTCATCGCGTATTGCAGGGGATTATAATATAAGCCCATTGCAAAAGCTAAAAGCCACCAAATCTTAGAATCCTTGTCATTAAGTTGATATGTTGTTGCCGTGGCTCTGTCGCATCTACATATTGCGCAAAGGCGTCTTTTCCCTATTTACATTGCATTGTGCACAGAAGGTATTGCCGCATAATTTTTATACACTCTTGGCTCGCGTGTTTAAAAGGATCGACGAGCCGAAAATATTAGGGTCATCGCGTACAATTAAATTTACCCAAGCCTCTCGCGTACTCGTACTCATCCGATAGAGCGTTTAAGGCCAATTATTAGCCGCGTTCGTAGCGATAAAATGATCATAAAACACTTGAAAATGCAGCGACCTTGAGGCCGCACTTCATTTCGTATACAACGTGTAAGAAGAGTCGCGAAATAATAAAACAACAACAACAACAACAACAACCGCATGGGATTGTAAATGCTTTCGTTACATGGGTCGTTGTCGAATTAACTGCGGTTTCGCAGCGAATGTTTATTCGTCGATGAGAAAGGATAATTATAAAAAGATTATTGCAATATTACGCAGTGTATCATCAAAATTTCGAATGCGTGCTGCGACGTCGAGCCAAAATGATATGACTGGGTATCCGGAAAGAGACATTACTATTCGCGCGTGAAAAAATAAAGCAAAGGAACATAAGAGCAACGCGTGGATGCTATAACCGCTCGATGATATAAATGTTTATTTTCGGGTTGGGTAATAATTTAGCTGGCTCGAGTGACGGCTCTCTCTCTCTCTCTTTCTGCTGGGCCTCTTTGTTTCCTCGATCTTTGGCTTTGTAATATATGCGCTCGCTGCGCGCCTATGCCTCTGCATATATATAGGTAAATACTCATTATGCGCGCGTAAAGCCGTTGGACGTGTAGCCGGGCGTGTAATGGGCGGCCGACGGCCACTGGGTCATTATCGAGCCTGCTCTCACGATCGCGCGGGCGCGCGCGCGCCTCTTCGTTCTCGCATTGTTTTGCTCGCAAATCAATCGGCTGACGTCTTGCCTCGTTTATTCGCGCTTACATCTTTAATTAATCTGACAAAATTCGATACTTACGTTGGTGTCTCTATATCGCGCGGATTAACGATGAATCTAGATTATTCGCATTTTTCATTCGTATTCGTTGTATCATCGTTTGCGAAGGCGCCACACACCCGTCGCTTAATGTTGTATTCGAAATATTGTCCAAGTTGCTATGAGATTCGTGCAAACAATTCCGAAGGCCAAAGTTACAACGACGACGAGCAAACGTCTAATATTTCCTGATTACCATACGCACCTCCAAAACTAGTCGTTTTTTAGACAACTTTTTGCGTAATAGGGCCAGCCCTCGATACGCGGCCACTTTTAGTCAAATTAATTGCAAACGTTTGGACAAGTTTTAAAATGATTTAAATGGTATAGTCCAGGTAATTATTATTCATTGGGTGTAATTTTTGTTTTTCAAAGTGTTTTTTAAATTAAATAATGGAAATGCTTACACCATATTTAAAAGTGACCGGATATTGGCGCATAATGATTTTTTTTAATATCGAAATACTATTTAATTTAAAATATGACGTTTCAAACTATTTTTTCAAATTTTCTTTGAGAATTTGGACAGCTTCAGGGATTCAAGTTTTTAATATCAAAATTAAATTTGTTCTTAATGTATTATGCATATCTACTCCATGGGAGAGAAAATAATTTTATTTTACTCTTTAAACTGAAAGCAACGATTGTCTCATGTCTGTCTTTTTTCAATATCTTCATAAAACTCTCAGCTACCATACTTATCTGTTGGTCTGTATAACGAGTTACGCCGGCAGACGGTATGTGTACCTATACATGTGGGTAGCACAGGCTTTGCATGATGCGAGCACGTTTCAAAAAACCGCCTGCTAGGTTTCAAGCGACACATGCCGCAATGTTTACTACATTTCACGTAACTCTCAATTCGCTTCTTCGCTTCATTTAAATAATATGAAATGTGTAAGTACGTTTACAATCGCGAAAAAAGTACTTAGCAAAAGTCAGCGGTCTTTGAAACTCTACGATCAGTGCAAACATGAATACTCATCGAGCAAACAGGCGTTCGCAGAGAGTGAAAGTGACAAAGAAAAACAAAATTTGCTCGAAAATGAAACCAGATACAATGAGATCAATTTGCAAATGTTATCTAGAAATTTATATCAACAGATTTTTGGCAACGACTTTAACAGAGCTGAATTCGACGAAAATGCAGTGTTGTCGGTGAAAAAAGATTTGGCTAAATTTGAAATATCAACTTCCAATTCAGAAATTATACCGGATGTAAATATAACCATTCCTCCACTTAAAGGGTCTAATATTGAAGAACACTTTAAAAATATAGCAAGAGAACAAGTTGATCCATACTTGAATATTATTTTCAATTTGCTGGGTAATATTCCTCCTATGCCCAAAAAATTTGTATTCCAAGAAGGATGGACCAAATACTATAACAATACGTATGAATCTGTTGATTATCCTGAAGAAGATGGATTAATTTATGACGTTGAAGTTTGCGTAAAAAATGGGCCATTTCCAACCTTAGCTACTGCTGTTGGGAATAACGCATGGTATAGTTGGTGTTCAAAACAGCTCATAGACGGTGGGTCACAAAATTTCAGTAATAAAATTGTTACACCAGATTACTTAATTCCTTTAGAAAGTTCTAAAAGTGATAAAGGAACTTGTTTAAATAACTTTCAAAAAACCCCAAAAATAATTGTTGGACATAATGTTTCCTATGATCGTGTTCGAACAAAAGAACAATATTGGTTGAATGAGACTGCCACTAGATTCTTGGATACTATGTCTTTACATATATGCATAAGTGGTTCAAGTAGTTATCAAAGAACTATTTTACAATCTAAAAGTGCAGCAGAAGAAAATCATTATTTACATTCAATTTCATCTCTTAACAATTTAGCTGATGTTCACAAGCTTTACTGTAAAACTGAAATAAACAAGGAAGAAAGAAATATTTTTGTAGAAGAAGAAATTGAAGTTATTAGAGAAAAATTTCAAGAATTAACACATTACTGTGCATCTGATGTAATTGCAACTCACAATGTTTTGAAAAAATTGTTTCCTATGTTTCTTGAAAGATTTCCTCATCCAGCAACTTTAGCTGGAATGTTAGAACTTGGCTCAGCATATTTACCAGTTAACTATAATTGGAAACGATATATTGAAGAGGCCGAAACAACTTTTGATGATTTAAATTTGGAAAGCAAAAGTTGTTTATCCAGAAGAGCAGACCAAGTATGTAGGTTGTTATTAGATGAACAATACAAAGAAAATCCTTGGATGTGGGATGAAGATTGGTCGATCAAAGATCTTAAAATGAAAAAAGGCTGTGAAAAAGTATATCTTAAACAAAAAGAAGATTTAGCTACTTTAGATAGGAAACCTAACATAATTGAAAAGTTTAATTATTTAGAGAAAACTAGAGAATATCTTCCCAAAAAAAAGTCTCATTTGCCAGGTTACCCAAATTGGTATAGAAAATTATGCTACAAAGATGAAGAATGTGAAATCAAGTTTCCCAAAGCTCAAAAAATCAGTACTTCCATGAATGTGACACCAAAAATTTTAAATCTATCATGGAAAAATTATCCACTTCATCACATAAAAGAATTTGGTTGGGGTTTTTTGGTGCCTTACAAAGCTGAAAGCTCTACTTCAAAAATACCATTGGAACAAATATTTCGGCATTTATCAAATAAAAATGTATCTCCTGAAGAGCACAATAAATTGATCAGAGAAACAATTATAAACATTCAAGAAGAAAAAAATTCTAAAGAAGTATCTCGTCCAAGCTGGTTTCAACCAGCAAAACCAGATGATCAACCTGATGCGAATTTGGATGATTGTTGTTATTTTTTCAAACTACCTCATAAAGATGGACTGTTTTTAAATGTTGGCAATCCTTTGGCTAAAGATTTTATCAACAAATTTTTGGAAAATGTTCTTACTGGAATAGACGCGAGTGCCACAAGAATTTTGGAAATTTCAACAATGTCTTCATATTGGAAAAATAATAGAGATCGAATTCTTTCTCAACTTGTAGTGTGGCTAGATAGCAAAGAAAACTTCATGAATTCAAAAGTCAAGAAAAACCATCAGACAATTAATTTCGGAGCAATCATTCCACAGGTCGTTGTATCTGGTACTTTAACAAGAAGAGCAGTTGAACCCACGTGGATGACGGCCTCAAACGCTCAGTACGATAGGATCGGTTCTGAATTGCGAGCGATGATCAACGCCCCTGCAAACTACAATATCGTCGGAGCGGACGTGGATAGTCAAGAGTTATGGATTGCCTCCGTGTTAGGGGACGCTTTTTCAACGGCAAATAAAATACAAGGAGGAACTCCATTCAGCTGGATGACCTTGATAGGAGACAAATCGAAACGCACCGATATGCACAGTGTCACCGCCAAAGCTATCGGCATCTCGCGAGATCAAGCCAAGATCATCAACTACGCTAGAATTTACGGCGCTGGTAAAATATTCGCCAAAAGATTATTGAAGCAGTTCAACCCCACGATGAGCGACAAAGAGGCAAGTGAAAAGTCCAGTAAAATGTTTCTCATGACAAAAGGACAGAAATATTTTCGGCTCAAGGAAAATTACATTTCCGGCGCTTTCGGCGATAGGCTCTACACACCCAGCGAAACATTCAAAGTCGCGAAACTCTTGGGCAAAAACAGAGACGAAGTGTTCGAGCGTGGAAAATGGACCGGTGGTACGGAGTCGGTGATGTTTAACAGTCTCGAAGAAATAGCAGCGGAAAAGCATCCGGCGACGCCTTTTCTGAACTCGAGGCTCAGCAGAGCCTTGGAAAAGGAATCGAACGATACGTATCTGCCGACGAAAATCAACTGGGTGGTGCAAAGTTCGGCCGTGGACTTTCTTCACCTCATCCTGGTGAACATGCGCTGGCTAATGGGCAGAAATGCTCGGCTCTGCTTGACCTTTCACGACGAGGTTCGCTACCTGGTAGCGTCCAAGCACAAGTACAATGCCGCCCTGGCTATGCACGTGACAAATCTGATGGTTCGCTCGTTTTTCGTCTCGCGGCTTCAAATGAAGGACTTGCCCATGTCCGTGGCTTTTTTTACCGGCGTCGAGGTCGACTCGGCACTGAGGAAGGAAGCCTCCTCCGATTGCAAAACCATGTCGAATCCGCATGGACTCAAAGAGGGATACGGCATCGAGCCCGGCGAGAGCTTGAATGTTTGGACTGCCATTGAGAAGAGCAAAGGTTGCGTAGGTACCATCAATTTAGATTCCAAAAAGTAATGTTAATTTTTCAATGATAGATGCGTCCATGCAATAAATGTTATATATTTTTTTTTAATAAAATTTTAAACACCATTCCAACGACTTGATTCTTCGCGTTTTTGAACGAATAAAGAGCTGAGTGGTCCGGCAATATCCTTCTCCTTCCTCTCTCCTTGTCTTGTTTGATCAAATTTAAATGCCCACAAGCGTGTATTATGCATCTAATCGTGTATAGTCAGGTGTAGTACAGTGGCTTGTGTTGTGGTAACCGAACGTCATGCATACTTAGCCTAGTTGCCATACAGCACGCAGTGGCGTGCGTCTTGTTGTCGGCTGCGTAATGGATTTTATTTTATCCGTCAACTAATTTTATTCATAAGGTTAAGTCAAGTAGCCAAATATTCGTTGCATCTCTCTCGACTTCAAGTTTTATTTTTACTTATCAGAAGGGTAAGAATCCAATTTTTTTTTACTCTTCTACGAGTTCAACTGAAATGATGTAATTTCTGTTCTTTATCATAAAAAAATTTTAGTTGCCTATCGAGAATTCGTAAAATTAATCAACGAATGAATATTCAAATACGAGTATAATTAATTGCAACTTGATGCTTAAATCTGTTTCGTTGTTTAATATTTTTACATTTTGCTTAAGGGGGATGACCAGTCACATATTCGGCGTTGGTTTGGGCCTATTTGTCATCTTAACTCTTTGGATATCTGCTGGACTTATATTTCTTATATCTCTTAGAATAGAAAAAAGAATCGGTGCTGTTGCATTAGCTGTTGCAGCTATTATTACTATTATATTGGTCAGTGTTCCTAGAGCTCCACAGCATCCAGTTTCTCAAGAAAATAAAGTACGTTTTTTCATGTTTACAAATTAAGGAGTAGATAATTTATCACTTAAAATCCATGTCTAATCATGTATAATGATAAACTTTATATTTTTGATAATGTACTCATTAAATTAGTAATTGATTATTTATTTTTTAGCCTTATGATCACTTTTTTATTTGGCGCATGATACTTTTGATACTCTTGGTTGCATCATCTGTGATAGGATTCATAGGATACATCAAATTTGAACTAATGGATATAGCTAGACCACAGAGAGTAAGGAATTGGGTTTTTTAAAGACAATTTTATTTACTAAAAGTATAGCCTCATTAAAAAACTATACTGTGACAACATCCAAAAAATTTAAAAATCAATTGTCAAGATGTTTACAACCGTAAGAAGGTTGACCAGTGTTTCTTTTCGAACAATTACAACTCTTAGTTGTAAAAATAAAATGTTCGAAATTGCAGATAATACAGATTTTGTGAATAAAGTAATGAACAGTTCAGTCCCTGTTATAGTCAATTTTCATGCTGAATGGTGTGATCCTTGTAAGATATTAACTCCAAAGTTAGAAGAACTAGTTGGACCAATGGAAGATTTAAATCTAGCTACTGTCAAAATCGAAGATAATCCAGAATTAGTCCATACTTTTGAAGTTAAAGCAGTACCTGCTGTCATTGCAGTTGCCAATGGATTAGTTGTAGACAAATTTATTGGCCTTGTAGATGCTAACATGATTGAAAATTTAATTAAGAAATTAACAGCATCAAGAAAGCCACCAGATGATAAAGAATAGTAAAATAGACAAAATAATGAAATTATTTATACATGTTTGTAAAATTTTTAACAAGCATTTAAGATCATGATATATATTAATATTTCAAATTTTGCATAGATTTTCAAAGACAAATACTAAAACTCTACTTAAATAAATTTATTAGTATTTATTTTGCGTCAATAAGTGTTTAATATGGTCAATTAAATATTGTAAATACATTTTAATTTTTGAATAATTTTATGTAACTTACCTGTTTTTTTTTTTATTTAAATTTTATAAAAATATTGGATGTAACTATACTGTAGTTATTTTTAAGTTATGTTATTTTGTTAATATATAATTATAAATTAATGGACTTACACCAAACGAAATGATGCTCAAATGCCTTTATTAGCCACAAATAAAGTAACATGTATGAAAATCATAATGTACTATAAGCAAGGTTGTTGTTTAATAAAAATTAAAGTACATTTTTAAAAAAGTAACTCATTTTTATTTATAATTAATATTTTTTATCATAGCAATTTTCATAGTTAACCCTTGTTAGATTTCTCTGTGTAGTTTACATTATTATACTATATGCGATGATACACAATTTTTTGATAAAAAAAATCTGAATTACAGCATTTCAATACTTTACATTAAACTTTTACCAATAGAAACACAATGAGTGTCATATATTTTTTTATTACCGATAATCAATTTGGCGCGTTAAGTTTATAAGTTGATTTTTATTAAAAACGGAACTTTTATTTTACTAAGATTTGTAATTTGGTTTAATTAGTATATTTAAAAAATACCGCTTTATATAAGATGAATCACATGGCAGTGTGTACATTGGCAGAAATTGTTCAAATGATTGTAACAAGGTTTATAGAGTTCTGAATTCAATCAAGATGCACGCCTTTGAAATTAGAGATTCTTGAATTTAATAAACTTTAACAATTCCATAGATCATCAAAATTTTCTATTGCATTTATATGCAGACTGTTTACATCAGTGCTAATTATAAAAGCTAAAAGCTTTTTTACCAATTATAAACGCTGGGATTTCAAACATTAACTATTAGGAATATTCCCTGCATATCAACATAAGGTAAAAGTTTCTAACGTCATATTCGAGTATTGAGTTTTTCTTAGAGATAATTCTGAAGCCTAAGCAAAAATGAAGATTCTCAAACACACTTTTCCAAATTTTCATAGAATATTTTTCGGAAAAACTTAGTGATTGTCTTCTCTTCATTTTTTTTAGACTTTCACCTAGTTTTTTTGGATGAATTTGAAGTAGAATTCTAAGAAGACGTAATTAAAATGATTTTCTTCTTTAGAGACTCGAGAACCTTTCAATACTTCAAGTAAAAAATTATACTTGTAAACTTTTGTACGTAAATAACGGCTTGCACTGATGATTTGAAATAGAATATTAACAACAATAATGGTTCAGAAGTAATGGAAGAAATTACCGATGTTTGAAATTATAGTAAATGCATGATTTAGATTCAATATTTGATTTACTTTTCCATACACTTAATTCAATTTTCGTATGAAGTAAAAGTAGATATTTATAAATCTCAACAATAACGATTATCATTGCATGATTAAAAAGATATATATAGTCATACATTTTTTGTACGCAATATTGTTGATCATTTACCTATAAGATAGTTCTTGTCCTTCAAGTAAAAATGAAATACCAGTACAATTGATATTAATTTTTCAATTACATATTATTTTCTCCGGATAATCAGACTCAACTGTTCTCTTGGCAGCGAGCAGTAGTAGTACTCATATCTTCAGTTAAAAGACTAGCTAATCCAATTAATATGTATAAATATATATAATTTATATTTCCGTTATTCAGTCAGGTGATGCACACCGTCATATAAGGCCATGTCACGACTTAACGCTGGCTGTGTTATTTTGTTTATTTTTTTTATAAATAGCACATATTAATGTAAATTTTTTTGGTCAAACTATTTTTGTTACATTTATTTTATAACATCTATCTGTTTTCAGTAATTCTTCCACCAATTTTAATTGATATAATTAATTAAAACAAATTAATTATCGTCCTGTCATTGAAATAATTTTAAGACCAAAGATTAGAACAAAAAACAATGTTATTGAAAATAGAATATCGCATAATTTTGAGAGCACTTGAAAGTTTGATTCAACGAAGCCAATTTTAGATGTTTTGTGTGCGTCGAAAACAGACCAATAATATAATATTTCTGTACTATGCGTAGAAATTTTCTAGAAAATATCTGTGAGCTTGAGCAAAAGTATGGATAATCATTTGCTTATACTTTTAACAGACAATTCCAAGTTATCATGCAAAAAAGAAGCATTCTAACATTCAAAAGCACCGATATGTATGAAGAACCTGAATTTTTCTTCTAGTTTTTACACAGTATCGTCTAAACATTTATCTTCATAACAGATTTTCCGTTTTTCAAATCGTCTTTATTTACAGAAACGGATGGATTTTATATTTTTATTAGGCATTTAAAAAAGTAACAAAAGTATAGAAAATCACAATCATACCCTCTATTTACATTATTCAACCATTGTCATTCGTTGCTGCAGCAATAATTATTACAAAAACATATTACGATGCCAAGTTTGTTTAGTAATTTAACGGTAGCTACTACTATCAATCATTTAAAAGATACCATGTTCGTAAAAACTGTCTATTGAACATTTAAGTGCAATCAAGATCAACCGTGACATAACTAACAAATTTTTACCATTTTCGGTAGATTTATTATTTTTAATACTAAATATCTAATTTGATATTTTACAAAACAACCACGGAGCGTAGATCCGTAGATCATTTTATTGAAAATATTTTCTTAACTTCCTTAAGATTTTCTTAATCATCGGTGCTAATTATACACAGTGGTTGCTTATTTTCGATTTTTGTTCAATTACGCCAATTATTGAGATTTGAGTTTGAATATATTTGAATGCAGTTTCTATATAGATTTTTTGCATTTAGTATAATTTGTTTAACAACTATAACATTTCAAGGACAAAGTATATTAAATGCAATATGTATGAAATATTTAACGTTTAACTGTACACGATAACGATCATGGTTTTCATATCACATTAAGACTATCACTTGTTTTTGACTTAAAAAATAATTTTTTAGATTTCTATAAGATAGCTAACTGTAAATAATCATCCTAGCTCATAAATTGACCTATGAAAAGTCATTTTAAATGATTATTTGGTATGTGCTAAATTCATTACAATTTTACGAGCCGCTTTGAAACAGTGCGATGAATTAAAATTCATGTTTTCCACAAGCCTTTAAATCTAATTTAAGTTCTGTATATGTTGCAACCGACTGAACTATTTACAATTTTATAAGGTAGAAAAGAGGACAATTAAGAATCCACTTTTCTCAAAGTAAGCTATAGCTAATACTCAAAAGGGAAATCTTATACTAAACTTCAGCGCCAAGATCCCGCACACCTTGCTCAGCAATGGGCACGTATTTTTCGTCTATTTTAACAAGCAAAATGACCTTGTCAACGTGCGAGCGCCTGTTAGGATCCCTATGATTTGGTGACCAACGATGAACTACGCAACCCTCCATACCACGTTCGGGTACCCAATTAAGCCACCCCGAACGGCCACCCATTTGGCGCATTTTTTCGTCGGGCCAAATGACATCAATACGACGGCCCAGATTAATTGCATCGTACACATGATTCGGATCCATGATCTGTAATCAAATTATTAATCAGTAATCAAAGTTTCTAGTACCAATTAAGTGCGAACGTACTCGAACCCGTTGGAAGACTTCCTCCTTTTCGACTTTGGTCGTAAAACTTGTCTCACTGCTTTTGGCATCTACTTTTACGTCTGTATTACTCAATAGACCAGCTAAACTAGCTAATGTTGAGCTCGTTGGTTTTCCCATTGAAGCTAAAGAACCTCGACAACCACCAACTGAACTAGTATTACCTCTACTGAGGGAACTGCGACCTGTCGTGGAACCCCCAATTTGGCAACCAGATTCCATTGATTGCGATCCAGAGGCATTGTGCCCTGGTTGTCCGTAACCTGCACAGTTACGAATTGGATTTTTATTATACAATTCGTTTAATTAAAAATAAATAAATTTTTTTAAATTTACCTGTATGTGCATTGTATGTAGTCATTGCATATACGCCGTCATTTCCAAAACCCCCATCATCGTGCGAGCCAGTTCCCCCAGATGAACAACCTTGCCCGCATCTCCGTCGAACTCTACAATAGAAAATTGCTTATTAATGATTAGTTTGCATAAAGTTTAAAAAATTGGCATGTAACTAACCTTCTCCATAATTTAAAAAGATTGTTCCTAATCGAGCTAAAACTCAATGGACCGCCAATCACTGAACACAATTGTTCATTTGTTTCGGCGTAACTAGTCGTCAGAGGAGAAACGTATATTGGATATCCAATAGGTTGGTCACAAGAACTATTAATGATATTTCGCAATGCTTGTTTGGCATTCTGTATTGAGCCTCTTTCTGGATTGCGATTCCTAAGATAAATCTGCAAAAACATTGCATTTATAACACGATACAAATGTAAAACTATTGTCTCAGAAAAATTTACGTACCAACTCTTGTTGTTGACCAGCCCATAAACCGCGAACGCACTCACGGTTCATTTTAATTACCCGGAAACTAAGAAAACGTTTGTTCAGCATGATGACTTTATATTCATCGATACCGTCGTCCATCACATGCCGGAGGGCCAACAAACTAGGAGCTCCACTTAAAATAGCCTTTCGCCAAAGTGGATCGGCTTCATGGCTTATGACAAGATTACGATCATGACTTACTATTGCTTCATGCAAAGCTGAAGCCTCGTCGTACGTATCAGGACTCATAAAGTGGTCCTGATGTAATTTCAAAGCCATACGAACTCCCTTTGCAACGACAGTATTTAACAGGTCGATGTCATGCAGAACCCATTCGTCTCGAGCAGATGTAATTCTAAAATCACCTATCATTTTTCGCAGTTTAGAATTATTTGTTTTTTCTACGGGTAAAACTACATTGATTAATGTAATTACCTTTGAATAATGCATGCAAACCATAAAGAAAGAATTCAACGCTTGATACGGTATTGTGAGAGGCAGCGCCAAGTACACGACGACCAAGCAAGCTCAAAGAGAGGCAGAGTGACACCAGACTCGAATCTCGAGATTTTTCAAGAACCTAAAAAACAATAATGATAAAACATACTGAATATTACGTTCAATTAAGACGTGATTTCAACGTACTTTGTCTTGTTCATTAGCACAAAACTGAATCCAGTCAAGATAAATGTTACAAAAACTACTTCTTGTAATACCACTTGCTCTGTAATCAAAATCTTCATCTATGTTCATGTTGAATACGGGGTCAAGATCCACGAATGACTTCTCAAGGGTTGGCTTGAGTGGGTCAACAATTTCTGGGTCAGCTAGCCACTGTTTGAGTTTCGGAGATTTGATAGCATAAAATATGATACTCTTGACGTAATAAGAAACAAGAACTTTTCTAAAATCGAAAACTTGCAGCATCGATCCAGCTGAATTATCAGAAATGGAATATCCTTCTAAAACGTACTTCGAAGATGCAACTTCCCATGCAAGCCATCGTTGACTGTAATTGAAATAATTGATAAAATAATAATAATTAAATAAATATAATTTCAAAGTAATAAAGAGGTACTTACCTAAAAGCAGCATTGACACTCAATACATGAGAAAAATGACCCATCTCGCAACAACAGCAGTTATCATTATCTTCTATACCTTCCGATATGGCCTCGACCTCTCTCTGCTGGCAGTAAGTTCCTCGGAATTCTAGCCCCCTTAATTGATAGGTTGCTAAACCATTACCGAGCTGGACAATATGTACTAGGCAGTTGAGATAATCGGAAGCCAGTAGGAAGCAGTCACCCTGTTCTACGCTACCCCAACGACCGAGTGCTAAATCGCCGTAAAGGCTGTGCTGTAACGATCGGGTCAACTGTTCATAAAATATTGAATTAAGATTATTGTCATCCGCTCCGAGATTTCGCTCCAGATGCTGGGCCATTCTTGTATTTGAGTGATCAACCCTGCAAACAATGCAAATTACATTGAAAGACAATCGACGGAGAATTTTAATAGTTATTTTATATCCTTACCGCCTCGTTTTGTAATCTCTTTCCCAAAATTTTACAGGTCGCACGTAGCTGCTAATAAAAATAGCGCTACCAAGGACCGGATTCAAAGGAGTACTTAACAGAGCTGATATGCCAGCTTGTAAAAACAACATAGCCGAATGTGGTACTGAAAAAGGTTGAGCAAACGCATGGAAGGCACTTCCCCAGGTAATCTGCCAAGGTGCAATGTAGGTGACAATGAATCGTATTTTCAGCAGTAATTCGTACATCTTGGAAAAAATTATAGCTGTGATGAAGTAGTCGATAAGAAACGTTTCGCTGTATTCTTCTTGCAAATCGTAGCGAAAAAGTAGTGCGGAAAATACCAGCACTAAGTAACGCGACGACGAATCTGAATAAGAGGAACGCAAAGCCTTCAAGCCGCAGATGACAATTATTAAAGCACCCAGGCTTGGTCCAAATTTTGTGGAAATTTTTGTTGACGACTCTGTTAAAGCTCCCAAAAACACAACTGGATAGAGAATGTTGCGTTCGAAGAAATTTAAGTAAACGTATATCTTTTCAAACCACATGATTTTCACTGGTTCACGCACTGAAACAAATATTTATTTGGATGAATTGCAAAAGAATTATTATCATTTGATGACTTATAACTATAATCAGGGACCTCGACATTTGTTGTAATTATTTTTGTTGACATGGAGCCGGCGACACAGTTACTGCATTATCTTATTCAACGTCCATTGCCAAACATGAATTTTTTACTATTTATTCTGACGCAATTTTGCAAACTATTATTGCTTATGAAGTTCAAGAAAATACTTAGAGTGACCGGACTATTTAATTTTACGTCTTCTGTAAGAAAAACGTAGTCCCGCTCGACAAGTGTAAGAAATATTTTTTCGATAATAAAATGACGTATTCTATTGAATGAATATATTTCGATGAATAAAATATCTGATAGGCATCTCAACCCCAAGGTATAAATATCAGCATCGGTGGTTCAATGGTAGAATGCTCGCCTGCCACGCGGGCGATCCGGGTTCGATTCCCGGCCGATGCACACTTTATTTTGTCAAGCTCAATGATTGCTGACAGTTAATTTTGTCAGATCTCTCACTAATTTCATGGACTGAGTTTCAACTATGTAAATTTATGTATTGTTAAGGTGAAAAAAGTATTTGAGCGAACGTCGAACTTATCATAAATCAAGGAGTGCAAATTGTGCTCTATCTAACAAATATAATAAAAAAATACTAAAATTTACATTAAATATTTTTCGTAAAAGCTATCTAGATACTTCTGTTTTTTAGACGTTCATTTAATATTGCTGATGAATGGTTTTTTAAAGCCTCGTTATCCCAAATTAATAATTAATACAAATAACATATGGCTTTTACGTACCTTCAAATTGTGAGAATTCATGATTTCTTAAAACAGGTTTTGACAAGCACAGCCATGGCAGTTGTTTTCTCATTTGCGGCATGATATAATGCAATAATAATCCCAAAAATCCGGTAAAAAACCACAGCACAGGATTGATTTCAGGTTGCAACGCGGTAAACACCGTGGATGCATGAATCGCAAATGATAAAATGCCTATCACCGTACAAACGATGAGATCATTTTTCAATCTAGCCTTGACCGTTGCACGTAACTTCTGCGGTAGAGGATCAAATAGTTCCGAATCCGACGATTGTTCGCCCATATTGATTTTGACATCTTTCTTTTTGGCTACAGATTTTGATTTTGATAGTTTACTTGATTCTGCAGTCGCTTCTTGTCGTGTAGATGCATTTTCTATAATTTGTGATTGTCTCTCTTCGAGATAAACGTCTGGTGGCCAGAGATTCGTTTTGATAATATCAAATATCACGCTCGGATCTGATGAAGATCTAAAGATTTTTGTTTTATTATTCAAATTTGTTCAGCAATAATGTCGCCGAGGTAAAAAATGTTATTATGAATAATACCTGCTAAGATGATATGAAACGGCCACAAGGAGTCCACAGAATATGGAAAATAGTATGTGTTGGGAAGATTTTGGTTCCATAAGAGCTCCATAAGCGAAACCATACAATGTCATCACGGTTAAAACACTTCTAAAAAGGCAATATATGGAGGAAACGAGACTTGTTGTGGCATTGCCACCAAAAATGTGTATATCGATATGCTCACAAAGATACATAACAAATGTATTTATTTGTGGAAAGAGCCCAAATGAAAATATAAGTGGGAAACATAGCAAAAAAACAAGCATTACGTCACGTGATTGCAACAAGACATCATAATTAAGCATCTGCATTCCGTAGACTCTAAAATCTGAGCCTTCAAAATTTTTTATGGATGATTCGAGAATCAGAACTATACTTGTACATATTATATAGTATACAGGCCTGCAGAAAAAGCAATTACGTTATTCGAGTTTAAATTAACATTATCATGAAAAATTTAGATGAAGCTTTCTTACCTTGAAAACACAACGATTCTGTTAAAGCCATGGGTAGGCGATGCTGCATCAGGCTGAACACTTTTCAACAAGGAATATTGACAACCCGCCGTAACGAAGCAAAATATGAAGGCAAAAATATCTTTGTAAAAGCCTCTTTGCAGAATAACCAGCGCCAATCCAGCCACCATAACAGCAAGAAGTGTGGCTATGATGGACTCAAAAATAGTGAGGTTGCGATCAAGCAATGCCACAAGTGAAAGTCGATCGAAATGAACCCTTATCTCAGGGAGTTTCCAAACTTTCCATTTATAATAATGACGAGCTGGTTTGGGTTTTGGCTGAGTACCCTCTTCAAAACCTATAAACTCCGTGACAAAACGATTCCACGACAGATTTTCCGACGTTGTGTTAGGCTGCTGATTGTTCGCTGGCTGCAACTAAAAACCAAAAAATTCATCATTTTTTTCAACATCCATAAAACGAATTGGTAAGCCTAGAAAACCTTATTACGTACAAGACTTCCAACTGTATCAACGTTAGTACTGCTGCTACCTGGATGAGCTGCATCTAAATTACCCAATATGTTTTGCAACCTACGATTACGATCCGTTAAAGAATCCGTTATAGTGCGGTAAGGCGAACCTCTTCCATTTGGTGCATTAAGAAGCATTGATTGATTCGCAGAACCCGGTAATTTGGAAGCTGTTGTACTACTAACAGCGTTACTATGACTGCTTCCTGAATTGTTCGAAGTTATGTTCGTTACACTGTGAATAGGTGAGGTCAAAGCAGGAGGTGACTCCGTTGACGGCGTATCGATTATTACAGTAAGACCAGCCGAATTCAACGACAAACTGCTATAACTGTTTTTGGATAGATCAGGAATCTCAGATAGCTCGTAATTACCATCATAATAAGCATTCCGGTTGAGATTCTGGTTGAGATTTAACATTCGATTTACGAGCTGATCGTTTTGCTCAGAAGTCAAAACTCGTGCTCCAACGGGTAATTCACAAGTGGTCAGTGAGGCAGGACCACAAGCAGCAGATTGTGAGTTATCATCGATTGTATAGGCGAGCCATTGCCCTCTTTCATTGCAAAAATAACGTATAGCTGATTCTTCTGATGTATCGGGTGGTATAGGCGGCCAATGATGATGAAAAAAGTGTGATAAAGTAATGTATTCTTCTTCCTAAAATTATCAAATATGCTAGTTAGTATTTTAATCACCTGAATAATAGGAAACTCTAAAGCTGTTTAAAGAAATCAAAGGAACCCTAAAATCAAAAGAATTTTGAAAAAATGTATATGATTTTGAAGAAATTTTCTTTTCCTTTCCAACACTTACTGAAATATCAAACCTTTTCGATTCTTCACTGAGATAAAGTTACATTACAGAAAAAATTGGAAAAATTACTGAATTGGGAGAAAACGCGAGAATAATTTTATACACAAAGTATGTGAAAAACAAATTTCTCAGGGAAAACTGAATATGTTAGAATTTCGAAAAAACTAGAAAAAAGCCTTCAAATCTATTTAAAATAATTTTTTTCAATTTTAAGCTAGCTCTAAAAGACCTTACCTGTTGTTGAGGCGCTTGTGATGGTTGCGTTTGCTGTTGACCACTTCGAGGTCGGTTACGTCTGGCTCTATTTGCTCTATGTAAACGTTTATATCTTTGAGATCGAGATCCTCGAACTTCGTTTAAATGTGCTGCCTTTAAATCCTCTCTAGCTTGTATTTGTTGCTGCTGTAAACGAATTTGTGAATGTTGAAACTGATGTTGATTTTGATTTTGATGCTGCTCTTGCTGTTGCTGTTGCTGTTGCTGTTGTTGTTGTTGTTGTTGTTGTTGTTGTTGTTGCTGCTGCTGCTGCTGTTGCTGCTGCTGCTGCTGCTGTTGCTGCTGCTGCTGCGTATGATGGTGATGATGATGATGGTGGTGATGATGGTGATGAGGCTCAGGCAAAGCTACAGCACCAGATATCCTCTGTGTGTAATTAGAATGGCTCATTATAGCTGCTAAAAGTGGTACTGCCGCTGGTGATGGTTGCAGTAATCCGTCGATATCTTGATTTGATCCAGACGTCAACGGTCGGTAAACCATTACGCTTGTACTGCCCGATCGATTCTCACTGCGATTTACAATAAACATGTAAAAATATTAAAGAACTAATAAAATGATATTTTAAATTCAATACGCACTGGTTTCTGTTTGTTGAACCTAAAGGAACAAGCGAAGTTGACATATTAGGAGTATTAGAAATATTCTGAGCATTTGAAGCATTAGCTGCATGAAGAGAAGTAAGCCATCGATTCCTACGGTCGCGGTTTTGAGCTCGACCTCTTCTTTTGGTAGGTACATTTCTAATTAAATCTTCTGAATTTTGCTTCTTGGATTCCGTAATACTACAAGTCTCATCAACAGGACTAACAGGAACGTTTAATTTGGATTTATTTTGTTTCGGTATCGCACCCTGTTGACGCTTACTGTCGACATCTGTAGTTTGGGATGAATGCTCTTGTTGAGGTAACAGCTTGCGCTTCACTTCATTTTCTATACTAAGGGTCGTTGTGCTCGATGAACCTGAATCTGGATCTTTACTTGGTAAATCTGAAAAAATACAAATACAATGAAGTATAAGTAACTCCAGATTGAAAAATCCTTTCAAGAAGTTTAAACTTGAAAGAGAATCCCTCGAAAAAATTCATGTCTACCATACATTTTTGGTACAAATTAAGGAAAATAAAGCTAAACTTATGATGCCAGGGAGCGTACAAATAAACTTACAATCAGTACTAGCGGTTTGTATACTATCTGACGCATCGGTGTCGTCAGATTTCTGTGAAGTCCACATAACTGAGCAAGGCATTAACGAACGTTTTTTTTTTAAGTATTAGTATTTATTATTCATTGTATACTTGTTTAGTTATGTTAATATGATATAAAAATAATAACTTACTTTTGTTAGTCCATGGTTCACCTTCTCCATTTTCAAATAACCAATCGATACCAACAATACTGCCTGAATTTGCTGTTTGATCATCAGCTTGAGAAGACGTTTGCTGCTGTTGTTGATGTTTCGATCTGTCTCTACGTTTTTCTTTGCGTCTTTCGCCATCCGATAAATCCCAACTACTCTGACTAGTATTACTAAAACGCCGATTACTATTGCTTCCCGAAGGCTTTGTCTCAGCTTCTAACAAAGCGTCTCGTGAATTGGCTGAGTCATTGTCCACGGTAGTATCTACAATATATCTGCAAAAAAATCCTCTTCTACTATAATTGTTCTTATTGTAATTAAAATGAAAAATTACCTTAAATATCTTTCCTCTTCTTCGTGTGTTAACAATGGGCTAAGAGAATCCTGAGGTTGAGAATCTTGATTGTAACGTCCAGTATTATCACTAGGAATTTGTTCGTCGCTTTGCTCAGCTATTGGATGTACAATTTCTGAGCCACAGCTGAGATATGGCAGCAATTGAAGTTTATTTCGCTTCAACGTATTTTGCGGTAAAGTCTGCAAATAAAAAAGTAATAAGTAAAGATTAAATGTATTTATTCATAATTTTAGATGTTATCTAAACGCACCTTTTTAGAATTAATCATTTCTAAACTCTGAGGGTATAAAGGAAGATTATTGTCATCTGTAGGATTTGTCATTTTACTTGGCGCCCTAATGATCTCGAGACTTTGTGGATGTACCAATGACTGATGTGGCATTTGTGATATGACCTAAGATACAGTAATGTATTGCACGTTATTTTTTATAATAACCCAATGTAAATAGATTGCTTACTTCGAGCGATTGGGGATGCGATGGAATATTATCTTTTTCAGCGTCATCCTTTTTTGTCATTATTGAAATGATTTCAAGACTCTGAGGATGATCATTGAGCATCTCCATTGGTATTGAAGTAGAATTAAGCCTTCGAACGCTTTGATTGTACTTCCAATACTCATAATCATCTGGTTGTTCCAATTCCATCGAACTTGTTTGTTTAATTTGACTCTCTGAGCCCGTTTTACCCATATTTGATTTTGGGTAACGATTACGCGCTGTAGATGCATCCTCGGATGCATATCTACAAAACTTTCGCGACGTCGATAGATTTCTTTTAACTAAAAAACAAAAACCGGTATTTTTTTATATAGATTAAAATTTCCATTAATATGCTGCTTACAATATGAAAAAACGAATTATCTTACCGTTTGTCTTGGCTCTAAAATCAGGATCGTTATCCTGTTTCGAGACCATTTCGGCTTTGTGTACATTTGTTACTCGTTTACTCGTAGCGGCGGATTTATTCAAATGCGTCGCCTCCTCTGAACTTTCGGAACTATTTTTTCGATGTATCTCAACCTTCAAATCAATCGTAGAATTTGGCTTATCTCTTGTATAATCTGATGTTATACTGTCAGCATCCGCGTTTGGTGCATTCTGCTCTATGTATGAATTACGAGATGAGCATTCTACGGGAGGAGTATCCGTTTTTCCTGGAATATTTCCCATATTTATTAATATGAGCAAGTATGAAGATGATTAAGGATACCCCAAGCCACATTGTCGATATAATAATATCATAGTGCTTATACGTTTTTAGTTTTGATTATAACGTAAATTATATCATAAAATTGTCCCCAGAATAAAACCGTTTCATCTAATTGTTATTATTAATATAATTTTAATTTATAATAATATAAATTTTTAAATTTTAGATAAAATCGCGTACATATTTTTAAACATTAATAAATTGTCAAAAAATCGAAAAAAGTGAAGTAGCTTTTTTTGAAAAAATATTCCAAAATTATTGAGAATTTTTCTCAAAAAAACGTGTAAAAATTTTTTCATAAATTTTCGATAAAATAGAAGTTACAATTTTTTAATGTGATAAATGGCTTGAGAGTAAACTTAAATTACACGTATAATTGTTAATCTTAGATTGTAATAATAACCATTTAAAACTTGAAGTTCAATACCCAAAAAGTCTTGTTCCTGTGATTGATCCCTCCTTTTAAGGCGAGAATCCCTCTTTTTCTCACTTTCCGGTTTCTGTTGACTAACATTTTGGGTTGGTTCTTCTAAATACTCGGTCGTATCATACACAGAGTGAAGCGTATTGTTAATAATTTTGATGGTTCCGAAAAGAACGATGATGGTCGAGCAGTACGCTATCCAAACGTACAAGTCTGGTGGAAAATACTAGAAACAACAAAAATTGGATTAGTCTCTGATTTAAATTGATATTTATCTATAGGGATTGAAAATTATTAGAAGACCCATAAGGGCAAGACCTATGAGTCGTTGAATAAGTACAGAATTTTGGACTATTTCCAGTAAGAGGTTCAAATGCTCATACATTAGGTTTCTACCATTTTAACAAACATAGAATATAGGAAGACAATTATTTTTACAACATTTTTTCACAATAACAAAAAATTATTTTATAAATAATAAAAGAAAACCCAAAAAATAATTTTCTTCTTCAATTTCTAATAATTAATTAAAGATTGATTTAGTAGAGTATCAATTTAGTTCAAAACTACATTTATTACATTCTGAGGAATATTCTAAATGATTCAAATAATATTTTTATTAGAAAATACTTTATCCAAAATGAGGATTATCAATTTACCTATTTCATAGATAAGTCAAGAAAAAAATTTTACTGTCTAAATGAAATATTATATAAAATTCAACAAATAATAATAAATTTTAATAAATTTGTGTATCATACCAAATAAATAGTAAATGGCAAGCACAGTAGGAATAACCATATGTACAGGTGAAACGTGTTTGAAAAGACATCTAGGCGAGGATCGTAAAACCAGCCTCCAGTAAGACTTGCCCAGACACCCTGGCGTAATATCTCCAGCGTTTGTGAACCCATTGCTTCCTACCCACAGCATGTTTCCTCCATCTCAATACAAAGCACGTAAAAGATTTAATTCTGTCTTGCCAAAATTCTACAAACTGTTTATACGTTTTTCTTCCAGTTTGTATCTGCATATAATAAAAAATAACAATCTTGTAATTATTTCTTTCAATTTTCAATTAATCAATAAAAATATGACAATGAAATATCTATATCTATAGATATTTAAAAAAAACAAACTTTGAGAAATAAATGATTGAAATTATGGAAATGAGAGAAAGGCATTTGAAGTCATAATGACCATGAGCTACAAATGTAAACAAAGTGCAACTTATCAAGGAGATGCAAGCACTCTCACTTTTTTTAACACATTTGTTTTCATCAAGTGCCAAAATTATGTACAAGTGATTAGATGGAAAGTGAAAAAGGGCGTGAAAATTATCACTCAATGATTGCAACATAGGATATCGCACACATGATTCATGCACTTCTTCATTCTACACTTCTGTTATATAGAATAAAAATCTCTTGCAATATCTTGATAGGAAATTAGTGTGCTAACCTTCTCTCGGGATAATATTAAAAACATGCATACGCGTATCACATTTGATGAAGCAGAAAGCCTCAAGTGAAATCCGAGAAGACAGTGAGGACTTACACCGTACGTATAATGCCAAAGCAATGCATCAGATCGTAGAAATAACAAATGTAATCCGTCAAGTTCGACAATGATAACGGTTACTGCACATAGTTGTCATGAGTAGTAGTCCTCGTCATCGATGGAAAATCTTTCTACACTTTCATCAAATTTTCGGTGAGTGCTTGATTTTCAAAATATCTTCTGTCTCCTCTGAGGCAAGGGTCAAATCTCGGCAAATTTTTGTTCTCAACACACACGTTTTTTTAACTCAAGGAAAAAGCAACTTATCTCCTCGCGCACATACTTGCAAAGTGCACTCTACTGCTCAGTAGCACACTGCACTGCACACCAGTCAGATTTTGCAGGCGATTCTCTTGCTGCTTGTATACATATACCTATGTATACTTATACACAGAGTCTCACGTCCTACTGTGCAACCAGCGGCAGTGAGCAGTGCTGAGCACAACAGCAATTTTGTAATATATGTATACTTATACACACGTATTTTGCGCAGATGAAACTCTCTCTTTCTTCATGAAATCATGACTTTATAATCCGTAAAATTCCGTTGACAGCTTCTAAAAATATTTATCTCGGCATACCTGTTAAATGTTCGTAAATCCTCGCTTTTGGTAGGATTTCTTTTAAAATAAATTTATGCAAATGAAAATACTCTCTTGAACGGATTTCGATTAAATGTGCACGATCCTTTTCCGCACAAAACGATATTCATTGTTAAAAATGAAATCGTAAAAATGACCTTTAAAAAATTTGTAAATTTCATTCAAATAGATGTCAAACTCACAAAATTTTCCGATTTAACTCAAATTTTGTTCCGAAAGTTTTAAAATTTAATTGTAACGAATTATTTATTATTCATAGATGATGAAGAAATTAATAGAAATTCGAAAGTTATTTTTTTGCAATTGGCTTATCAAATTTAAAAAATGAAAAATGAAAGTATTAATTTTCAAATTTGAAACGCAGAACTCATCTGGCTCCAATCTAAACGAGCACAAGGACAAAAAATGATCGACATTCTATAGTTACCTGCTTTACCTCTTCTGTAATTACTGGTTAGATTAAAAAAATTTTCTAATTTTCGTTTATTATGATATTTTTTATTGCGTACATATTAATTTTCATATATACAATCGCTTTTTAATAAATTTTCTATCTACATTTAAATCTACAATTAAATTATTTGTAATCGCACGTGATGAATATCGTGTATAAAATAAAAACAAACAATATATCCTTACAGTATTGATATTTACATTGCTACACACTAAAATTCGCGCGATTCTTATGATATTTGTGATTCACGCGTATAAATTCATAAACAAGACTGTAGTGACTTATTCAGTCGAGAGCTTCTATTTCTCCAGGTATGGACACACAAATGATTATTTAACATTAGCAGTAGTGTAAAAATTCGTAAATGTCATTTTTCAAAATCGATTTGATGGTATTGCACAGAGATTTATTCTGATAAATCTTTATTACATTTGTGTGGTTTAAAAACTAATCAGTCACATCCATTTCATCATTTTGCGAGCATATACTGGCCAAATTTCTTAAATCTTCATTTTTGAGGTAAACAATTATATTTTCTGTACAAGCATCTGGTAGTCCAAAGTTAGATAAAGAATTCAAAGCTTCTTTAGCTCTGACTAAAAATCCCTCTCTTCGGGTAGCTTTTTTGAGCCTCTCAATAATCATACTTCCATATAATGGAAATTTGACTGGATTTTCTAATATTTCACAAATATTTTGAATATTTTCATTTTTTGTGAATCGTAATATTTCTGTTAAATCTCCTACCAATACATTATAGACTGGCACATAGTTATTGATTTTTAGTTCTTTCAAGTCATTAATTTCTTTGAGACAAGTTGCCTGAAAATTTCTGTGACTATCATCTAAATATACTGCATTTTTAGGATTAAGATATAGTTTTGCTATCTTCATTTTAATGATATGATTGTGAAATATAGCAACAGCTCTATTGCAGCAATCAATGTAAGCTCTTGTTATGAAATAAGAGCTTATGAGATCCTCAACACAGTTTACAAAAACAGCTGTGCTAATTTCTTTTGCCTTTTTTTGATATTCCTGTTTTATTTTAAATACTGCATCTAAAGGTGTTCTTCCATCTGGATCTTCTATGTTAATATCAGCCCCAAAGTTCAAAAGTAGAGATATTATACGGAAATTTCCTTTCTGACAACAAAGATGAAGAGGCGTATGCCCTACATCATTTTTGCAATCCACATCAGCATCATACTTGAGTAGAGTTTCTACCAATTTATCTAAATTTTCATCAAGAACAATTGCCATATGTAAAGCAGTCCAACCAAAAGCTGTTTTAGCATTTACATTTACACCTTTTTCTAACAGAAAATCTACTGTTTCTGCAATGTAATCAGACATTAAATATTTATTAAATTTAGTAAGACTGCTATAGTCTTCTCTCACATCACTTCTGAGAAATTGTATGATCAAATGCAATGCATTGATTCCTTGTTCATCACAATAATTGATGTCTGCATCATATCTTAGAAGTATATCTAAATTATCTTTACATTTATTACTACATTTTAGAATAGAATAATGTAATAAATCTGGATAATCTTTGGTATTAATACCATTATTGAGAAAAAATTCAAGTATTTCTTTATCATCGTTTTCTATGGCATAATGAACAGCTAATTTATCTACGTGATCTTTAGCATGTACATTAGCATTGTGTTTTATAAGAAGTTTAATAATGTCACAGTGATGATTTTTAGTTGCACTATGTAGTAAAGTAGAACCTTCGACAGAAACATTAGCATCTGCACCTTCATTCAATAATTGCTCTACTATGTTATAATAACCATTAGTTACTGCAGTAAAAATAACATTAGTGCTCTTATCTTCTAATTTTATTTCAAAACCATATTTGAAAAAATAATCAACAATTTCACTACCAAATGTCTTATGTATATTAAGAACAGCAAGAAATACTTTTCGATAGTGCTCATTATTTACATCTGGATTATACTGTAAAAGTAATTCAATATTCCTCATATCTAGATTATCAACAGCATATTCTAAAGGTATTTTTCCATTTTTATCTTGATTTATTGTTACTGCTTCATGCATAAGAAGAAGTTCAACAATTTTTTCATGAGTGCCTTTAACAGCAACATGCAAAGGAGTTACATTATCTTCTGTGTAACCATTTACACATGCGCCACTTTTTATTAAAAGTTTAACGATAGCTAGATCCCCTGTTTCACAAGCAAAGTGTAATGGGGTTTCTCCTTTGAAACTTTCTGCATTAATATCTGCATGTGACTGAATGAGGTATTGAACAGAATCAATGTTTCTACCTTTACAAGCAATATGAAAAGGTGTACAGTGATCCTTGTCAATCGCATTCAATGTTGAAAATTCCCATGAAACTAAAATATTTAAAAGAGAAAAGTTTTTTGTTAATAATTGTAATTTGTTTGAATGTATCATTTTCTGATATGGCTAGTCAGGAAAAAGTAGGAAAATTAATCATAATTTTGGAGCATATATGTAGGCAATATTAAAATAATTTTTTGTTTACTACAAACAGGCACAATTTTTTAATACAAAATAGATTTACCTAAAATTTTTTGATTTAAAATAATACATTTATTTTAATGGTTTTTCCTTTAATAGCCAAATCTTTAATTTATTACTATATTTATTACTATATTTATTACCTTTTAAATTGACATCATAATCCAAAAGCAATTCCATAATGACCTCATTTTCATTGTAAGCAGCTAAATGCAATGGTACCCTATTGTTGTTGTCCCTAATATAGACATCAGCATTAAACTTTAATAGTAAATTTACAATTTCTATTTGTTCAGTTTCAACTGCTGTATGTAAAAATCCAGAATAATCTGAAGACACTGGTTTGTTGATATTCATATCAACATGCAGTCCATGACTTAAAAGATCTTCAATTATTTTGAAATGACCATTTTTTATAGCTTCGTGTACAGGAACACAGATGTTTTCTACACTGTCTGTATCATCACCGTATTCGATGAATGCACCATGTGATAAGAGCAACTCAACTATTCTGTGATTGCCACATTTGATAGCTTGATGCAAAGGTGTTGTTCTGTCATGTGCTTGAGTATTGACCAAAGCATTTTTACTCAAAAGCAATTCGACAGCTTCAACATAATCTTCTGCACATGCTAAATAAAGTGGAGATTCACCATCTTCATTTACATCGTTGAGATCAACATTGCAGTTAATGAGTAATTGTATGGTCTCTAATCTCCGGTGTGTTATAGCAAGATGCAGTGGTCGGGAGTATTTTGGACAATTCCAATAATCACTTGTAAATATGTCATTAACATTGCACCCATGATCCAAAAATAATTTAACTATTTTCCAATGAGATGACTGACAAACTCTTTGAAAATAAGTAAACTGAATGGCATTTTCTGTAAAACTGTCTTGAGCTGTTGCTCCAGATTTCAATAGCAATTCAACAATCTCTGCATTATCCATGAGAATAGAATAGTACAAAGGTGTACTTGACAGGCTATCAACTTTGTTGACATCTGTGCCTTTAAGCAAAATCTTCCTGACTATGGCTGGCTTGTTGCTTTTAATAGCATGATGCAATGGCATACAGCCATGCTCAATACAGTATGCGTTTTCGAAGTCTTCGTAAGTGTCGTAAGTCGCAGCCTTGACTAGCAGAGCATCGCCATCGTCCTTGTAATATTTCGTCCAGGACTCGGACTCGGAATCATGTTGGTCAGCTTGGACCGTGATAACCTCGTTTTCATCGAGATTGAAAAATTCCATCTGCATAAACATCGTGCGCGAGTAGTCTCGTTTGTGTCGTTTTTCTATTCTTGCACTCTAAAACATTTCCTGCACAACGAGGAGACTCGCGAGATGGGTAGAGACGAATAGCAATGGGTTTAGAAAGAACTTGACATTTTAGCAACTTCCTCTGCATAAATGTAATCTAGTAAGTGGCAGATTGACAAAAGGTACGCCTCCGGTTTTACTGATACGGCTTGCAGCATCTGAGTGCACTATACATTAATATCGACGCGTCGACGTTCAGAAAGAATCGCGAAAACACAAGTCACTATTTATTATAATAGACGCAGGTGTAAGAACTAGATACGCAGTACCTATACAATGACATACACGCGCGATCATAATTCATGAGTGTGTGTGTGTGCGTGCTGCGAGCTGCGAATCTAATGAGAATTCAATGGAACTTGCAGAGTTGCGAATACTGCAACCCGCAGGAGAAACTTTGTCAAAGACATGGTCATATTACCTGGAAAAATTTGCGCAAAGATTGAATTTGATCAATGATTCGATGCTCATTGGAATTTTCAAGCAACAGTTTGTCAAGTATTAAAATTTATGGCAAACTTTTATCAGAACTCGAAAGCATTCTTTCTACTCTTGGGTTTGCAGAGTAATTTTAAAAATCTTTCAAAGAGGGATCAATACGTGCAAAAAAGTCACGAAGTTTTCCAGATCCAAAGAGATGAAAGGGAAGGTTTGCTAGGCCGTCAAATGCTATGCGAACGCGGTTGGCAGTCGCGGGCTGCTGCTTGCGCCATGCACTATGCAGAGTGCAGACGCAACTCCACAAGCTCCAACAAACCTAAAGAAGCTTCGGCTTTGCGAAGGGAAGGGGAAAACGCACGAATCCGTATACCTACCGAGCGACAGCAACAGCAGCAGCAGTAGCTCGTTTACAAACTCCCACACAAGTTCCCTTGCAAGTTGCAATTCGCAACACTCGCGCAAAGTCACAACTGCAGGCAGTGCGAAGGTGTGTGGGTATATGTGTCGCGCACGTAGAATGTAAATGAGTACGTTTTTGGTGTGTGCACGGCGTAGAGCTATTGCATTTTGCAAGAGCGCGAGTAACGCAGAACACGGAGTCATATAATCGAGAAAGAGATAAGCAGCTGCCTCCGAAGAGCAAGAGAGACTACAAGAACCTCTTTATGAGTATCGGCGCAGACTGGAGTGCGATATAATAATTAGCATCTCGTTCAGTAAGAAAAGGAAAGATAGAGAGAGAGAGAGAGCACTCGAGTGTATCGGCCGCAATTTCTGTTGCAAAGTTCCTGTCTCCAACACCAAAACAAAGTGCTCTGTGCAGTGCAGCTCGTGATGTGATAACCATGCCTTTACATGCTGGTGACAAATTAAGGGCGAGGGAGGAAAGCATAGGCCTGCGAGAACCATATTAACATAGCGCTGTGCGCGTGTTTCCTTTTGCGGAATTCTCTCTCTCTCTCTCTCTCTCTCTCTCTCGCGGTATAGCTTTGCGCTCGGCAGAAAAAGACAGAGAAAGTCCATGTCACTATATACATATATTACAACTCTGCTGCCTCTGCTGCTGCTTGTCTGAGATTTTTTTCTCGCCTTTTACTCAAGTTCGACTTCGCAGTTTTCGTACATGGGCGGCACGACCGAAACAAGGATGAGGCCGGCTTTATTATTGCCTCCTTGGTGGGTTTCCTTACACAATTTACACTCTGTTTATTTACATCTTTCCATTGAATGAATTGTTTGTTTATCAAAATAAAGATGAGTTTCGAATTCTTTGAGTGTTTGTGCGTTACAATTAAGAAAGTTCAAGTTTAATTAAATAGGATTGGAAAAATCTATACAATAAGCGAGCGACGATTCTTCTTATTAAAGTCAAGTGCGCGAAATCTAGCTTTGTCAAGTACATAAACGATTGATTCAAAGTATAATAAAGAATCAAGTCATTTAAAAATTGTAAAATTCAAGTCCTTGAGTATTGGTAATATCAAATCATTTTTTTTTGTTCAATTTTTTGGCCAATTTTTTTCATTTTATCTCATAATAACATATGAAATTAAAGTGTGACTTGTAATGTTTAGTAATTTAGGATTGGTACATTTCAAGTGTAGCTTTACTTATACTTATTTAATATATTTCTTATTTAAGGTGGCTACTCGATTCGCAAACAGCTAGAGATATTACAATATCTTGAGGGTATTGTTGAAACAAGCTTTTGAATAGCTACCTTGATTTCTTAGATGGCAATTGTCGAGAATTTTAAATCTGAAAGAATCTGTGAACTGTTTAAGTAGGTATGTAAATATTATTAGCTTTATTTATTTTTATATTTTGTTAAATAAATTGATAAAATTATTAATTTGAATAAACCTTCAAGGTTCAAGAAGTTCATTTAGCCACATGCCTCCAGCTGGACTTTCAGCAAGAGGCTTGTCTATCTTGATGGACCCTGGACATCCAGATGCGCGTTTTCGTAATGAGCGTTACCTACTCTATGGTGAAAATGGCTCAACACAATCCAATAGTAATAATGCTTCTCATTCTCCCAGACCATATCAGCAAGCTGGCAGAAGCACTAATCAACCTTATGGGTACGATTAATAATTCATCATGTATTACATTATCGTCCAAGGTTATTATCTTATTTGTTTAATGTGCACTTTGCTATTTTCCTAGCCCAAACTACAGTTACACACGTACAACGAGTAACATGTCAGACAGCAGTGTATCAGACACGCATAGCGGCGGGACCGCTCGAACAATGTCGCAACACACTAGCCCTTCGCATAACACGCTATCATCACACTCTCGTCAAGACAGTGTAATACTCTTCACTGCCTTGTTCGATTATGTCGCACAAGGAGAAGATGAGTTATCCCTCGTACGGGGTGAAACTGTCGAGGTTTTGTCGAAAGATTCAAAAATATCGGGTGACGAGGGTTGGTGGACGGGTAAAATACGTGAGAAAGTGGGTATATTTCCAGCGAACTTTGTAGCCGAAGCTTTGACGATCGATCGAGTCTCCTCAGTTATCGAGCAAGTAAAACCGGTTCAGATAGACTTTGAAGAATTGACGCTCGAAGAAGTCATCGGCGTGGGTGGTTTTGGAAAAGTATATCGGTACGTCAAATCATCATGATGATTATGAAACAAAGCTCTACTTCTAATCTCTAATTTTTCAGGGGATATTGGAATAAAAAAGAAGTAGCTGTGAAAGCAGCGCGACAGGACCCAGACGAGGAGCCCAGCGTAACGCTTGAAAATGTACACCAGGAAGCTAAGCTCTTTTGGCTGCTGAAACACGAAAATATCGTTCAGCTCGAGGGTGTGTGTTTAAAAATGCCTAATTTGTGCCTAGTAATGGAATATGCACGCGGTGGCAGCCTCAATCGAGTTTTGAGCGGCCGAAAAATTAGGCCAGATGTACTAGTCGACTGGGCAATACAAATTGCTCGTGGTATGGATTATTTGCATAACAATGCACCGATCAGTCTCATTCACAGGGATCTAAAGAGTTCAAACGGTAAGTTGATTATTCAATATTTTAGATTGAACATTGAAGATGTAATAAATTATTCACTTAATAGTTTTATTGAGTGAACCCATCGAGAACGATGATTTTCAATACAAGACGTTGAAAATCACGGATTTCGGATTGGCACGTGAAGTGTACAAAACGACGCGGATGTCAGCAGCAGGAACTTATGCATGGATGGCACCTGAAGTAATCAAGAAAAGCACGTTCAGTAAAGCCAGCGATGTTTGGAGTTATGGTGTGCTTTTGTGGGAACTATTGACCGGAGAAACTCCGTATAAAGGAATTGATGCGTTAGCTGTTGCGTACGGAGTAGCTGTAAATAAATTGACACTACCGATTCCATCAACTTGCCCACAGCCTTGGAGGTGTCTAATGGAATGTAAGTACATTTTTACAAATGCCATTTTCAAAAATGTGTGTCATAGCTAATTTTGAATTATTTTCGACAGCTTGTTGGGCTTCCGATAGTCATTCCCGTCCGGGATTCCCAAAAATTCTAATTGCTTTGGACGAAGTAAGAAGCTCTTTTGCCGCGACTCCTCATGAATCGTTTCACACCATGCAAGACGACTGGAGGCTGGAAATCGAAGAAGTCCTGCACGGTTTGCGCATGAAAGAAAAGGTGGGTACTTCAAAGTAAACCGAGATTAATTCTGAAAAATGTGACTTTTTAATGATTGTTAAGTAAATATTGAATATTTTACAATTTTTGTCTTTTTTTTTATCGCATTAACAAAGGAATGCCGATCCCTCGAGGAGGTAAGATTTATAGGCGTCATATTGGTGTTACTGAGTGATCGATTTTTCGGCTTTCACTTACTCAAAAAAAATATTACGTTTTAACTTGATTTTGCATGACTTTTTTCAATTTTCACTTACACCCACAGAGAGTTTTCACCAACGTTTGAAATGATTATTATGAAAAATGAAATCCAAAAATATTAAACTATGAAAATCAGTAATCACTTATTTCAATATTAGGAACTGCGCTGCAGAGAGGAAGAGCTTACTAAAGCCCAAGTGCAACAGCGACAACACGAGGAGAATCTTCGGCTCCGTGAGGAAGAGCTCGCAGCTCGAGAAATCGATCTTTTGGAACGCGAGCTCACAGTAATGATAATTCAACAGCAAAATACAGCACCTACTCCCACGCCTTACAAACGACGTGGAAAATTTAAAAAATCAAAACTAAAACTAAACAAAAAAGAACCGGGAAGTAAAATAAGTGCACCTTCAGGTAAACCTAAAAATTTTTGTTCAAACAAAGTTTTAAATGAACTATACAAATTTCATTGTTTATTTCTTACATTTTTTCAGACTTCAGGCATACGATAACTGTGCAACATACAGCACCGGATCGAGTGAAAAGTCGGAATCCTTCCCGATCAAATAGCCCACCAGGTTCACCTAGCATCCCAAGATTGAGAGCAATTGCATGTAAGTATAAATAAAAACTCATACCAAAACATTAAATAAAAATTGCCTGTCATGAGCAGTGGTCACCTCGATAGAAAAAAAACGTTAAGTATCAGAAATCTTGTAAAATTAGATTGAATTTTCACATTTTAATTATTCTAATATTTATGTGTGCTTACTATATCATTTTGATTTTCCACAATAGTCCAAATTATTTATTTTTAAATTTATGATATTTATGGAGCATGGTTGCATGCATATTTTGTACGATTTTATCGGTCTTTTAGGTCCATTTCCAAACATTTTTATTTATTTAAAACTACATTATTTTATCGATGATTTTTTTAGTTTAGTGTCGTTATTTTTCTTTGTTTTCGATTTCTGTTCTGTTCCGGAATTGCAACCAACGCTGACAATCATCCGAAAATGTTCACTTTGTGCTATTGGTGTTGTCTTCGAACGTTAAAAAAACCAATTTTACACGTGCTTGCTGTCATTTGCTTCTTGAAACGTTGCTTCTTGCACGCAACAGTGCCAGCCGACGGCGTTAAAGGTAAGACGTGGGGACCTTCAACGTTGCATCAACGCGAGCGTGGTGCAATCATCCCGCCTAACGCTGGCTCGCCCACGTCGCCCTCGGGTTCTGCCGGAATAGATGGAGTATCGAACATAATGATGATGTCGGGTGACTCTAGTGCTGTTGCTAGTACCGGTAAGCGTTGGTCCAGATCCGCGCCGGACTTGGAAAAATCTCCGATGCGATCGCCTGTATCGCCCGAGGGAGCAGCCGCTCTACCACCAGCTCAGCATGTGGCGCGTGCTCATCATCATCATCATCATCAACACCCACACCATCAGCATCATCAACACAGACCAGCCTTGCATCAAGAAATAGGTAACGTCAATCTCAAGAATGAAAATGCGAGAAAACTCTACTCTTCGGCCAATGATTTGGTCGATAGCCCATCGTCAATGGGCCCGCGCTACGAATCTAGCATACAACTTATTAACAACGAAGACGGTTTTGCCGTCGTCGACACGACTCCGCCACACACCAACCGAGATGACGATTCTATGTCGTCGTCGAGTACAGTGGTTGGTTGTGTGGGCAAATCCAAGCGACGTGAACGCAGTAAATCCAAAGACTCTACTCCCAAACGTAGAGACAGCTCAGAATCGAGACTGCACTCGTTAGCTGACTTTTTCAGATCACCTTCCGGATCGCGTAAAAGCTCGCTGCAGAACGAACCGCGTAAATTTACGACTCACGTGACGATCAAAATAAATGACTCGGACCAAATGGTCATGCCAGATGAGAGTCCAGAGCAGTCGTTCGAGAAACCTCGCAAGTCGCGCTACTCTAAAAGCCCAATGAGAGTTTTGAATCGAATCAAAGCTTGGGGTAGTCGCGATGAGCTCGACGATAAAAATACTCGTGGAAATACGGTTGAATATAGTACTCTCAACGACAATGTGGCTTTGCTGCCCAAGTACGATCGACAACAAGTGCACGTTAGCAGCTCGACTCCTAGTTTTCTGGCGGCTAGTTCGCGCGAGGGCATAGATTTTGAGAATCTAGAGTCGGAATTTTGCGATTTAGAAAGCGAACGCGTGACCAATACAACTCGCAGCGAAAGCGGGGATGACGATACCAAGGATTTGATCGAAATCAAAGATAGGTCAAAAATTGAAGATACGAGAAACATATCGCTAGCAGATAGCAATGAGATCGTATCGAGACATTTGAGAAGTGCTTCGGACGGCACGACGCAGCAGCATCAAACGGTTATAGGTTCATTTGCAAAGCCAAAAATTTATGCGGCCCAAAAGTTCTTTCGAAAGAACTATAGTCCAGGCAAAAAAAGTTAAGATTTGTCGTTTTACTTACGTCTTCATATAGCTACGATGCCATAATTATTACTCTTAAGTTGCAGTGAAGCGGAGTTTCTACAATATAAATATTTATTTTTTCATTTATATAAAGTAGTAGACTATCCCAAGTAATTTTCACATTGCTTTATTTATCGTAGAATAAAATTGTTGATGATATTGGACATAATATCTTAAGAGATTAAAGTTTTTCCTGTAGCCAATGGACGACTGACTGTCGACTATAAAAGGTATACTTGTATCATAAAAAGTACCCAAGGAACGACGTTAGATTTTACATTTTTATACCTTCACTTTTCATTTTGTGCAATAAACTCGTTATTATAACCTTGATTGGTCGGAAGTGACAGTAAAATTTTAATTATACCGTTGTTTTTGGGGTATGATTTTTAGAAAATTCTTTATAGCTGATTAAAAAAAAATAATCTAAGAATTATTTTAATTAAATTTATAGTGCGATATATTTTTAATAAATAGATATAGGTATTATCATAATCGTGATTTCTGTGTTGAATCTTTAATTCTTATTTATATATCAATCGTGTAATTAAAGTCCTTTTTTAAAAATAAAAATAGTCAAAAAATTTGAAAATATCATTTCAGTAGGAGGGCTAAATTAATTATAAGAGTAAATATAGACTTTTGGTAAGGGACCACTTCCAAAAAAATGTCCTCGTGAAAAATAAGTGTTGGTTTAAGATAGATTTGCTTGAGACAAACTATGAAATTTTTCAAATGAACCTATTACCCATAATGACTATTTATTTTAAAGACTGGTTCGATTGCTTCAAATTTTCAAAGTATGAAGCTGGTCTCATTGACTTAGTACACAAATTTGATACTCTGTTAAATGTCAATTTGATAAAATTGAATATAGTAATATAGTAATATATAATTATAGTCTGGTGTTGGTTAAAAATTCTCTCAAAAGTTTATAACATTCTAACAAAAATACGAAAAAATTTCGGAGTAGATCCTACGCCAAATAAAAAGACTACGCCAAGTCATTTTGCTTGATCCCATTATGTACGTTCTTTTTGTAACAATGCAAAAAAAAACATATAAGTGCCCGTGGATTTAGATCAAATGTTTTTATAATACATGTAATTATATGCAATAATAGAAAGTTTTAAATTTATTTTAGTCGAAAATATTATGATTTAGATTGCGTGGATTTTCTCCAATTGTCATTGTTGAAAGATTATCCAACGTTAAAGTCATACTTTTTAGATCGCACCATTACCGCTGCATTCGCATGTAGATAATTGTAATTATGACAACAACAAAAATTTCCGCAATAAAAATGTGTTGAGTTGAAATAGTTTGAATTTTTCATTTTTAATAAATTATATTTTATTTAAATTTTACGCTCGGTACACGATCTGTAAGTAAATTTAATTATTAACAAGAAATAATTCGTAATAAATGTAATTTTTAACAAAAAAAATAACTATGACCTTGTATCAAGCGTAAAAAAACTGTTTATACCTAGCATGATATATGTCAGTAGTTAAATACCTTTGAGAAATCCATTTCCAATCCTCATGTGTACATATTTCAGATTAATTTACACTGAAATTTCAAAAATATCTCATTTACCATGTATTCGACAGTAAGTACAAAAATTTGTAGCTAGATGTTTGCTACTTTTAGAAAGCTTTTGTGATGTTGCTTTTGAATGTTTAGTCTAAAACTTTGACATTTTGTTACCAAATTTTAGCAAAAAATTATTTTAGGTACATGAATTTCATAATAAATTGTTCCTCAAACTCTTTTACCAAAAAATTACATTTTATCACTATTAAAAATAACGTAGCATGCTATCTTAAATGTTTTCTTCTAAGAATCAAAATGACGAGCCGAAACTCAGGTAAGATAAAATTTAATATTTCGACGAGACGATAAAGGAATTATAAATACATGTTTATGCGTTGCACAATGGAACAAACGAATACTTTTTCTCAACAGATTGGAACCGTCTCAGCGAAGAGCACGAATTAGCATCAGGAGGGACGGGGATGGCCGCTTCGGTGGCGAGCGGCAACGAGTGGGACGCGGGCTCGACGCCACCGATGAGCTTGACGATGACGAGCAACAACAGTCAAGATTATCCATCGATGAAGCCCGGCCTCGGCGGACCCTTCATCATGCCCATGCCCATGCACATGCCTCAAATCTACAACGGCGACGCGGCGAAGAAACCTCGCCTCAGTATAATCGAACTGGTGATATGCAACATCGGGGCGATGCTCGCCAGCATCAGCATGGACTTTGACGTGAGACTGGCGAACAGCGCGCCCAGACTGCAGAGCGCGAAGATGCAATGCGCCGAGGAGGAGCCGCCCAGGTGGTGGCAGCCCGAGGCTTGCTCGACCAACAGCCGAAATTCCGGCTTCTTGGGGACGGATTACGAGTTCAGCTCGACTAGCGGTTACGCGCATAACACCTACCACGGCCCGGTTAGACATTACAGGTGAGCTCATCTTCACGCAATATGCTAAATGTTACAGTCGTGGCTCGTTGCGACGCAACGATTTGCACTCGACACGATGCACTCGATGTCATTCCCGCCTGATTGGAACGAATCGAGCGCGAATAGGATCATTCGGACGTATGACGATGTCTGCTTGTAATTGCATATCTTCGAGCCTGTCGATTGGTTCTAGAATAAAGTCGTAGAGTATCCGAGCGATCAACGACTTCAACTCCATCATGGCGAATTTCTGACCTAAAACGTAAAAGCGAACCTAGCTACAGTACGCACGATAGTTACGGATGAAAAATTGTTCTACCTATGCAGTTACGTGGCCCAGCACTGAACGGCACGTAAGCAAACGGGTGCCGATTGCGGCTGTTTTCCGGCAAAAATCTGTCCGGATCGAACTTTTCGGGATCTGGCCAGTACTCCGGTTCTCGATGCGTATCGTAAAAGTGCACGATTATGTCCGTATTGGCTGGTACCAGTATGTTCTCTGCAAGGGAAAAATGTTACATACACCCACAATTATCGAACGAAGCTGCAAGACCCTCCCGGAGTACTCACTCAATTGTATGTCTTCGGTGGTGTGACGTAAGATGGTCGATACAGGCGGGTAGAGCCTGAGCGACTCTTTAATGCAACGCTCCAGGTAACAGAGCTCTTGCAAATTTGCCATGTCAATTTTTCCCTGCTTTTTTTCCAATAACTCGGTGACTTCGAGCCTCGCTCGCTCCTGTGCCTCTTGGTTATGGGCCAATAAAAACAGCGTGTACGACATCGCCATACCGGTCGTATCGTGGCCCTGTATAGCAACAACACATTTGAACGATAAAAAAAGTGCATATGATCTCGCTTTGTCCTCGACTCACTTCAAAGGTAAAGGTGTCGACCTCTTCCTCGATGCCTTGATCGTCGATGAGTCCATTCCGTTGGGCAGCGAGCAGCAGGTCCAGCATGGCCATTCGTTTCTTCCGTCCGATCGAGTCATCGGCCAGCTTGTCATCCTCGCTCTCCTCGCTCAAGCCATTTAGGTACTTGTTATTCGTGCTTTTGTGGTAATCTTTGCGCTCTTGAATTATCTGCAAAGAAAAAGACAACGGCATCGGCGCATTGTACTCGTCGTATCAATTGGACTCGGCAAGCGAATTAGCGTACTTTGGCTGTGAAATTGTGAAGAGTCTTTAGAGCATTTCTCTGAAGAGATCCTATTTTGTAAATGAACGGCATCATCCAATTAGTAACGTACGGCCTCGGCGTTCTGTAAACAGTCACGATACCTATTTCGTGAATGGCCTGTTTATACCGATCCAGCTCTTTGTTATCGATCGTATCCAAACTCACACCCATTGCGGATTCTGAAAAAAGAAAGCCAAAAACGTGTTTGCCAATCTGTACTTTTCCGCTTGTTTTCGTCGAACGAACCACAAATTATGTTTAGAGTGTATTTCGAGCTCAGCTCCACGAGATCCACGACGAAATCGTTCCCTCGTAATTTCAACTTGTCGATGGATTTCTGTCCTTCCCTCTCCGTTATTTCCATGTATTTTTTCAAGATGTTAAAATGAAAAGCGGGTGTAAGCATTTTTCGTCGGTTGCGCCATTTTTCACCTATAATTGACGCGTGTTACTTTATCGAACATTTTGTAATAATTGAAAGTTATTCAAGTACCTGTGCTCGTTAACAAGCCAGTCTTCAGCCATGGCATGAGATAATTATAAACGAAGCCCTTCTCGATAGCTTTATTGCTGGACAATAAAATCTGCACGAGGTAGGTCGTTACTCGTAGAAAATACTTGGCATTACAAAAAAAAATAATTGGTTCCATACCTCGACGTCATCAGGATGGTGAATATTGACGATGGCAGACGTGAACATCCACAGTACGGAAACGGGACGAAATTGTTCCGTCACTTTTCTCGTGATACGCCAAAAGTTGCACAAATCCGGGTCTAAGAACATGAGCGTGTTGCCGAAAATCGGATAGGGTTTCGGACACGGTACCGATCGCAACATACGACCTCTTCTGTCATAGCGAGTACAGATGTGGAAAATCACCAGCACCAAGACCAGAAACGCGAGCACGTAAAACATGATCGACGTGAATTTTTCCACTAAAAACTAATCGTTCGTCGCATTTTTCACGCCGGGAAATAGTACGTCGTTCAATCGATTCGCGGCCGATGAATATCTAGTAGCGTCTCGCGAGTATCTCGATCGTTTGCCACTATTTATTGGTGAACATTTTTCGCGTCGCCTGTTTTTCATTCGCATGCGAGTAGTTTCATCATATGCGCGAGACAGTCGATGTTTTTAATTACGCCTAAAGCTACAATGCTGGAGTCGAGAAAAAAAAAGCATCTTTTTTCGCGCGTTAGCGTGATAGCTCGTTTTTCTCACGAGGCAAAAAAAAACTCAAAGATTGTTTGCTGATTGGCAAAAACTTGATGATGGAAATGAATGCTCCGAGTTTTCTTTTATTTCGGCCCGCTATACGCACTGAGCGATAACAATTGAACAGTTGCGAAACTTTATTTATGTCAATGAATAAGCCAAGCTGAATTTACTGATTGTAAGCATAAATCAGATATATATTTTGTGCGTAAAACAAGATAATCACAGTTTAAAAATATAACAATCTTCTTGACCTTGGCACGCTCCCTAGATCAACGTTTATCAATCTTGACTAATTTCATTTTCACAGCTTCCGAAGGCCTTAAAATTACGTCGGCAGTCAACTTTATGTCGCTGGTCTTGTCGATGTTTTCCAAGTAAAAATCGTACAGTATCCGACCTATGAGGGATTTCAATTTGAGCATGGCGAGCTTTTGACCTACAAAAGTAAAAAAAAAAAAAATAAATAACAACGTTGGTAGGGAAAATTATCGCGCGAGAAAAGCGCGCGTCGAGCGTTGAACTCACCTATGCAATTACGCGGGCCAGCGCTGAAAGGCACGTAAGCGAACGTGTGCCGATTGGCACTGCGCTCCGGCAAAAACCGATCGGGATCGAAGACGTCCGGATTCGGCCAGTAATTGGCGTCTCTGTGCGTGTCGTACAGATGAATCATGATGTGCGAGTCGGCCGGCACTAGCGCATTTTCTGGAAAAATCACGCGGCAATTAGAAGAAAATTGACGGATGTTTTTTTCGTTTGCCTTTTTTTTTCGCCTCGTCATGCGGTACACTTACTTAGTTGCAACTCATCGGATGTGTAGCGCAAGAGCGTGGCGACGGGTGGAAAAAGTCTGAGAGATTCCTTGATGCATCGCTCGAGGTAGGGCAACTCTTGAAGACTCGACGTGTTCAAATTCCCATTGTATTTTTCCACAACTTGCGTTACTTCGGCCCTGGCTTTAGTCTGAAAAATGTATCGTTCGATCGGATCGAAAGAGAAGACGAAAACTTCCGTACGTACCTGAGCCTCCTTGTTCTCGGCCAGCAGCATCAACGTAAAGGTCATGGCCATGCCCGTCGTGTCGTGCGCCTCGAACGTAAAGGTATCGACTTCTTCCTTGATGCCCTCGTGATCGATGAGGCCTTTGCGCTCGGCCGCCAGCAAAAGGTCGAGCATCGCCAGTTTTCTGCGCGTTCCGTCCTGCTCGGAGACGGGACAGTCTTTGGCGAACTCCTCGAGGTACTTGCCGTCGCTGCCCTCGTGGTACTGTCTTCGCTCTTGGATCACCGCGTCGGTGAAGTGATGCAACACGTCGAGGGCGTCCCTCTGCACTTTGGCCATTTTCCTCGCGAACCTCATGAGCCAGTTGGTGATGTAGGGCCTCGGCATCCTCCATACGACGACGTTGCCCATGTCGCGCACTGCATTTTTGTATCTTCGCACGAGCTTGCCATCCATCTTGTCCAGCTTCACGCCCATAGCCGATTCTAATAAAAAAATATAATAATAAACAAACGATCGTCAGTTAAGATAATTCATTGTCGAACAAAGCATCGATCGTCCGTTTCGTCGCACCGCAAACGATGTTCAACGTGTACTGCGAGCAAAACAGCATCAAATCGTCGACGATGATCGTGTCGGAGCTCTCGTTTTTCAACTCGTTCATGAATCGCACGCCCTGGTCGTTGGCTATCTCGAGGTACTTGTGCAGAATGCTGAAGTGAAAGGCCGGCGTCAAGATTTTCCTTCGCTGTCTCCACTTTTTGCCGGTGCTCGTGAGAAGGCCCGTTTTCAGCCAAGGATGCAGATATTCGTAGATGTAGCCCTTGTCGATGACCTTGTGACTTTGAAATATGACTTCCAAGTCGTCGGGGTGTCGCACGCTGATTATGGCCGTTTTGCAGATCCAGAAGCGAGTGATCGGGTAATAATCGTTCGACACCTCCCGGCCGAGACGCCACAGATCCTCTGTAATTTTGCACGCACGAAATTCAAGTTAATTATCGATCCGCGCCAGTCCGATGGACAAAACTCGCACGAATTAACTCACGCAAATTGTCGACTTTGAACTTGAGCATATTGCCGAGCAGCGGGTAAGCCGTCGGTCCGGGTATTTTGCTGAGTAGACGGCCGCGCTTGTTGTATCGGGTCATCAAGTGAAAGATCAAGGGTCCGATGATCGATAACAGCAAGCAGGTAAGGATCATTTTGGACCAAGCGATACGTATACCGTTCTAGCGATAAGTACTATGGGTGCTGTTCGCGCCACGTTCACCCGTTCATGACTACGAAGACTCGCTCCGGTGAAAGATCGCGTTTCCCTCCGTGGCATCCACAAAAAGCAAGTCAAATATTTGCGTTTCGCACATTAAGAGCCAGCGCAAAAAAGTCTATTATTCATAATTGAATTCGGCGTCCTCAATTTTCAGCGAGTCCTCGCTCTCGAGCGCGCCAAATTATCGCACTCATTTACGTATTTCGCTTTTTAAGGTCGCATCTGAGCAACATGGCTGGTGGCATGCAGCCGTCGTCTCTGCTGCTGTCGCCGAATCACAGCGCCAGCAACAACAGCGTCAAGCCGCTACGTTTCACCGATTCGTCGTCTTCTCAGCAGCAGCAGCAGCATAATTACGCAGCTTCGTCAGCGACCAGCAGCTCGAACGCGCCGACTCCGAGTCCTCGGCGGAAAAATTCCATGAGCAATAATTGCGACGAGATGATCGCCTACTCGGCGGAGCAATTGCAGCGGCTCGACAGATTGCCGCCGACTTACGGGGCTACGGCCGTCGCCGCCGCCGCCGTCGGACACTCGTCGTTGGCTCATTATCAGGACTACGGGCCCCCCATGTACATTTCGGCCGGCGGCGGTGGAGACTACTTCAGGCCCGTCGAGACGGCTTATCTGCCGGGCGCCGATTATCAGTGAGTCGAATCTCTCGTTTTCTCTTCGTTCTGTCTTGGCAACGAGGAGTCTGAATTTGTTCCCTTTTCGCCTCTAGCGACAGAGTACTGGAGTGTTCGGAATTTCCCCACGCCTACGACAATCCCGGCAGCGTGAGCAGTCCAGCGCGTACGCCTCGTTTCTCCGCTTTGGCGCATCATCGGCGCACACCCTCCAACGTCTCGTCGACCAGCACGTCGTCCTCCCACCAGAATCCCTCGTTTCGCCTGGACGACGAGATCGAGTACAATCTCTACTCTCCGGGCCATTCGCTCGTGAGTTCATTCGATCGCTTTTTTCCCTAGCCACTTGTAACGTGATAATCTTGCGATAACGAGTCTATTTTATGGTCGTTTTGTTTTTTCAAGGGCTACTATCGAGGTCTAACGAGTACCTCGTCGAGCCTCGTGCCGGCCAGCATAGCCGGAAGTAGCAGCTACGGCAGCAGCGCGACCCTCAGCCATCAGCCGCACGATTACAACAGCACGAGCAGCGAGCTGCAGCACTACTTGCAACGCTCCGCGTCCCATCATCATCAGAATAATTCGCAAGACTCGCGAGACCTGCTGCTGCATACGATAATGGACCGGCCGAGCAATTTGGAAGTTGCCTCGAGGCTAAGGTCGAGCCTCAAGAGGTCCAATTACGCCTACGGCTCACCCAACAAAACCAGCAGCAAGAACAATTCGGGCTCTGGTGAGTTTCGCATCGTTTTTTCGCGTCAACGTCCACCAAATGGGCCAATAAGAATATTTCGTTTGTTTTTATGCAGGCACACCGACGAATCCGACCCCGCCAGACTCCCTGACGTCCGAGGACTCTTCTTACGTCTCGGCCAAAGACGGCCAGATATCTCTCAGTCGAGTTCGCTTTTCACCGGTGACGTTCGAGAGGGAACAACAGCAGCAGCAGCATCCGACCGAGCTCGTGACGAGTCCACTGATGCAGGGACTGAGGCGACTGGGCAGCACCAGTCGCGGTAGCAGCTCGACGTTGACGCAGCGACGACCAAGCATCAACGAGATACAGAGGGATTATGTCACCTAACGATAGATCATTCATACATTTAAATTTTCCTTATTTTCGTCTCCGTTGTTATCGAGAAAAGTTCGAATCGTTCTTTCTTTCGATTCATTTTCAAATATTGGCTTACGTCAGTCTATTTTGTATACATATCGCTGTCAACGAGATTCTTAGCATCGCTATCTAATTAAAGTACAAAAATAGACAGAATGAGAGAAAGAGAGAGAGACATTATTCTCATTCAGCTGTATATAATGCATTCCATTATTGTGTAAAACAAACAGCGGTTCACTGCCTATATACCATGTGTATATGTACAATGTGGAAATTTGAATCTTCGTTAAGTGCATCTATTATTAGATGGAAAACGCCGAGATAATTTTGCTTCTTTTTTGTAAGTGGTAAGAAAACTCGTTCATTCAGTCAAAAGAGTAAGGCAAAATTTTCTACGTCACATCTCGTGCAATCATGCATATATGCACATAATGTTACGCGAGAGCAAGATCTGCGCATGCAATCATAATATATTATGAGCTTATGAAAACACTAATCACACAAATGTATATTTTGATAATCAGTACAGTATCAGCATTTTGCGTTTAGCTTTCACATTATTTTAAACAAGTAATGATTCCGAACCTTGCGTTGGTTAACTTATTGAAATGTACCAATAATGTTTTTGGTAAAGTCAGAGTCTTAAAAGGAGAAACACTCTTTTAATTATTTATTTGTAGGATTTTTTTATAATTTTACCCCATCATTCAAGTGTGAAACAGTCGAACACAAAGAATAACGATCAAAAAATCTAACATAGCCGCACAACGTGTTTCACACGAACAGTTATGATTTACGAATTAATGCAATGATAAAGATATTTCGTATAACCATTACTCATTTTAAAAATTTGCTACGTTCATCGCACAATCTGCTTTCATCGAATATCGACCAATGTATTATGCGACTTACTTATATTTAATATATTATAAATATATATATTCATGTGAGGGCGAGAAAGTGTGAATATCAGTCATCAGTATTGGGAACTATTTTTAAAAATGAAAATTGGGCAAGTTGTACAAAATATTATAAAAAGTTCAATATGTAAACATTGCTCTTTATTTCGGAAAATCGATTCTAGATGAGAATTTTCGCGCGAATATATAAAAGGCACAATTTATAATGGGTTGTAGATAATTCTGTAGATAATAGAAACGTTATTTTCATTTGAAAAAATATTGGTTCCAATATTTTTTAATTTATATATAGTTTTTTTAATTCTTCAATTAACTATTTATAAAATTGAGCAAATATTTATTATATTTTTTATCAAATTTGTTATGAAATATCGTAGACTTTGTAGTGATAAATTTAATAATTAATAATAATTGCGCGAAAAAAATTGTCAAAATATGTCAATGTACATAATATGCATTTTGATAATGCCATTGGAATGTGATGATGCCAAAAAGAAATGATAGATTCAAAGTACTAGGGTAGTAATCGATTCGTAAAAAATCAAAACTTAATTCTTACAACTTGTGCGTAATGAAAATTATTTTTTGGCAAGCGTTCGATGAAGATAAGTTAAGAAACTGCGGTGCTGGATAAGAATGTACTTAAAGTTAATCGGGATAAATTGTTGAATGAAAAAGACTATGCATAATGTTTGTGTGAATACTTGTCGATTTATAAATGATATTTTTGAGTGTTAATTTTTTTTCAACTTGCGTATTAGACCGTAGTCATCAGCAATGCTAGTCTAAGATTTTGTTCGTTTATAATTTTATTTATTTTTCATATTTGATGATAATTACGTTTACGACATAATATTCTTTTTTATCATACTAGTTTTACGTCGATTCTTATTGTAATACATTCCATTAGAGTTAAAACGAAAATATGCAATACTTAAGTTGAATAAGATGAAGTTACGTGATAATTTTAAATCACTTAAAGAATAATTATTTGATTTGTAACGAATAATCTTTGAATGAATGTGATCTTCTTTTGAAATCGACCGCATTTACTTGGTATGATGACTATTTTTTTAAACTAATTACCAATGTTTTAACTGTACATAAAAACCATTAAATTCTTACTGCAATTTAGCCCGTGACAATTTGCGAACATTTTTCAAATCATAAAGTCGGATATAAGTGTTTTTACTACGACACGCACATATTATGAAACACTGTAGTAGGAACATTTATTTTTATTAATTGAAATTATTGCGAAAAATCATTAATTATAAAAAGATTTGATTTATCGAAAGTAATGTATCAAATCTTTTTGCAAAATATAATGGCACACGTTCTATTACAATTGTGTGTACAGAAATGCTTTACAGTATACATATATACTGGCCTTAAAGAAAAAATGATCTTAGACGTGTTAAAACCTTGTATCATATTTATATAAAGTAATATATGGTAATTATGTTAGAAAACGCGATTTCAATGGATTAATAAATTGTATGATTTCATTGTCAAGTAAATTGTTACCAATTCGTCATTCACAAAATCAATTTCAATGAAAAAAAAATGTAATACGCGAGTAGAAAGTATGCGTAGTCCAGCGACTGTCATGCATTTAAAAATTCGTGTATTTTTACAAGCGAAGAAATAAAAATGTAAATTTCTAGATAAAAAAAATGTGGGTTATTAACAAAATGAAAAAAATGTAATATTATATGTGCGTCAACAAAATCGTAATAAAATTGATTTATAGATTGTGACTGACTAATATTTGCATGAATTTTTCGAGACAATAGCGAATTTTTCTGCCGTAACAGAATTATCCGAGCACAAGCCGGATTCTATAAGATAGACAATGACCAGTTACGATAAATAAATAATTTGACACAATGTAAACATATATTGCTCAATGCGTTGCTCATTCCGAATTGCCCGCCAAATATCCTGCAGTCCAGCTGTTAATGCCTCCCACCAGCTATGCATGCGTGCTATACGGCTTGCATCGTACACACTACGGTACACAATGAGCTTTCTGCACTACTGCTTAGTTACTACTTGCTTCCGAGTATTTCACAATAGCTATCGCGAGTGAGACACGATGCCTTGTTTACCATCTGATCGCGTGGGGACTCACAACTTGTATAGTCGAAGAAAAATTTCATAATAATAATCCATTTCAAGTTTGGCTTTGGATCATCGCACGTGAGCAATTCCGATTGTTTGGGGAATTTATTTTTGAAAAGCACTGCGAGTGCGCGTATTATGACAAAAAATGAAGACCGTTGAAGGAAAAGTGGTTTTACTCGGTTCTCAAGGTAATAGCTTACTGCAAGTGTTATACCCTACATTTGCATTAAAAAAAAATTAGGTACGAGCTAGTGTTAAATTGTAGCTTTGTTGTATTTTCTTGGCCTTTGTCTGTTTTGATTCATATCGTGATTCACCTTTCATACTCGCGATCATTTTTCTCGAGTATTATGAACAGGATTCCAATGATTTAATGCATATTTTTTTGCTAGTGCCTTCTTATTAAATCACGAGCAACTTAAATATTCCCGTCAGTCGTGGGAATTCTTTTTTCATCAACTTTCATCTTTATTAAATCTACTGACAATGTCTAAATTGTTTTGCATTGTTCAACAAACTGTAATGAACTATTGATAATTGATACTATTGAAAAACTTGTAAACAATTATTGTTTCATAATTAAAGAACCAAGTTATAAAGTTTGTATTGTTATGCTTCTATTGTTATGCTTTATTTTACAGGAGTTGGAAAAACAAGCCTAGTGACTATGTACCTAACTAAATTTTTCAATACACACAACAGTCCAACCATTGGAGCTGCTTATTTCACTTGCAATATTAAATTGGAAGATACCATAATCAGGTTTCAAGTAAGTCAGAATATAATTTTTTTACCCATTTAATGATTTTGGTATTTCAATTCTCATCTGTATATAACAACCTCATTATTAACAACTACTCTTATTGAAAAATAAAGTCTAAAAATAGATTTTATTTCCATTGACATAAATGATTGTTTATCAAATTAATATCTACAAACAACAATTAATTATCCATTAAAAAAACAATTAAAAGATAATACTTTTTTACAGTTATGGGATACAGCTGGTCAAGAAAGATTTAGATCTATGGCTCCAATGTACTATCGAAACTCAAATGTTGCTTTTCTTATCTTTGATATAACAAATCCAAAAACTTTTGTGAATATCAAAACTTGGGTCCTAGAATTAAGAAGAAATGTACAAGAAAAAATGGTTCTTATTCTCATAGGTAATAAATTAGACTTAGCTGCTTTAAGAAAAGTTGATTCAGATGAAGCTAAGGTATATGCTGATTCAATTGGTGCTTTGTATTATGAAATATCTGCACTTACAAATGAAGGTGTAGATAAAGTTTTTTCTGCCGCTGCAGCAGGGCTAAAACAATTAGCTAGTGGTGATGATCTTGTTACTAGTTTGAAAATTTATGATAATTTAGAAAAATCTGAACGTGAACAACCAGATGTACCTTTAAGTGAAGAGCCATTTACAACTAGCATTGCCCACGGCATTGAAAAAAAACCATTTTTATGTTGTTAATGTTGAAATGCATAGTGAATATCTTTAAATTGTATTCATGTATATATAAGTTTGATTGTAAAATGACTGCTAATAGATGAATGCTGGAATGAACGACAAATTCAAAAAATAATTGTGATCTTAAGATATTAAAAATATTTTCCTACTTGATTATCATGATTTAGTTGATCAACTAAAGTTAAACTATTTATAAATACAACTGCATTCATTGTAAACCAAATATAATGCTAATTGGCATAAAACTATGTATAATATTATTTCAAATTATATATTAACAGATAAATGTATGATTTTTAATTCAACTATGATTAAATTTGTTTTAAAAAATGAACTCTATTTACAAATTGAATTGTTAGAAATATCAGAATTCTGACAAGTAAATATTAAATTTAAAGCTTATAAAAAAAAAACTTTTATACATGATTCTACTTATAAAAAAGACAAGAATTGAGAGTATTTTTAGAGAAAATATTGAGTTTCTTATAGAATATTAAGTGTTGTACCTGAGCATAATTCAATTATCACTTTTGTGGTTTTTTCCTGTGGTATGAATAATATATATCTTCATTGTGTTAAAATGCTCAAAGAGCATAAGGACGAAATATTCATTATTTAAACTCAATCTTGTTGATAGCTAGAAAATCAAATCTTGTAAAGGATAAGATTCTACTTTTGGAAACTGTACAACGTTGAAAAATTAACAAAATAAAATATTCATGCTGCCTTGGAATTTATAAGAAGATGCGTGAGGAAGAAAAATAAAGTTGATTTTTCCAATAAAATAAAACTTTTATTTTTTTAATATAAAATACATTTAATATTAAATACTTTCCTACAAATTTTTATTTTAGTCTATTACTGAACATAAATTGATTTTCAGTAATTATACATCGATTCGTCGTGCATTCTTTATAAATAACTTGCGTACAATTAAGCACATATGATACTTAAATAAGTAAAAATAATTTATAAAAGTATATAAAAACACATCTACTCTTCAGACACACATTTAAAAGAAATAATTACCAGATCACTCATTTTCTAGCTCGCTTTGACATTATTTCTTGATAAACAGCTTGTAACTCATGGTTTTTATTTTCCTTATCCATTCGTTCATTATTACTACGTTTACGATGACCATCAGGCGATAGTTGTTTAAGACATTCAACATCATTAAAAACTACTTGAGCTCCTCCTCCACTGGTAGGTAAAATGTCAGCCTAAAAATCAAAAAAATTATTTTATTTAGCCACCTATGTGTAAAAATATTAAACAAAGTGAAAAACCTACTTTATATAATTTTGTTTCGAGTTCACCCTCTGAATCGTGATTCTGAGCAGTAAGGCAATATCTTGATGCACCATCGGTAATCTCTTTTGGACTTGTTAATTTAGTGATACTTCTTCTGCGTCTCATAAGAGGTTGCAATACAGTTCCTACAGGAACTAAACTTTCTGGACGGTGATCCACCCAACGATCGGCACTTTGCGAGCGCCGGTAACGAGGATTCGCAACCCCAGCTCGTTCCTTGCGGGATTGATGATTGAGTCTGCCTGGTGTTTTGGTTTGTCTGGGTTCACTGCTATCACTGCTATCTTTCAAAACAGGTATGGTAGCTTTTTCTTCATCGTCAAGAATTTGTTTGACGAGACGCAGTTTGTCTTCTTTATCACGAATTTGATTCTATTGAAAGTAATAGAAAACATTCGTGAGGTATGATCAAATATATGAATAATAATAATGTAAGTCATAGTATGCACCTGAAGTTGTTCATGTTGAGCTTTTGATTTTAGTTCAAATTCACTTTTTATCTTGTCAGTTTCATGTTGAATTTTTGTTGAATACTTCTGTTTCACTCTCTGCTTATCAATCAGGCCCTGATTTAGTGCTAAATTTCTCTCCTTTAACTATTTAAAAAATTAATAAGTTTCATTCAAAACTGTCTTATTTAAAATCAAATAATTATTATTTTTACATACTTCGTGTTTTAAACTTTTAATTGTTTCATTTGCTGTACATAATTTATTCATCAATTTATCTATCTGAGCTTCCGATAGTGAAATATGTGCTTCTAAAGCTGAAATTTTTTTCTTATGAGACATTCCAGCAGCTTTCAAGTGCGCATTTTCTAGTCGGAAATTATTATTTTCTTGTTCAATAGCAACTAATCTTTTGCGGAATTCAATTTCTGTAAAAAATATGGTTTTATGTAAAAATCGTTCATTCAATGCTAAAAAAATAGTATAGTAATTTTTTTACCTTTTTGTTCTAAATCAGCTCGAAGTAAATTGCGTTTGTTTATTCGTTGTTCTAAGTAGGTCATTAAATTTAATATTACTTGGTCATTATGAGGATTATCAATCTCCAAATCAGGAAATGGCCCTCCAAGACTGAAAAATTAATTTATTACAGATTATTTCAAAAGATTCAAAAGATATTTTAAAAGATAAATTTAATATACCTGTAAACTAAACCAATGTCTATATCAAGATTAGCAGCTTCTGCGTGACCTTCTTTTTCTAATCTAGCTCGTGCTTCTTTGAATATTTTATTAGCTTGTCGTCTACCAGGAGTAAAGCCAAGATCTAACTTAGTTACAGTAGGTCTTGCAATCTGGACTTCTTGAGTCATTTCAGCAAACTTCATTACTTGCTAAAAATAAAAATATGCTATCAAAGTGAATGAAAGTGTAAATGTGAAGAGTCACACAAAAATTAACTTACTATAGTTTCATCATAGTCATCAGCTCTTGGATTTGCACAAACTATCATGCGTACCTGACCCTCACCGTCAAAATAATTTTTAAACAAATGTGTGAGTTTGGAGTCACGATAAGGTACTATTTTGTTAGTACCTTGAGTTTGATTTTCACGTAATATTTCAAGGCAAGAACGTAATGTCATAAGAGAGTTGTTAATATTTCCAGCTTCACGAAGTCGCTGACCAGTATTTTTTGTTCTGTTGGTTCGTTCACTTCCAGCAAGATCTACCAATGATAATTGGCTAACGCAGACAACTCGTTTATCTTGCAAAACTTGTTCTCCTTCCCCATCTAATGGTGCTTGAACCAAACGTATAGTAAAAACACTGTGTGATCTACTAGATTCAGCATTTAGGGCAGTATGTGCTACGCGCCGTCTACGCTGGCCTCGTTGAAATACTTCAAAAGCTTCATCTGAGCTTTTAACTTCTACTTCCGTTACTGCATGCACATACATATTTTTATTTCCATCTTCCCTGATAATTTTACTTTGCAGTGTTCTAAATAAAAAAATCATAAATTTATTTAATTGAATTTTGAATAAAAGTAAAATTATGGTTTACTCACTTTGCTCTGACTTCTTCTTCTTCAAGAAGATCATAAACGCTGTTATTGTAAATTTCAATGTATGTTACAAACACAGCATATACATAATCATTATCAACACTAATATTTTTTGAATCATCTGTTTCTCTGCTCATCATTGGATTACTTTCAGCGTCACTTTCTAGTTTTCGACTTTAATTGAAAATAAAAAAATCAAGACAATGTTTAACAAATTGTATTGATATATGTGGTAAATATCTTACCTTCTTGGAGTTTTAGGGTTACGAGGAGTTATGAGTCCTGCATGGAGTTCACTTTGTCTATCAAGTAGAGCATCTGTATCACTTTGAACATCAAAACCATTAAGTTTATCTGGTTTGAACACAAACTTTTTGGCTTGATAATTTGATATGCTATTAAAAATCACATCCAAGCATCTAGGCATGATTCCAGTATCATTGGGTTCTCCTGTCATTGTATAAGTTTTTCCACTGCCTGTCACACCATATGTAAAAAGTAAACCATTTCTACCACGTATAAGATTCTCTACTAAAGGTAAGGAAACTGTTTTAAAAACTTCTTTCTGTTGAACATCTTCTCCAAATATGTGAGTAAATGTGAGTTGAATTTCTTTTTGTGAGCCATTTCTGAAGTTCATTGCAGACTCAGGTGGAGTTATAACAAGAGTTTTGTCTGATACAATTTTCATGCATGATATGTCACTTGGATATTGCATTGGTCTTAATCGACAAAATACTTGTACTGGGTCCTTTGAAATTTGATTACTCAGCTTTAGTCTCGGCTTCCGTGCCGAAGAAGGCGGTTGTTTTCGTCTAGAAGAATCCATAATTTAATTAATTTTTCTACTTGAAAGCAATAACATTTTGTATTGACGAAAATTGTTTAATTGTATAAAAAACTCGTTGAGGTTAAAGTTACAAACTCTGCGTTAATATTTTTGCAATGCAATCACTTTGTCATTATCGATGAAAGTTTTGATTAAGCAAATGAGAACTGAATGTCAACAAAACGAACTTCATTCATACAATTCTCGAGTGCAATGATAAAATTGATAAAATAAACAAACACTTACGCAGACTTCATCTTTATGTTTTTTTGCCCAAGATTGAGTCCGTTGAAAAATGTTACTTATGCACTTATTTCTTGAGCGATGAACGTTTTCTGGTTTGTTTTCATAGAGCAACGATAACGGACGCCATGACTCTGGACTGCTGGATGCATAACTTCCACACGCAGCTGCTGGTTAGATGCGACCGTTCGAAAATTCAAACTTTCACGTAGCGAACGCCTTTGTGCACCAATAGCGTTGCAGAGCCAAGTTAGTGGCGACACCTGCAAAAGCTTGATTTAAAAATGTCAATATGATGACAGTACATTTCATCTGCATACGGGCTCAAGATGATTACAATTGTTTTGGAACAACGATTATTATTACTCGTGATGACCTGCAATGCAAGACTCCTACATATTTTAATTGAAGAAACTATGCTTGAATTAATAAATGTTTGAGCCTTTTATAAATATTTAATATGCAAACAACCTTTGATAGTGGTAAATGAATATTACACTTTTAAACTTAAAATTTGACATATAGTGTATAGTGAACCAATAGTTTAACTTACATGAATTATACAATCAAGAATCATTTGAAAATAATGATAAAGTTATACGCTTTTTTTTTATTAAAAACAATATTGTTCAATCACTTATAAGGTATTTTTCGAAAATGTCGTAACAGGTTCAACAATAATTTTAGCTACTAGTTGCAGCAGTCAATTGCAGATCGTGTTGAGGGGTCCTCATTTATTTATTAAAAAAAGTCCGCAATTATCCATGTGGTCTCCCAGTGCCGCACCGAGCGGAATTATTCAGGCGAATCGCTAACATTTTTAACTCGCTGTAAAAGTACTTAAATGCACCTAGGAAAAAAAACTAATACGTGATTTCGATGGAAAGTTGCCTCAGTTTTCCGATGGTGATGTCAGATTTTCCAAAATTTTGCGTTTTACCCGGAAAATTGCCGGAAAAACTTTAAAGTCGATTATCTTCAAAAATTCATTTTCATGATTTTTCTAAATAGTCTAGATCGAAAGATCAGAAAATTTTCCATCGATATAGATACTTTCTAGAGAGAGTTTTTTGATTTTAGCGAGATATAGCGAGAGAAAGAAGAAAAAACGTGGTTTTTATGGGTATTGCATAGTTATTTGTTTATAACTTTTTTATAACCAATTTTAGCGCCATGCACCATAGAAATTCGGTTTCAGCGGCCCAAAATACACGAGAAAAACTTTGGTGCACCCGTCAAACAAGACATGGTTACGGTGGACCCACTGGCCCCTAGACTAAGCTGAATTAGCTGAACAGTGTAGGTAATTGCATCTCTGCTCGAGTCCGATGACTGCATTCTGATTCCCAAATTCTAATAAATTAATTTAATGATGATAGATGATGCTTGGCTGCAATCTAGAATACAGATTTTCGTAATTTATTTCAATTGTGCTTTGGGATATTCGTACAAATCTCAACTAATTATGTATTAACGACAATTTTGTATTTTTATTTTTCAGTTATTAGCTCCTTTAGTAATTAGCTTAACCTGGAGGGTTAAAAAGTATGAGGTCAAGACATGTAAGTTTCATGAAAAAATTATGTAGAGCTCGATAACCACAACCCCGGTTACGGGGTGGCATTAAAAGGGCATGAAAAATCGCAAAATTGTCGTTTTTAAGCTTTTTTTAAATGGATGTAGAAGACAATTGGATTTGCGTATCGACCTTTGCAGTATCTCATTTGAAATGTATTTTTATTATCTTTAAATCTCCGTTCTCAGGTTTAAGATTGGTTCGAGAACGACGGAGATATACAGATGTTTAAAGATATCAACATTATGAAAAAGAGCGTTTGTTCAAGATTTCGAAAGGCTATAACTTTTTTCTAGTAATATGAATCTCTTTGAAATTTTATGTGAAAGTAGTTTATAATATGTAGTTTGAAGCCATGTATTTGAACTGGATTTATTTATTTTTATGGTAAAAATGAAACTCAAAGTGTACCGAAAAAACACGCTCGAAAACGACCAATCGCGCGCTGTTTCTCTCTTTACCACTCGAGAAAAACAAAACAATTCCCTTTGTTTAGAATCACTTTTTCCGCAAAATCGCGAGATCTTTCGATTTAGCTACTCAAAAAGTCAATCAAAGTTGAACTCTAAAAGTTGTAACGTGTTTCAGCTTCAAGTCCATTTTTTGGGGTTATCGAGGCATATTTTTACATTTTTGACATCACCAATGGAAAGCTGAGGTAAAAACCTATCGAAAACATATGTTGGTTTATTTTTTTGAATTTTATTAAACCCTTTACGAGCGATTCAAACATTGAAAATTCTAAACAACAATGAATTATTGTAGAAAAACGAAAAGGATTGCTTATTTTGTTTTAATTTAAATATCTAGATTACATAGATGATGAAAAAGAACATACAATCCGAATCACTTTCCTATTCGAAGATCGAAAAAAATGTAATTTTTATTCCAAGACTTTTGCAGTCAAATCAAAATCTTTGCAAAGTAAGTCAAGGCCTCGACACTTACTGCTGAATCTTGTAACTATTACCGAAGAGTATTTATGAAAAAATGAGTCAATAATTTTTTGAAATTAAATGAAAAAGAATATCTAGTAAGTATTTTTGGTGGTAATTTATTTATTTGAATGGCACGAAGTACATACATAATTGAATAAAAACAGACATAACAAAAATATTGAAAATATGCTTATAAACATTACGAGCTTTGGACTACCACCGACGAGCAAATATTTTACAAATTTAATCATCATCTTATTACACTCCTTTTACATTTTAAATTATTTTCACCATTCAATTTGCAGCCTTTTTGGAGCTTTTCTAGCTCTAATAGGTCTTTCATTTTTACGTTTTACAGTATTTGTTATTACATTTATTTTACTATCCTTATTAGTTTGACCTTCAGTCGCCAAGAAAATGTGATATAAATCTTTGTTCTGTAAGTTCTCAAGGATTAATTCGCAGCACTCAAGCGGCAGCCGATAATGAATCAATTTCCAGAAAGGTTCCAACGCCGAACTCCGGAAAAATTTGCTCGACATCATCTCGTACAAATGCATAAAACAATCCTGCTTTGCTGATTGCGATGATAACTTGCAGCAGGCCATATACGTCAGTCGTTTTGCAGCCTCATGGGGTCGTAAATGAATTAGATCGTAGAGCGACAAATCTGGTTTTACCATTGTCTCTCTCGCTTCTTTTGCAAATTCCTCGTTGTCATACCAACGTTCGTCAAGATTCTTCATCGCCTTGAACAATTTGTACTTGTTGAATAATTTCATAATTATCAGGACTTCGCTTCGGTCCAGCTCGTATCCTTTTTTTTCTAGGCACTCGATGACCGCTAGTAGGCCAAATGCTAATAACAATTTAGATTGAATATATTTGTATCTAGGTGACGCGAAGCAATCGTCGAACTGACTCCAAGTGGGAAATGCGAAGCTCGACAGATCGGCGCCATGATTCAGCAAACTCTCAACTGCGTAGGGTGAGCAATTCACCACGGCACATTGAAGGGGTGTCCTGCCCAACTTGTCGCGGGCGTCGACCAGCACCCGCTGATTGAGCTCCTCGTTGATTTTGAAAAAAGATTCCGCAAAGTCATCGCAAAAATCCATATCTCTTTTGCAAATAATATGCAAAGGAGTCGATCCCTCGTCGTTGGATAAATTTGGACTAGCCCCTTTTCTCAGCAGCACCTCCATCATCTTCTTCCGATCGCTGTGTTTCAAAGCCAAATGAATTGGTGTACTACCCAACTTGTCACGGGCATCGACTTGCACCCGCTGATTCAATTCATCGTTTATTTGGAAGAATAGCTCTACTATCTCACAATCAAAGTCTTCTTTGGCTATGGCATGCAAAGGTGTCAAACCTTCCTTGTTGGCTATATTTGGATCGGCTCCTCCTCTCAACAGCATCTCTATTATAGCACTGTTCACAAATGTTGCCCGTTCTAAAGCCAAGTGTAGTGCTGAATCACCCGTGTCTGACCAGATACAATTTGGATCCTGTCCGTGCTCGAGAAATCCTTGGACGACTTCGACGCAGCTAAACTGGCAGGCCGCATGAAAATGTGTGCAGCCTGACTCGTCGGTGTAATTCACATCCAACCTGCTGCCGCATATTTGAAAAAGGTGAGGAAACAGGTCATCATAAGCGAATTGTTTGCTGTTTTTAAGCGCATGATGTATCAGTGTGGTGCGACGTGGCGATGTAATTCCATTCTCATCAGCTTCGGGCTCGTCTCTGTAAGCATCTGCGGCAGCCATCCGAATGAACGTGTCGCCTGGCCTTTTTCCGTGCTCTTCGTGGTTGTAATTAATAGAGTCCCAGAGAAGACGCTGAATCTCTTCGGGGCGCAAAAAGAAATGAACGGCAGGAAATGGACCTTCTTCCCTATCTTCCCTATCTTTGAATATTAGATACAGTTGAACGAGAAAATTACATCGTTCTTCTTCGATATTCCAATTAACCTTGTTTCGTAAGTCCTTTAATTCTTCCACTAGTAGTCGGTCCTCGCGCGTAGACATCGTTTTTCGAGTTTATACTCACAAATGAAGATATTTTTTTATTTTTAAATCACTTATTGCAGTCGCTGCAATAAACCGCGCTTCACTGAACCGCGACGTTACGTATGCTGCACTTTTTATGAAACGAGTAAAAAACACGTGGCTATACCGTACGAACACGAGGTCGTAATTGACAGTGGCAGAGCCGGCACCAAAAACGTCTGAGATACATGTGGCGCTATATATGCACTTGCGTAGGCGGCTTCCTCCAAAAAAACTTGGATCGACTGCGACTGCGTGCGAGTTGCAATGCAAACGTAGCAGTGCCCAGCAACCGTTTCCAAATTCGAATGGAAACTTATTTTTGGGAATCCGATAATTTACGCGATACTTATAAGTACACGATTGTTAACGATTCGATAGTTTTTGTAACGAAATATCAAGTTTTTGAGATCACCGTAAGCTTATTCGATCCTTGTCAATCTAAAAAAAATCTCGTTTATTTACGTACATTTTTCTGAGAAAGATTGAAAGTTAAACCGTTGCTGCAGTTGTTATTTTTGAGTTCTTTATTTAAAGACGAATGGTCAAATGGAATGTGAGAAGTTTATTGCATATTTGAAATAAAAATGTCTTCAAATTCTATACTTAATAAATAATAAAGTTTGATTAAAATATTTTTATTAAATAAATATCCACCAACATCAATACGAATGAAGTTCCAAATATTAGGCAAGAAAATATTCCAATGAAAAAAAGTATCTAAAAAGTTTTAAAAAGTAAATCTAAAATATTGAGTTAGTTGTTTTTGGACAGCCATCAGATGTCAAACTTCTCTAAAAATAAATTATCTAACGTAAAAAGTAGAAAAGTTTTAAAAAATAAAGTTTTGGAAAAAACTTATGGACTGGAAACATACAACTCCGGCGCAGTTTGGAGCCGGATTAGGAAGCTGATTCAGTAAAAATTGTTTATATTTGTTTTATATTTAATTGAAAATTACCAAGTTTATTCTAAAAAAAATTTGATGCCATAAATTAATTTTTACAGTTCACTTTTTATTCACATATGCTTCGCACAAATTTAATATATCATCATAGTTTAAGTACTGGATCAAGTGTTCACAACATAATATAGGAAGTTTACCCTGCGTCAGTAACGTTAAATATTTCAGTCCAAAATCCATCAAAAATTTTCTCATGAAGCATTTGATTATGTACCCTCTAATAGTATCAGAGATTTCTTCAAAATCATCTTCAAATTTCCGTGAATCAATTACTGCCCAGAAATTTGAATTTTTCAATAAGTAATAAGCTTTTCCAGGACTAGATGCACAAACGTCTAAAAGAGATAAACCATCTTTTATCTCCAATTTTTTTATATTTTCAATTTCAGTTGAAATTTCAGTATCAATTCCACAAATGACTTCCTCTTCGAGCATGTAAGACTTTTGCAATTGCTGCAGGCAATCCTTCATCTCTGCTGTCGAAAACATATTCGCCTTTTCAATCGTTTGAAGCTGTTGGTATATAAGATGAGCCAAATCTGCTTTATCATATTCATCGAGTTTATCACCTCCACGCCTATTTTTAATACTAGTCAGTAACGAGCGGATTTGATTCGTAGAACCTGTAATAATATAAAAATTGCATTAACGTATTTACAAGCTAACTTATCTTACGGATTTTTTCATTGAATCTCACCAACAAATATTTTACGTTCCCACTCATTGCATAGCTCACTGTGATTAATTTCATTGACCAAAAATTTTGATACCGTCAAACAGCTTAATTCATCCATTATACATCCGTTATCATTCAAACAATGTAGGATTAAAAAAAATTTAATTATTTTGTGCAACCATGATATAGACCAATCATATTCCCAACAAAGTTTTGAGAAGTCGAAACTTTGCACATCGGCTCCATGGGCTAAAAGTACCTCGACAACTTCCAAGTTGCAGCTTAAAACGGCCAAGTGAAGCGGTGAATCACCATTATTATCTTTTGCATTCACATTGGCTCCATATTTCAGAAGTGTTTTGATTAGTTCGATACCTACTCTATTTCGTACGGGTCCAGATTTAAAGTCTATCTGACATACTCGACATATTTCAGAACTTATAAACAAGTGGAGTATCGACTGACCATTTGCAAATACTTCGCTTATGTCGGCTTTATTTTTAAGCAGAGTTTCTAAGTTTTTACGATTAATAAATAATTTATGAAATTCGCATCCCACCTCATCACAGTGTTCCTCGATGCAATTTTCGAAGCAAAGAAACAATGGACTGCAGCCATTATTGTCTTTTTCATTCACGTCGCAGTTGTAACTGATGAAAAGATCGAGTAAATTCGAGTCTCTGTCATAATCCGTAAAAACCTTTAAAAATACGTGCAAAGGGCTTTTCCCCAACTGTTTTATGTTCGGATTAGCTCCATTTTTCAAGAGCATTTCCACCATTTCAATTCGTTTAAATTCTGTAGCTAGAGTCAATGGTGATTCTTTGGTGCCATCCGCTAAACACCAAATGAGATCGAGATCGTTATTTTGATCTATAAACTTTTGCACCATCTCGATGCTTCCAGACATGCAGGCCGCGTGTAAATACGTAAATCCTTCGTCGTCACTGCGATTTTCGATTATCTCTGAATCTGTTGTCTGTTTTAAAAGTTCTTTGAAATGGTGATTAGCAAGAATTTCCCACTCGTCCCAATCTTTGTCGAGATTTCGTTTTATTCGTTTAAGACAACTCAAAGGCTCCGAATTCCAGTCATCATATAATTTAAGATCTGCACCATTATTTAATAGAAATCTTAATGTCATAGGTGACCCGTGCTCAAGGCATAACGATAATGGGGATACTCTACGTCCATTTTTATAGAAAGTAAGATTGATATCCACGCCTTGATCAATGTATTTCTGCACTAAATCAGTTAGGTCATACATACAGGCTACGTGAAAATAAGTTAACCCTTCATTGTCACTAAGATTTTTGTCCCCAAAATAATCTGATAACTCATAAATAACATAAGTTTGTTTGTGAATCGCCGCTATATGGATGGCCGTTTGGCCCAAGTCATTGAGTACTCGTAACTCAGGGCCGTTTTTCATAGCTACATCGAAAATTCTGTTAGAAAAGGAAGGTTTGCTTTCTAAAGTTGTCTTGAAAATCCAGTTGATATCCTCGACATTATTATCAAATTCATCGTTGATAAATGCCAGTACATCTTCATCCATCCAATTTCCTTGCTCTATAAAAATTTTAACGAACCGATTTCGTTTTTCTTCTTTACTTTCTGCGAGGAGACTGTGTGACATTTTGCTTTCTCTATCGACATTCATTGTAAAATGATGATTTAAACTGCACAGAAACTTCACTGCCTTTACAGCGCACAATTTATTAAATTTACTTTGTATTTTAACGCGTATTAACACAGGTTATTTCGTAGAGTTTTACAATTCAACATTTACAATACAACAACTCTAAAGCTCCGATTCACACCGACTGTCTGCTGTTAGAACGTCATGCCGGCGAGCAATGTTTTTTTCCCACTCATGAGTCATCGAGAACGTAAAAACCAATTTGACGTAGTGCTCGAAATTCTGCGCTGTTGTCGACACTTATTGGTTGCTTGAAATTACTATTTTACCGATGCAAAATAAGATAGATCGGAGCGTGCTTGATAAATGTAATCTGAAGTTTTCTCTAGTAATTGAGCGAATGCTTAGTTTGTAATTTTTTTTAGTCTATTTATCTCTAAATCCTCTTCTAAAATTACATTTTTTGGATGATGCATTTTGTGTTATTATATCATTTCTGATCAAATGTACCACATCATGTTTTTATTTCTCTTTCAGAACAATTAAATTGATTTAAAATTTATAAAGAATAAATTTAAGAACATTTCAGGATTATGATCAAGAATTAATTTTTTATATCCCATGTCCAACAATATTCCTCATTTATAAATAAAGTATTTTTTTCAGTTCGTCAAAAAAACTATACCCAAATTTTAAGTTGTCGTAGATTTTTTTGCAAAGTGCAGAAAGTTGTGCATGCGTATTTGGTTGTGCTGGCGCGAAACCGAGGCATCTTATTACATGTATGTATGGTTTTTCAATCCATGTAAAAATAGAAAATTTTTCTGTCTTTGTGCAAAAATTTTGATAAATAATATAAAAATTTTAATAAACGTTATACTTAATGTTCTGAAGAGCTGAGCTCTTGTATATCTTTTTACCTGCATCCGAGCTCTGTTAGCGGCAAAGCGTTCTTTATTATAAAATACACTCGGCAACAAAATTATCGCAACAAAAAAATTCATCGAAATTTTGTCGATTTTCAAATGCTTCTATCTTGGGCTAGATTTATCGTATCGACACGCTTTTTTTTTTAATTTTTTGGAAATTTTGTCCTCTTTAAATCCATATGAATTAAGATAAGATTTGAGTTAATGTTGAGTTACCTGTAGTATTTGAGCGTGACCCTAAAAATTACTGAAAAAAAATGACTGTTTGAACGTGTACCAGTACCACAGTGATTTTTTTCATCGAAATCTAACATACACCATCGCAAAGTGCTCTTTTTAACGAGTAATTTAAAAAAAAAAGACCTCTCTACGATTTTTTTAACGCCCTGTAGGTCGATTTGAAGGTACGGTTTATGTACGCAAAATGCCTAGAAAATCGTCTTGATTTCAGCTAAACGGGGGATTTTACGTACTTTAAATGGTATCTTCAAATCGACCTACAGGGCGTTAAAAAAATCGTAGAGAGGTCTTTTTTTTTTTAATTACTCGTTAAAAAAAGCACTTTGCGATGGTGTATGTTAGATTTCGATGAAAAAATCACTGTGGTACTGGTACACGTTCAAACAGTCATTTTTTTTCAGTAATTTTTAGGGTCACGCTCAAATACTACTGGTAACTCAACATTAACTCAAATCTTATCTTAATTTATATGGATTTAAAGAGGACAAAATTTCCAAGAAATTGAAAAAAAAAAGCGTGTCGATACGATAAATCTAGCCCAAGATAGAAGCATTTGAAAATCGACAAAATTTCGATGAATTTTTTTGTTGCGATAATTTTGTTGCCGAGTGTAGTTATGTTTACGCATTCATTTTTGTGCGAAAGTGAATCTTATAATCAATAATTGATACTAGCTTAGAGAGCCGTCTGGATTAGAACAATTTTCTTTAGTGACAATTTTCGTTGTACAAAACTGAACAAAGTCAGTTACAATGAACAAACGCAGCTGCTTTGTCAAAAATTCATGTGAAATAATATTTCATTAAAATTTAATTAAAAATACAAAATTATATGTAAATGCAGAATTAGTGCATTCGAGGTGGTCAGCTGTGCAATTGGTATAATAATGCAGAAAAAGTATATAAATCTTAGTAGTATATGATTGAACACATGCACTGCCAATTTTATCGATATGACAAAAAATGCATGAAAAGTGCATTCTGATTTCATTTCGGACATTAAAAAACTAATCAATAACATATCTCCTTCCAACTATGTGTGTAACGAATTTCAAACTGATTCGAAGAAAACTTTTTAAGCTATAGTGTCACCACAAAACTTGCGTTTGCTAAGTCGTTCGAATAATAGAATAGAATATTATTACGCTAATAAGAAAAAAAAACTAATGGGTTGTTACACTTAACAGCATAAAAAAAATATTTTTATGCAATAGTATGACGAAAAATGTCTTTTTTCGCACATTTTTTAGTGCGCAAAAAGCGTTTTTGGACACTTGTGTGCGGTAAAATGTCTCATTTTGGACACGGGTGTGCGGTAAAACGCCGCATTTAAATGAACGTATTTTTCGCCTACTATTGCATAAAATTTTGTATGCAACACGTGCCCAGCTTTTTGAGCACAGTGTGCGGAAAAAACACCCACTCGTGCCGGCATAGCCGGCACTCGTGTCTTTTTCCGCACACTCGTGCCCAAAAACGCCTTTTGGGCACTTGTTACATAGATAACTATTATTTAACAAATGTACAATCAGTATACCAGTCGAGTTGTGTTTTCGTGTTTTTTCTTCAGTATTATTAGAAAATTTTGAAAAAATAATGATATAACAATGACTTAAAAAAAACAAAATTGATTTTCTAGTGGTCAGATTTCAACTCATGGTTGCTGATTTTTTAATCTATCGCGGAAATGTTTAGCATATATCTTGCCAACGTGTATTTTTATTATTATTAATTTCATACTCACAGAAAATGGCTTGAAAAATGTAACTAAAATCTAAGTTATGCACCTGATTGCCCTGAACAGCATTTGAACTTCATTATTACACTTTTTTTTAAACTATGCAGTTTCCAGTTGGGCGTAATTGAAAAATAAACATTCCAAAATGAGAAAAGTTGAATTCAATTCTAGAAATATAATTCAATTAAGAAAAAGGAAAAGTTTCACTTCTGGGGCTAATTCATATACCATTGATTCTTGTCAATCTAACCACCATTTTGAATAATCTGATTAGTATTTGGTGAATTAACTCTCGAAAAATTTCATTTCTGATGTCTGTCTATAGATATCTAACTTAATATTTTAGATTTAATTTTTATCATTTTTTAGATATTCTTTTTGATTGAATATAATAATATTCGTTTTTTTCACGAACTCTACTTTATACTAAATTTTGTTTCATTTTCAAGTCACTTTGAATATGCAATAAAAAGAAAAAAAGCATGAATTCTTCATCCCAATCCCAACGCTAGACTTTTCTTACGAAAATTGTTGTGGCCAGCCCCTGCCAATCGAAGATACACACTCGAGCGATGTGTCTCTGGTTGCCAGATTTTCAGGCTGACTATCTCAATCCCCGAGTGAATCGTCGCGAATCGTCGTTCCAACAAAATTGACGAAGGAAAAGATGCGGCGTCCAGCATCGATGCAATATGCAGTTTGTACAATATTTTTGAACCTATCATATTGGAAGCGAACCTTGTGATTCATCGCTTGGAGATAGTTGAGCATGTGAGTCTTGTAAATGGCGTTGTCGGTGGGACCCTCGCCCTGACAACGGCTATATGACCTGATAAAAAACTATTAACTACAAGCCAAATTCACTTTAACAGCTGAATTAGCTGAACAGTGTAGGTAATTGGATCTGCTCGAGTCCGATGACCGCATTTCTGATTCCCAAATTCTAATAAATTAATTTAATGATGATTGATGATGCTTGGATGCAATCTAGAATACAGATTTTGGTAATTTATTTGTGCTTTGGGACATTCGTACAAATCTCAACTAATTATGTATTAACGACAATTTTGTATTTTTATTTTGTTTGTGATTAACTCCTGGACACAGCAGTGCAAAGTACGCAGTTTGACGCCGTAACAACATGACACTACGCATATGTTATACGCGTCGGAAAATTCGCGGCACTCTTGGTAGTCAGCGCGGCGAATGGCGATGGCCAATCAGAGTTGCCCAGTCTCGTATAATGCAACTCCGATCAGTCTGATCGTCACAGACTCACGACTCAGCAGTAAAACAGTCTGACAAATGCGCGTCAAACTTGAAGAGTGCCAAGAGTGAAAAGAGTAAATAAGAGGACAGCCTCACGCACGCGCGTATACTGCACTCGTACATAGACTGCACTCAGATAGACTCACTACTTAGTATATAGTCAGTCAGTTCTCAGTCCTCACTCGGTCCTCGCGCAAAGCAAGCCAATCATCATAACAACAATCTCATGTTGTGTATATATAATGTAACCGAGCTGCACACGAGAGAGGCTCTCGAGTCATAACAACGGAGACTGCCAAGTTGGACTGCAGTTTTTTAAACGGCGCGAATCGCACGCAACTACTATACTCGACGCAATATATGCAAGTTCGCAGCGTTACGCAGCTGCATCTGATCGAAACAGCGTCGACCTTATCGTTTCCTCCGAGTCACCGAACATGGAAAGCAACGAGGAAGATTCGGCAGCTATGGGCTTTGACGGATTATAATCGCGCGTTAAGTGCACACGCAGCAGCTCAGCGTCGCAAGTGCTCGGGCATAATAACACCGTAGCACAACTATCACGCATCTAACGTTGCCACTTAAGCTTTCTCTCTTTCTCGCTCTCTACAGCAAGATAGACAGAGGTAAGAATTCCCTATTGAGTTTGCGAAACCTCGTCCACTACATTGTCTTCAAAAGGTCGCTTGGCTCTTTTATTTCGTTCTCGTAACGCAACAATGAGCTCAATCGCTGATTTTGACATTGCTCTTTTTTCTTTGTTTAATCGCGAACGTTAGATTAATTCGATGAAGTACAGCTGCTGTGCTAACACAAGGAGCTGTAGCCGTTGGAGTAAAGCAGTTTGGAGGATGAGCCTGGGTATATTAGTTCAATTAACAGAGTCGAGGTGTTGTAGTGTAGCTGACGGTCGACAACGGATCATCCACTGAGCGTCGTGAGGTTAAGTAAGCGCATCTATTTTTTCGACTTATTATTTCTTCCTTAAATTCATTTTTATGAAAAATTTTCGTTATTTTTATCCAACTACAGTTTATCCTGTTGCAAATGCCTGACTTTGCTATGAATGACAATCTTTACGACTTAATTAAAAATGCTTTGATATGGTATCGTCATAACAAGCAAATATTTGCTACATTTCTATAAATTCATTCTTGGACAAATCAACTCTCAATAATAAGTCATTTAATAGTTATTCTGTTAAACAATTGTTACATTAGCATTAATTATTAGGTCAGTGGTTTTTAATTCATTATGTAATCGTGACAATAGATTGCTATTAAGACACATTTTGACGAGAAACTTCTTTGGTACAACTGTTAAGAAATTATACCTTCTATGATTTTAAATTCTGCTTTTATATGTTTTTAAATGAAATCAACAAATGATTCCAAATATTTTATAAGAAATCTTTGTTATTTTAGACCATCAAAATGAATGCTCGAACACAACTGTTTGAATTATCGATGGAAGGTCGCCAAGTAGATGAAGCAGTTGCAAGTATTTTTCATACAGTTCTCTTCCATCGATGTCTTGGAAAATTTACTTTCAAGCAAGAAGGCAGTAATTATTCAGTTGGAACAGTGGGCTACCAAGATGTCGATTGTAATTTCATTGACTTTACATATGTCTGCTGCTCATCTGTCCATTTAGATCAACATCTTAAGAAAGGAATCAATGGTTTCTCTGAAGCTTTACGTGCTACAGGCAGTCAAGGTCATGGACAAATATCATTAGAGTTTTTTCAAAAGAAAAAAAATCGTTGGCCATTCACATATGAAAGTATACCTTGGGAAGTGTGGACTGTTCGACTAGAGTTGATCAAACTAGCAACTGAGCATGAACGCATGATTTGTCGTGAAAAAGTTGGTGATCTTCTAGCTGATAAGATTCTTAACATTACTGACATTATGAACAGACACGACTATTTGCCAAAAATTCCTACGCAAACAGAACTTGATCTCATATTTGACACTAGCTTTCCAGATGTTCAACCCTATCTTTTCAAATTATCTTTTACAACTTCTGAACCTACTAATAACACTATGGGCAATACAATGAAGAAGCTGATCAAAGAGACTATGTCAATTTAGTACAAAAATTTGTGCTCTGAAGTGGCTCTTGGAGGTTTTTTTAATTTGTTGCTTAATATTTAACTGTCTTGTAATGAGTAGAGATTGTCTGTGCAATAGCTTGCTACATTTATAAGTAATTGAAGAATTAGTTTCATGTCAAGTTTTTTGTTGACATTTGATACTGTGACAATGTAAATTGTCCAAGAGCCTAAAAAAATTGACATTCACTGTCCTGATAATTTATGTTAACAAATAATCAGTAAGTTTTTATCAAACAGCAAAAATCATTCATTTTTATCAGATCAGAGCTTATAATCAAATCATTCAGATGTAAAAAAACGTTTGACAACAACAATTTTCATTTAAATCCTTAAAATAGTAGTCATTGTGACAGATTTTAACTGCAGCTCATTTATTTAAGATAAAGTAATTTTTAATGACACAGAGTACAAATGGTACCGAAATACATATTATTTTATACAAAAAATTTACTGCTAGGCAATGTAAAAGTGTGCATGTAAAAATGATAACTGCAAGCTATATTTTGTAGGCAAAGGGTATTAATTATTGTAAAGAAAAATTGATGCTAGCATTACAGTTTGATATTTTACAATTGTTCATTCAACAAAATTTTAATTGTATGTATACATAAAACGGCACTGAAAATTGCGTATTAAAAAGTTTCTTTCGTGGTTCATTTTCATTTAGTTAAAAGTGACCATAATTTCTATTGGTTTTTACAATCATATAGGTTTTTTTATTAAAAATAATCTTGTTCCTTTTAGAGAAATTCATAGAATAACATACTCTTTAAGCAATTTTCTGTTGTATTTTAGATTTAAAAAGTCTATTTCAACTAATGAATATGGATCAATTGATTAAAACAATTGAATTTCATTTATTGGCAAGTACTTAAAATAATTGAAAACTAGTTTAAATAACATTTGAAATTATTTAGTAAATTCAGTTTCATTGGCATCTGATCTGAGATTATCTACATTAGAGAGTTCAATATTTTTTAACAAAAATTAAGGTTTTATAATTGTTATTATTAATTAAATGAGGCAAAAATATTACATTTCATAAAATCTATAGTAATAAGGTATATTTCATAAATCAAACGTTTTCAAGATGATATATTGAAAACAAATGACCATTAACATACTTGACCTGATACATCATTGTAAAAAAGGTTGATACGTTTTTTGCATACAACAGGTAAAAATGTAAAATACGAGTGAATTTTTTTCAACAAATGTGTAAAGTTTTAAAAAAAGATTACACTAAAGATTAAATATATGTAAAAGAAAAATATATATAAATATATATATATGTATAAATACATATAGAAAAATATACATAATATTATAAGAGATGTAAAAGAAATTATAGATAATTTTTTCCTTACACAATGTGGTGTGAGTCAAAGAAATTCTTTAAGCAGTTCTCGTGCAGATTAGTTCATCTATATTATTAAAATGTATAGTGATGTTACATTAATGACACGAAGTGATGAATCAATAATTGTAATTGTAAATGCTGTGAAAAATGAATCTTGATGGAATAGAAAAAAATGAATTTCAATATAGCGATATTAATTATATATTATATAATAAGATACTGTATTTTGTAAAAAAGATTCTAATAATAACACCTAATTGAGTGTTTGTGTGTACAAATGAATATTATGTTTTTCTTGGTACATGTTTTAGATAAAAGTAGCAGATTTTGCTCGATACCTTATTGTTTCAGTTTTGAGATAGTTGAAACCATTGTAAATGAACCGCAATTTTTTATTTATTTATTTTTTTTTCTACGACTTCTACCGCTAATGGATACGTATAAGCGGTTGATTGTATCACTTGAATAAAAGCGACTTATAAATTAATATGTAATGCATTCATTTATTTAATATAAAAATTGAAGGTTCTCATAACACTTGGATCAGATTTCATAACTACATTTTTACAGCAATACACGTAGTGTTGGTTAAATTCAAAAAATTGTCTCGAAATTCATGTCTTGATTTAATTTAGAGCTTTAATCTGACTAAACGGCTTTGCTTCTCTTCACGCGAACGAGGAATTAAATGTAGTATACAATCTATATTTATTTTTAATACGTCAATAATGGGGTTTTAAATTGTTATAATATCGCTGGAGTATTTTTGTGATTATACGTTTGTAAGAAATATAGTACGCATGTTGTACAGAACTTATCCAAATCTATTGGATTTCCATTGGCAATAATTTCGATTGAATGTTCGATTTATAAATAGATATAGAGAGTAGCATTTACACGGCCCCACAAGCGTCAGTCGATTCAAGATCGTGTATACGATGACAATCTTATATTGCCATTAGAGAAACTCGATATGACTTCCAGCAATTCATTTTCTGGTATATAGTTAGAGAGGACTAGAACTAATCAGCACGCGCATTAAACTACAGCAACAACCAAATTTGTTCATTATAAGGAAAAAATTGGGCTGCACTTTTTTTGGACAATTTTCCATCGAATTTAATGGCAGCCAATGGACTTATTCTAAAAGTATACGATTTAATTAAACCAATCCTCATAAATATAAACTTTGAAATATTATCTCCTTTCTCTTTTTTAAATATTACTCTCTCTCTCTCTCTCTCTCTCTCTCTCTCTCTCTCTTTCTCTCTACGGCAACTGAAAGTTAAAAGAGAATTTGACCATCTTTGAACATTTTCAAATACATTTTTTGAGATTTCAACTAAGATTTTTTGAAGAGTTACGTGCAGTATATCTAAAAAAACATGATGAAGAAATATGCGAGGCTTTTTCAAACAATTTTAGTATAAATTCCCAACAATGAATTTTTGGAGACTACCTGCTCAGAACGCTACTTTCATACGACAACCTCCAAAAAAGCGTGAAAAAAGTTGAACAATCTCCCGTTATGTAATGTATGATTTAATTCGATGTCAAGATTGCCATCCGTGTACGGACTACTTTTCGCATGCTGTTCCAATTTACCCATTTCCAATTTACATTGGAATATAATTGTACCTAAAAATCTACATTTAGCAGTTATTGATTGACTTTTATTTCAAAAGTTCAATGACTATCCGTAATCAAGAGATACGATAATTTGAGACGATACATTTCATTGAGAAATTAAGAAAATTGAACTTTGATTTTGAACTATGATTTTTCATTGAAATTCTTTGATTGGATTTTATATTTTAAAAGTTCAACTATAAGCCAATTTGAAATTGGTTTATATTTTAAGTTCAAATAAATGTTATTGTTGTAATATTTTATTTTTTATATTTTTTTGATACCCTAATCTTACAATCTGATAGCCATTCCCTTTTACCAATAGGTACAAGATGTAATCTGAATTTAACCAACACTTTTTTATCCACTACTTTTTAAAAAAAAAGCTTCCCTCTCATTATACCAATGATCTGTATAGTTTACAAATGAATAACCATTTGGTGTAATAAGATGGGAAGGAAAGTGAGGGCGAAGATTAAAGTTCAGAGTTAGTAAGAAACAATTTAATGAAAAAAAATTCGAATGCAGCTTTCACCGTGATGAAAGTGTATCAAGTATAATAGCTTGAAAATTGCAGCAAGGACGTCATTAAAGTAAGATGTAAGCTCGCTAGCATAGAGATAAATGAATTTGTCAAAAGTTGCTAATAGCTAATCGCTGCTCTGTCAAAAGGGATCGTCGACTACCGAAGGTAAGGAAAACAAGCTCGTAAATACGTATACGGCACTGAATCGATTTCACGAGCATTATTTTCTTAAAGAAGTGTGTGCGTACGTTGGAATTAATACTTTGATGACTCGGGCAACATTGGTTCATGTATATAAGCGAGTGAACGCGTACATCGACGCAAGTCGTCGAACGTGTTTTGCGAATAAATAAACCGACAATCGCAGGGTCTCTCTCTCTCTCTCTCTCTCTCGCAAGTCCGAAAGCTCCGTTACACGTGCGCACGAGTTTTATTTTGAGCTTAACGTGCCATAGCTTGTGTAGCGCAAGAAACTGAACTCGCATAAAAACAGCAGGGATGGGGAGGAGAAATCCGATGCGTCGGCCATTTAAATGAAATATTTTTTACCTCGGCTCTCAGACTATGTTTGGCCGTCAGTGTATATGGAAGAGTTTTTTATTGAAATTCTGAAAATTCCCCGCTGTCGTGTCACAATGAGATGCGCATTGTCCACTTTTAACTCTGGTCGAAAAATCACTGCTCGCTCCGAGGCGCACGTGATTTTGGCGCCGCTGTGAAATTCTAAAGTTCGTAAATTCATCCTTTGTACGTATGTAGTATATATTTTTGTTTTTATTATGGGCGGCTTTGTGCGATATACTCCAGGTATAATTTGTCGCGCTCAAGTTGGCTCTGACTCTCGCGCGTCGATGCAATTAGACAACGAAACTTGGATCGGTGCGATCACGTGAACACTTTCACGTAGCTACAAAGCTCGTCATTAGGCTCTCTCGTATACGTTTGATATATAAAAATATGGGCCAAGTCTTGGGACGAGGCAGCGGCTGGAAACGATGCGCATTACTTTTTTCCTGTGCGAGCGGCTCGAGGAAAGCCTTTTACATGCATGCCCAGCGGACTCGCGCATACGTTTGTCTTTGACAAAAGACACATAAGAAGCTGCGCTAGCTGAACGCGCGTACGAGAGTTATATTTCCAGGCGCGGTGCGCATTTACGTGTCGTGTTTAACTTTGAGGGAGATGGAGCTTGCAGTAGCTCGCAGGAGAATGACAGATGCCGAGCTTTGCGGTTTATTTGATCCTTCCCCGGGGACGCAGCGAGGCAGCAGCAGCAGCAGCTCGAGCTTTATTTTAAAAGGAAAACCTTTTCCTTATTTCCGTGCGCGCTGCGTCGGTGGTGGCGGCCTTTGACCCCCGCGCCGTTGTTTGGCTCGACGCGCCTTATACGCGCAGCCGACAGGCAATTATAATATACATGACGAATCACGGGCTGCAAGTTTATTAGCAGCTTGGGATTTTTCGAGCGAGCTCAACGAACTTTCCCATTTTCCAGCTGTGCATTATGCGCGTACTTTTGCCCCCCGTGACAAGTGTCAAAGCGGAATATATTTTGGCCGCGCGCGTGTATCGTGCCGCGTGCGTTTTTAAGTGCCGGAGATTCGTTAAATTCACGAGATCGTCTGAAAAGTTATAATTTTAATTGCCAGTGTCAGCGGCAGAGCGGCATCGCAAGCCGACCGGATTAATTATAATGCCGCGTTCTCGCCTGTTGACATAATATATACAAAGCCGCACGTAGGTATAGCGGGCCGCTCGTCGAGGCCGCGCGCACTCGACGAGTATAGAGAGCGAGTTCGCTCGTACGCGATTGCGCGACGACGATTAAAATCTCGAAGGCGACGATCCATGAGTTGCCGATATCCGCATAAATACACGACGATACGCGTACACGGGTATGATAATTAAAATTTCGCCCGCGGAAAAAGCGATCGCGATAAGCAAGAGCGCTCGACGAGCTGCTGCGGTTCACGCGGGAGAACATTGCGAAGCGCGAGATGTTGCGCTTGCGTGCCCTTGTATATACTAGAATTGGTCGTCGCCGCCGTCGCCGCGAGCGCCTCCGAAAGCTCGAAAAGCTTCGCCAGCCGGCTGGAGGATCAGTCGTGTGGCGCGCGTCGGCTCAAAAGCAGCTCGCGACCCGCAGTCAGTCGTCATGTGCGCGATCCGAGTGCTGCTGCTCTAGTCCCGAACACGAGTGTTCGATATCGTCGACTCTAATTGTGCGTAGCTCTTGTGAGAGGCCTTTTGCGAAATTATCAGTGATCAGAGGTGTGCTTGTGCCACTGCAAAGGAGAATGTGATATAGCTGCTTTTAACTCATCCAGCAGGAGGACGGGGAAGGCGCCGTGCACGGCATGCGTCCTCGGCGGACTGCTCCTTGAATTCCAAAGATTGAGCGAAATTTATGCAGCGGCTAGGTAGGTACCAGTGCCTCGACGAGAAAAATCATTTCCCTCTGATAAAACAAGCTGCTGCCTTAGACAGGCATATCGTGTCGTCGTCGTCGTCGTCGTCGGCCAGACTCGAGCGCGAGCTTTTTACAAAAGAAAAACCAATGCGAGCGAGATAAAGTTTCTCAAACTGGTCTACGTGTCGTTATGGCATGAAAAATTCATGTTTTATCAAGCAGTTCTTCCGCCGCGCGCGGCTCGCTGCAAGAGAAAAAAAACTACTTAGCTTGTAATGCACCGACGAGACAGCCAGCTACGTCTCAGCCGAAAAAATAGCGCACTTTTTTCATCTCTCCCTCCTTATGATCGCCGTCTCTTTTTATGAGTAGCAGTGAAAAAGCGACCGACCAGTCGGAGGCTACATTTTTTCGCTCGCAAAAAGTTGACGCGCGTCGAAAAATCGCCAATAAGTCCTTTGCCGACTTCTTGCCTCGATTCTCGCGGATGCGCAGCCAAAATACAAATTGACATATGGCCTGCCATGGTGTTGCTGTGCGCTTACACGAGTGCGTGTGTGGGTGTGTGTGTGTGTATGTGCAGTTTATGCAACTGTAGCGAGAGGGAGGCAAGCAAGCGGAGTAATATTTTCTCTTTCCGAGCACTTGGATAGAAAATCTGGCTCTCCCTCTGGACGCTGCATTTCACTGATTTATCGATATTAAATAAATCCTTTACAAGCTGACTTTTTTACGATAAAAATTTGTGCGCGAAAAGAGCCTCGTGCTTGGCTAAAAGTCTCCATTGTTTATAATAAAAGCATGTACATAGCACGAGTCGCGCGCGAGCACGGCGACGACGACGACGTCATAACATTCGCGTGTACACCTTGAAAAAGCCATTAACGTTAAATACCCTCTCCCGGGCCGGATCGCGCGTAGCGCGGGCTAACGTAAACGACGAACATTTCCTTCGTGCGGTATATCCGCGTAGCCGTGAAATTATATACACGTGCCTGTGCTTATATGATAAATAAATATATACGTTTGTTTATTCGACATACTTTAATGGGGGGGCTCTATGGCAAAAGCATTAAGTGCCGAGCTACGCAGAGCCGCAGATTTATCTCGTCTTGTAATTCAAGTATTACGCGAAAAAATATGGCTCGGATGCCGTTGACCCTCGCGTACTCGGTTCGCGTGCGCCATCGTCGTGGTTTCCCATTGGCTATACAATTACATAATACGCGAGAAAAATAAACAAAAAGCAAAAGGAGGAGCGAGTGTTTCTGCTGATTATCCGAAAATATATATGGTCGCTGGTTCTATCTGGAGCGGCTCGATCGATCGATACGGGCCAATATGCCGCGCCGAGGTCTGCATCGACTCAGCTTTAATAAAAACATTTGGAGCATTTTACATAACTGCTGCTGCGTGAGCGGAACATAACAGAGGCGGGTGGCAGGTAACGGTAACGATGTATCAAAGAGTTTATCTGATAAATTTCGCGTCCATATTATTGATCGCGCGAATAAAAACAGGAGGCAGGCTCGTATACTAAATACGCAACCTCGATGTACATGGTACTATATATATATATACGGTACACTGTATACGCACAGGAGGCTTATCTTGAGCACACCGACGACGAGAGACGTGCGAGCTTTGAAAAATACGAGCCTTTTAGTCGGCCGGCTCAATTGGCAGACGTCGATTATTTTTTATTCCACGGCTTGTTTGCTTGGCGATACTCCCAAATCGATCATTGAGAAACGTCACCGCGCCACCGCCAGTCGGTCATTCAAGCCGCGCTCGGCTCGCGCTTGTGTTTGTTTTTTCATTATGTACGTGTTATACGAGCTTCGTGCGTTATGTCGCATACGCGTTTTCTTCTATTTCTTCTTCTTCTTCTTCTTATTTTATGAGGCTAAATCGCTGCCTCAAATAGTGACGGATGAGATGGACAAAAAAACACGCGCTCGCGTGCGGCGCAGCGCGTCTGTACGCGCACGCGAAACTCGTGAAATAAATAATGCTAAAAAGTAAACTTGCTGAGTCGTATATAGGCGGTACACAAGGCGCGCGAAAAAGCCATCGGCTGCACCCCGAGACTCGATATGCTCTCAACAGGTGGGCGTATTATCCTTTTTCGCTCGACGCTCGATGCAGCAGCAGCAGCCGAGCCATGTTTTCTTATATACGAGCAACGACTCCGGCAGCTGCGAACGTCGAGTTTATACCTAGTGATCGATCGTTTCCTTTTGCAGCGCGAGCTCTACGCCCTGACAAGTACATTTGCAAAGATTAACCGGGAATATAAACATAATAATAATAGTAATAATAATATCGAAAAAAGTATGTCAACAGTCTGAATCGACGTTTTGTGTATAGAGGGATTATGTCAGTTAAAGTACTCATCGCGCCATTATGCCTTTTCAGTATAGTTTCCATGCAATTGTAAGTACGCGTTCCGATTGCTGAGCACGAGGCTGTGTGTCGCAATTATGCACTGCGACGCGTTCGGCGGAACACATCCGAAACGCTCCATCGAGTCTGCGGGGGAGCATTTAAATATAATCGTCGTAAATCGTACAAAAAGTGAGTTGCCGGGGCCAACGCTGATTTCCAAACTGCGCGAAACGTCCAAACGTCAGTCGCGGAGACTATAATTATAGAACGGGCGAGAAAAGGAGGGGGGCAGCAGCAGAGTATTAACGCAAATGTAATTTAGCCCCTTTGAACGGGTTTTCCAATTGGGCCAAGCGCGTACGGTGCGAGTAAATTTCCGATTCTACTGGCATTATGCGCGAGAGCAGCCGGCTTTTGTATCGCTCGCGAAAAGTTCCCAAAAGAGCCGAATTATTCTTCACTTTTTAAAGAAGAGGAAAGTCTGAGTTAAAGTTAAAGTTTATACGCGTCTGCACGTACGCAGCTACGCTCGGGCGAATATAAGCATTTTTTCGTCGATGCGCAGCAACGAAATTAAGCCGGTCGCGTCGGGGAGTAAAGCTGAGAAAAAGTAAATGGAAAAAGTTTGTGCGCGCGCTCGTGCAGCGAGAGCGGAACTCGTACGGCTAATAATAATTCGAGATAATTATCAAAAATTGGAGCCAAGCGATCGCTGAGGGTGTATTATTAAATTACAGCTTGGATCCGGCCGGCAGCAGGGAGCTGAAAAAATGTCGCAGCCGAGGGAGTACAGCGCGGGAGGGGATCCTCTGGCGACGAACCTGTCGCTGATGATCCAGAACTGCTGCCAGGCGGCGGAGAACTGCAGCTCGGCCTGCGACGACATCACCACGTCCAATCGGACGTTCCAGATCGCGCTGAGCCTGCTCTACCTGCTGATCTTCCTGTGCGGCCTGATCGGCAACCTGCTGGTGTTCGTCGTGGTGGTGCGCAACCGGCGCATGCAGACCGTGACGAACCTGTTCATCGCCAATCTGGCCCTCAGCGACGTTCTCCTGTGCACGATGGCGGTCCCCTTCACGCCGCTCTACACCTTCTCGGGCCGCTGGGTCTTCGGCGAGTTCCTCTGCCACTGCCTGCCCTTCGCCCAGGGCATGAGCATCTACATCAGCACCTTCACCCTGACGAGCATAGCCGTCGACCGGTTCTTCGTGATCCTCTACCCGTTCCGGCCGCGCATGAAGATCAACACGTGCCTGGGCATCGTCGTGCTGGTCTGGCTGGTCGCCGCGGCCCTCACCGCCCCGTACGGCATGTACATGCGCCACTACGGCAACGAGGACGAGCACTACTTCTGCGAGGAGAACTGGCCCGAGGAGAAGGTGCGCACCATCTTCTCGGTCATCACGACCTCGCTGCAGTTCCTCGTGCCCTTCGTCGTGATCGCCATCTGCTACGTCTGCGTCTCGGTGAAGCTGAGCAACCGCATGAGGCCCGGCAACAAGTCGAGCAGCCGACGCGAGGAGATGGACCGCATGAAGAAGAAGAAGACCAACAACATGCTCATACTCATGGTGGTGGTGTTCGTGCTCAGCTGGATGCCCCTCAACCTCATCAACATAGTCGAGGACTTCGAGCCCAAGGTGACCGACTGGAGCTACTACAAGGTGCTCTTCTTCGTGGCGCACTGCATCGCCATGTCGAGCACCTGCTACAATCCCTTCTTGTACACCTGCCTCAACGACAGCTTCAGGAAGGAGTTTGCTCAGGTAAAACGACTGCGATACTTTTTTTTCCTACGATGCTACCTGTTGGCAGAAGCGACTCCCCCCCTCCGCAATCTCGATCGGCTTAATTTCTCTCGATTCGACGATGAATGGGATAAGCAGCGGCTCGAACGATTCGATTAGTTTTAATTAACGGATACGCGAGCGATGATCGTCTCGTCGATAATATAGTATATGCTACTATGCGGCATCCACGTAAACGTATTATGTGCCGATAATTGCGCGCGCGAACGCCAACTATATAAGCTTGCATAAATTTATTTTTAAAATGTCTCATACACGCGAGCATCGGTCTAAATTCCACGTGCTTTCGGTAATATTATTTTTAACGAGTCCAAAGCCAACGTGTATTTTCGTAGAGCGAGCAATTAAGCTCGAACGCTTTATGCTCGGTTTGTTTTTTCTCTCTCTTTTTTTTCTTCTCTCTCTCTCTTTTTTTTTTTTTTTTTGTTTTCGCAACTCTTGTGCTACTCCGCTTTTACTTCATTTACGCCACAGCGAATTGATATTGCATAATGATAATACAATTTGTCGGTGAAAGACGAAGAGAAGAAGAGGCGTAGGCGCGCGAGGGAGGCCGATGCTCGTCGGCTCGTCAGCGCTCGGCGGTGCAACAGGTGCTCGCGTATGTACAAGTCCGTCGGACGAACTGCAGTCGTACTCTCGCGAGCGCTGCACTCCGAAGCCCCGTGATAAATGAAATAATCGGCCGTCGTTACAAGCGCGCTATGTGCTGCTCGCTCCGAAAATGGAAGCGTAGAAATGTGCTCGTATATACGCGTGTACGTGGAGCGATGTGTACGTATACATTACGACGGACGAGATTCGAGTGTCGACTTTTTCTCGTCGATCGGCAACGCTCCGACGTCCACTGCGTACGCGGCAATAATGTCATGTACGATGCGCCATTATTACAGCCGCTCGTCGTGCGCCATCAAGCAATTTAGCCGCGCGCGTTCGACGAGCGACTATACTCGTGCCCATTATATATACACACACACACGCATATATCTATATACTGATGTTGTCGATTTGGACGATTTGGCAGTGCGGAGCCAAGTTCTTGAACTCGATTGGCTGCAGCAGATTCGCCAAGCAGGCCAGCGATTACAAGAGCAACACGGCCAACACGGGGGGCCCCGACGGCATCAAGGCCGGCGGCGACTACGGCAACGACCCCGCGGCCCTCGAGAACACCGTCCAAGAGAGCCTCATACCGCTCCAGGGCCCGGACAAGCAGCGACAGGACTCCACCTGCGAAATGATCACCCTCGAGCCCATCACTAATAACTACATCAAGGATGTCTAGAGACACTTTGTCAGCTCGTATACAATGCAGGCAACGCACAGGGTTACACGTAACAAAATTAAAATAAATATATATGTATATACACTACGGTATATATATGGATGATCTATCGAGTCCTTATTGTTGGACGTCCTCCGAGCGAGAGAAAAAAAAAACAAGAGTAGCATGAGTCGTGTGATAAACTTATATACGTGTTACAATATTATATCGACAGTTGAATTGATGTAAATTCTCGCGCCCGATGAGCGGTTGAATATTCGTCGCGAATATTGTTATAACTTTTTCGGAACAAGTGTATGTTGATGCCAGTGAAAAATTGCCATTTTTTTACATTTACAACCCAATCGCGCGCACACACACACACACACACACATACATACACAAGCACACCCGTACACATTGTACCGTTCGACGGAGTCATTTCGCGGCGTAAAAGTCGACAGGGAAATGAAAATTGCGCAAAAAGCCAAATTTTTCAAAGTCCCATTTTCATGATTTAGGTTCGTTGAATCGTAAGTATAAGCACATCATCGATGCATCTAGTTTGATTTGTCGATTTTAAAAGATGATTTTAACGATACACGACATGGCTTTGAAAAATAAAAAAAAATACTCTAATTTAACCATAAGCCTTTGTTACGTTATGATGAGCATGAGGATATATCATAGTTTATAGCAGGGAAACAGAGTGTAAATTTAGAAAATTGAATCTATGTCTTTATGGTCGATGTTGAAGTTTATAATGACGTATATATAGTTTGTTGACGTTGTTTGATTGATTTATTTTAATTTTAAACAAAAAAGAAAAAAAACCAAAACGTCTTATTGAGAACCTAGTACGATAAAACTAAATGACTTTTTATACTACTGTAATATGTACATTATAAAGAAAAAAAAGGTGAGTGAGGAGTTCTTGTTTTTCTATGAAAGAGAAAGGTAATAAAAATTATTTCATAAATAGTCGTCCGTTGTTTCATGCGTTTTTTTTCCAGCACAAGTCCTCTAATATATTTCCTTTGTGGCTCGGTAATGAGATTACATTATACAAAGGGGTAGTTTTTTACGATTACAAACAAAAAGTCGGTAATAAAAAAATTCACGGTTCTCTGCCGCGAATTCATATAAAATTTGATGCGTTCGCTGGACTTTGAAAAGATAAGCGCGAACAAGTTTCGTCGCTCTTGGCCTCAGTTTTCTCTCTATACTATTCGCGTTACAACCTTCTGTCGAAAGAGAGAAAGAGATAGGGATTCGCTGCCGTATAAAAGTAGAAATTGTTATAGCGAAGGACCTTTCGCGCTTGGATGTTTCGGTTATATAGCTTTGCTCGCTGCACCAGAAAGAGAACAGCTTGGCCGGAAAAAAAGGAACGCGTCGGACAATGGAATTGTAATTTTGAATCGAAGTTGAGCGCTATTTCAGCGCGACACAGTTCTGGGCTCGTGCGCAGCTATAGGTGGCCAACGAGCAATTAGCTAATTAAGCAGCGCCGGAGAGTAAACAAGTAGCAGAGGATCAGACGTGCGGTGCAGTGCAGCAGCAACAGTAGCGGCAGCAAAGAGACCAAGGAAAGGGATACTAGGTACATATACACAGAGGCAGCGTCAGGCTGCAAGCTCGTGTCTGGCAAGTATGTCAGCTTAGGCGGTGCGAGCATTGGCCGGAGCGCGAGCGGGACGTATCGAGACTGTAACTGACGTACCGTGTAATTAGAGTCTGAGATTATCGCTCTCGATTGCACGCGCCGACATAATACGTCCTTTTGAGCCGGGACAAGGGGCTGCTGCGAAAGCGTTACGCACTCGCCTGCAGAGCTAGCTGCCCAGCTCCGCAGGAGCCAAGAAGAAACGAGCGCAACTGCGGCCAAAATAATAAGTTGCTCAACTTTTCTGCTTTAATAAAGCCCATAAAGTGCCTGCCCTGCTTCTCCTCCCCCTATATCCTTTCCTCGCTCGAACTACGTGTGATTGCCGCGCGCGATCTATAAATATTGCTGCGAGTGTCGTTGACAGTTGCGACTGCCTTCGCAATTGCCCCCTGGTCGTCGCCGCCGCCGCCGCTTGCAAATAACATTCATCTAATCGCCACTGTTACTTTTTTTCCAATTGTATATTTTTCAAGGAATAAAGGAAAAACATGGGCTGATTGATCGGCTTGATAATTGAAACGGGAGGATATAATGGCGCCGCACCGGGAAAACTTGCTGCTGCCGTACCTGATGCAGCCTTTCAAAGCCTCGCCACCGTCGCGCGTCGACGCAAAATTTACAATTTAACGCAGCTACACTCGCAGCCGGCGTACATGAAACCTTGTGTACGCTTCCGTGCCTTTGTGCGTGCAGGCATTCCAAATGAGCTTTTCAACGCGCGGCTCCTTCCGTAACAATATCAAAAACGACCAAAGTCCCTTGGTGTACATTTTTTCTCCTCGGTTAAAAGAAAATTTTATTCGACAAATTATTTTGCGCTTTTTCACATATTACTTGATTTTTTTTTGCTCGAATGATAAATATTCCAACTTGTAAGGCGCACAGAAAACCAGAAAGTCGGACTTTTGCAAAGTTTCTTTATCATCTTAATTCGTAAGTGTCAAATAGTGGAGGAAAGGCTATATAATACACCAGCTAGCAGAAGGCTATAAGTTCGCAACGATTTTTTCCACGAGTTCCGGCGAAAAGAAAACAAGAATAAAAGAGAATATATAATTCAAAGGTGAGGGACGTCTGCAAACTCTGATATCTCTCATGTAATACATAAAAATCGATGAGGCCAGCTTTTTTTACTCCTTTTCTACGACGCATCAACGTGTATGTGCGCTCGAGTACATTTTTTGCCCTTTCTCTGCTTATTCGACGTACGGAGACTGCGTGCGATTTTTCATCGATATTTATGCATCGATGTCACGCGTACGAAACATCTGACTCGCGAAGCAGATGTTGCCGGCCGCAAGTATAAACAAAATTATGACCGCGCGATTATGAAATTCGACCACGCTTATATTTATTATTCAAAAGAAGCACCGGCCGAAGCTCGGAATAATTTTTAGCCGTAAATATATCTTTTTCCAGCTCGACCTCTCGTAAGCTCGCTTACAGGTGCATTAGCGAACTCCCCGCAGATTTATGACTTTCATTCCTACTTTTTCTCATCGGTCGAGTCCTCTGGATATTTTTCCATCTCTGTCGTGGCTTTTTGCGTGTGTGCGGCCGACCTCGTATTTATGATCAGCGACGAAAAATCTTTATTTAAATTGATCCGGCCGATCGCTTACCTATGCGCATTCGCAATTAAATGTTACTCTAATTTCTTCGTTTATGCTAGCTCGTGTTGATATTCGGTTATTAAAATTGAAACTTTAATTAAACGAAAATAATGGCGAAGCTCTCGTGGGCCGCGCGCTCGCTGCGCCCGATTCGATTGAATTTGAACATATTGCCGTCCATTTGTTCTGTTTACTTTGATAATATGAATGCGTTTCAAAGTCGTGCGAAGCCGTTGCAAAGCGATTCCATCGTTTCGTTTTATTATTTAATAAAGCTCGCGAGACCTTCGAGAACTCGGCAGCTGAGAGAAATCAAAACAAACCGCGTCGATCTCGATGCATCGTTCGATTTGTATTAAGCGCGTTTTCGAAACTCGCACTCTTTCTTGCAACTCTGTATTATTCAGATCTCACTCGCTATGTACGCCAACGATTCGCCGATAATTTCTCTCATTGCCAATTATTATTCGGTTAAAAATTGCCAACAGGTCGACGCTGACACAACACCACAGCGCAACAACTCGGCCAGGTATCTTTGCAACAGCTTTACAAGCTGCAGCCTCGAGGCTTTTACCGTATATACGGTTTCGCTTTTCATACGTGCCCGAGATAAACGAGTATCCGACGAGTCGCTACCACTAATCTTTTTTCTTTTCACATTTTTTTTTCAACGCGCTAGAATTAAATTTAAATGTTTCTTTTTTCCATGAGCTCTTTAGTCGCGCAAATCCGCTTAATTGCGCCTGGAGCCTCTTGAAGGGTTTCCAAGGTCGTCGCGCGGCGTTGTAGCAAGTGAAAGGGAAATAAAGTTTATCGCGTTTATCTAGAATGAAAATTAAATCATGGCGCTACGCCGCGAAAAAGCTCGACTGCTGCCGCGAGAAATGATTAAATTCGTTCGACAATCAAATTATCCACAATATTACGTGACTCGTTTTTTTTTTATCGCTGGGAGAATTAACGTCACGGCTTAAGCCGGTGAGCAGGGATTTCGCGATTGTTTTTCAAATCGTCAAAATCGTTGCTCGTAAAGTTTTGTTATCCAAAGGAAGGGAGAAAAGAAGGAATAAAGTTGGCTAGTCCGAGGTGGCGCCTCGTCGCTCGGCGTTATATACGTCGCGATGTCGTGTAAGGCCGCGACCGTATTTTCACCTATTCGGCCCGACTCCGGAACGAGCACCGAGGGCGATGGAAAAGTCAGCAGTTTGCCGGCTCTATCAATAGAGCTGATCGCGCCGAGCTGCGGGATTCGTAAAGCCAGCGGCAGCAGCCGCGCGCCTCGCTAATGAAAGCCGCCGTCGTCGTCGTCGTCGGCCAGCGAGTAGTTGGAATCGCTGTAAAGTCAGACGGACTTACGAGTCGCGCCGGCTGCAGCGCAACATCAACCAGCTGCCAATGGGAGAAAAGAAAAACAAGGCGCGAGCGTGCGCCAGCCGAAGCTTTTGCTCGCCAGAGCAACGCCGAGCTTTTTTATAGTCCTTTCCGCTCGAAGCCCATCAAAGTCTCGCGCGCCAAAGTTTTTACTCGCACCGGAGCTCGCTGAAACGAGCTCGTATCACGCGCTCTCGGCCAGCTGCACAGACGCTGGCGAGGCGCTAGGAAGATCAATCGCGCCTCGTATACAGGAGTCGCGTATCGACGTATCGGACCCACGGTGCCACTGCTTCGAGTCTCATCTTTAAAATAATAAAAAATAATAAACTTTGGGAAAAGTGCGCGCGGCCGTATGGGCACTTGTATAGAAAGATCATAACAATCGTGTAAGGGAAGGGAATATAACAATAAAAAGAGGAAAATATGGTCCGCAGAAGATAAAATTTAATGTGTATCCTCGCGAGCGTCACGTACAGCAGCTACATACCTGCAGTTCGAGCTCGAGGTACGCACACGTGTGTGTGTGCGCGCGGTACAACGTACACCGAGTCGCACGCACGGTCGGAGCATCGCTCGATACAGCGCGCCGAGTTGTTTTTAGGTACACATCCAGAAAATAAAAAAAAGGAAAACAATACACACACACACGATGCTGGCTTGCGGTGAAAAAAGACGATCGCGAGTCGAGATATTTTTCTCAAAACTTTTTCTCCGAGGATTCTGACAATATGGAAGGTACACACGTGAGAAATGAAGGGAATATAAGGAAAAAGCGGGGCCGCCTGGGATTTTCGCTTCGTTCATCCTTTATTCAGGCCAGCTCCATTGCCTGCCTATAATGCCGATGTATTAATCTTTTTGGAAAATCGTCGAGCTCGCGCGACAAAATCGTCCGGCAAATAATAAAAAATGCCTTCGTGGTGTATATGGCACCGAGCTGGCCGCGCGTGGATGCACTCCGCGCCCGATATCCGATGTCCGAGGGGAAAAAAGAGCCTGTAAAAACCCCACGTACTGCCTCGTAACGCCCTCGGAGACGCCGACTCGAGCTTCGTTATGCTTTAATATGGGCGATCCGTAAACTAATATCTCGGGCGCGGCTCGCCCTGCGATATAATGCCCTGGATACGTTGCGAAACTGCAAACGCATACACGTGTTGTTTAACGCGTCCAAAGCAAACAATCTCACACGTACTTGGTTGCCTTTTTTATCGCGCCAACGTCGAATAGATTGGAAAATTGTTGCTTTCCAAGGCAGCAACTGCGCGCGATCGAGGTGCGGAATAGGCCATATAACTCGTTTGGCGAGAAAATCCGTTTAGACA